AGTCTCCCCTAAAAGGACAGATTCCAAGCGAGACAACTCCGGGGTTGATGGCGTTGATCCCAGATAAATTTGGTTCATCATCATCAAACAAACGCTTCAAATACAAAATCTTTATGACCTGGTTATTACACGAAAATACCGGAAATACAGTTAGGAGGGAGGCACCAATCACACATGTACAAAAAAACCCATACACAAAAAATGGGAAAAAAAACACGTGCTCCTAGTTGTCGAAGAGATCCCTAGCTTAACCTAGCCTGGATTGTGACTACCTTTCAAAAGATTCCTAGTCCTGATATCCTGAGTGCTAATTAGCTAACGACTAGAACTAACCCTGGGGGCGCCTTCCATCTAAGAAAGAAATTGTCCCCCGGCCAACATGGGTAAATTCAATGAAAACTAAATCCAAAATCTCAATCCAAAAAAACAGATGAGTAAACCCTAGTGTTCAAATTGAACGAAAACGAGATCCTGTGGAATAACAAAGGGAGAGCGGGAAACCAAGGGAGCTCAGCTCAGCCAAAAACCTCTACATTAACCGAGTTTGCCCGTCAAACAACCAAACAAAAAGTTGCGACTGAGGAGACTCTTCCCTAAAAAAACCTTTCCATTCGTTTCCCGCTCTTTTTTTAACGAAGAAACAAAAAAATTTAAAAAAAGAAGATCAACAAAAAAACGATTAGTTTTTGACCGCCGCGACGAGGGCGCTTCCTCGTCCCTTGGTTTACCCCTTGAGTGGTCGTGCAGCGCGGTTGCTCGCAACTGCACTGGAAAATTCCTTTTTAACCTTTCTTTAAAATCCTTTTTGTTTTCCTTTTTGTTTCCTAAGTTTTCCTTTTTGATTTTTCCTTTTTATTCCCTAAGTTTCTAATTCCTGTTACATGCCGGCCGCCCAGGAAAAGGCCGTCCCGGCCGACAGTCCAAAATTATTCCTGCGCTTTACTAATCCAAAAGAAAAACTCAGTAGAACCTAATCCTTTCCTATTCAAAGGTTGAGTTTTTACCTGTGGAGCGAAATGGAGAGCCGCGGGAACGCGTTTTCGTCGCAGAAACAGGCTAGTTTCTTGAAGAAACCTTCGATCTCCTGAGCTGACCTCGCTTGATCCCGAGCCGGTTGTTGAGGTGCCAGTCCAAAAACCATGTGGGGCCCCAACTTCTGCTCTTCGGCCGCATTCTCCGACGTCGGAAAAAGATGTCACGATCAGCCCTCTTCTATCCTTGACTTGTAGAGCCTTGCGAACCGCTCCCAAGTAGCTCCAACGACCAGTGCACTCTGCTTCCCCTGCGACCACGGCCACATCCGCTCCTGTTTCTGCTAGCTCTCTTAGTTCGGAGACGAAGTAGTCGGTTTCGCCGAGATCCCATTCAGGACTCACGACTGCGATGAGCGCTCTAATCGGCACCTTGTCTTCCAGCCGCATCTTCTTCAACAACGCGGCAGCCTCGCCAGTTCTTTTTATTCTTCTCCATTGCCATCGGTCCAGTGCGAATTTGTGAGACGATCCATAATTACTCGGTAGAAAGAGTACTTGTCGTCCTGACATATCGACATCTCTCGAAAGTACCTGTCGCTTCGTTGTTGTGGGACCCTGGCGATACACTTCTTCTATGACTATTTTTCATAGTCTCCGTCCTTGCTGCCAGAGATGCCGTCGTTATCGTTTGGGCTGTCAAGAGTTCGCCGAATGCCGGGCACTGGGAAGCAAAAAGCTCTGTACGCGTGTACTAATCTTAAAATGCTCGGCTCCACCAGTAGAAGTCTATTCGTCGTGATGATGTCCACTGCTTGAGCTAGCTGGCGACCTTGTACAAAGATTTCGTACATCTGTGCCAGTTTCCATGGCGATCTTATTGGGACTTTTGGCAGATCGTGCCCTATCTCTAGGAAGTCGCTGAGCGCGTGTCCTCCGCAGGAGATCTTATGTAGGAGTACTTGTCCTGCCCTGATGTTCGTCACCGGCGCGCACTCCCACTCCGGTTCCAGCATTTGGGCAAGGGTTATCGATGTCGATGCGCCTTTTTGTGCCGGAGTTTGCCTCGAGGTCCTGTTTTGTGGCGATCCTAGACTGGGCGGGAGTTTGACAACGCTGAGCACGAATTCCGGTGACACGCCTTTCCCAACTGTCCTGATGACCGTTTTCCTGTAACTAATCCGTGAATACACAAATCTTCATCCTGGTTAACACATTTTTTTGTTCCTTTTTCCTAGTTCTCAAGTTTATACCCTAAAAGCGGCTTTCGGCGCTCTTTTAGTCTTAACTACTGTCGGGGTATCATCCAATTCTTTAGGTACAATGATTACTCCATCCATAGGAATTGTTAGCGGTTCCGCGTTAGATCCTATCCTAGTGCACGTAACTGAGTTTTGGCTCGCGTCAATAACTCTGTACGGTCCTCCTACATCTGGAAGTAGCTTCCTATGCGCTGATTGCCTTCCTTCCGCAGGCAGCTTAACATAAACGCGGTCACCTATTTTTGGGTATTTCTTGTCCTCTACCCTAAATTTAGCGTCGTAGAACTTTTTCATCTTTTTCCTTTCAACTTCTAGACGTTCTAGCGCTAGTTGGCGAGCCTGCTGCACTGCTAAAGTCACAGTAGACCTATAATCCTCTAGATTTTCCGTTATCCAAACTGGGCTTTTATCCCATTTTGTCTCCATAGGTAGTCCTATATCAAAGCCATGAAGTAAATAGAATGGAGATTCGCCAGTGGATTCGTGAGGAGTTGCGTTGTACGCCTGAACTACTAACGGCAAAATTTCGTCCCACGAAGCTGGGTCTGCCTGTCTCTTTTTTTGAGCGCCCTAATAATCGTGCCTATGGCTCGTTCCGTGAGACCATTTTTCGCGCGGATTATAACCTTTTGTGTTAGAGATCTTGACTCCTAGGATTTTACAAATTTCGTCTAAGAGTTTATTTTCAAATTCTCGTCCACGATCCGAATGCAAAAATGTTGGACAAAGTCCTGCTTCACCTATCCAGCGTCCTACTATTAGTTTAGCTACGGTATTTGCTGACTTGTCCGCTGTTGGATAGGCTGCTACCCATTTTGAAAAGGCGTCTATGACTAGCAAAATGTACCTGTTTCCGTTATGACTGGGTCCTATATCCGCAATATCCACTCCTACAAGTTGTAGCGGCTTATTTGCCTCTATAGGCTTCAGCGGAGGCGTCAATTTTAGGTGCGGATTGGCTAAGAAGCAACCTTGGCAAGCGCGAGTCCATTCCTTAAGGTCCTTAGCCATGTTTATCCAATAAACTTCCTTTTTCATAACTGTGAGGAGTTTTCCTGAATTGACGTGCATGCCAAACGGGCCTGAGTGATACCTACGGAAGATTTCTCTTCTTTTTGACTTAGGTACTACGAGAAGTCCATTTTTACCTAGTCCTACTATCCAAAGCTTGCCTTTTTGAACCTCCAAGTGATTGATTGTAAGGTCTTTCTCTATTCCTGGTAACTTAAGAGAAAAACTGTCATTAGCTTGTTCTACGGCTGCTACGGCTTCGGTCCAATCTTGGTCTTCTCTGAGCTCTGCTAACCATTGCTCGTCCTCAGTCCTGTCGAGTTCAAGTTTCACAGCGGCTACTACATAGTCCTGATCGTTCGGATCAATTTCCAGGATCTGCGTTGGGCCTCGCGATAGTGCGTCCGCGACTACGTTAGCTTTGCCTTTCACGTATTCTAGGTTGATTTGATAACGCTGCACATCTAACGCCCAGCGCATGACTTTGGGACTGAGTTCACCTCTCTTAAAGAAACATAACAAAGGTTGATGGTCAGTCCTCACAGTGGCTCCTATTCCGTAAATGAACTGATGGAACTTTCTAACCGCGTGGATGACTCCTAACGCCTCCAGTTCAGTTATTCCGTACCTAACTTCTGCCGCCGAAAGTCCTTTTTGAAGAAAAAGAAAATCGGGTGCAAGAACTCATCAATACCTTTTTTTGGCACAGAACTGCTCCTATACCTTTCCTACTAGCGTCTGTGTAGATGATAAAAGGTTTAGATCCGTTGATTGCTCCTTCTATGTCCGGTTGCGCAAGAACTGGTGCTTTAATTAACTCCTGCTTGATATGGTCGAAAGCGGCTAACGTTTCCGTAGTCCATTCAAATTTTACTTTCTCGCTTATCAATTCATACAACGGTTTGCATATAGTTCCGAACTTGAAGATGAACTTTCTATAAAAAGAGCAAAGTCCTAAAAACGAGCGTAATTCGTCGCGCTTACTAGGCTGAGGGAAGTCTTTTTACGGCTGCGATCTTTTTCTGGGTCCGTACTTACGCCATTGCTGTCAATGATTTGGCCTAGGAATTTCACCTGTTGTTGCATTATTTTACATTTACTAGCTTTAAGGCTCAGTCCTGCTCTTCTAAAAGCGTCCAAGACTTTCTCTAGAAGTTCTAGGTGTTCTTCTTCCGTCTTTGAGGCAACCAAAACGTCGTCAATGTAACAATGGACACCTCCGTCCCTGATCAGATCTTTAAGCACTATTTCCATCATTCGCTGAAAAGTTGGTGGCGAAGTGGCTAGACCGAACGGGAGGACCGTAAATTGAAAAAGACCTTCTGAGGTCGTAAAAGCCGTGACTTCCTTGGCTTTCTCAGTGAGTGGGATCTGCCAATAGCCGGCTAAAAGATCCAAAGTCGAGAAAAACCTATTTCCGCCTAAGTCCTGCACTATAGAGTCCATTTTAGGTAGGGGGTACGAGTCCTGTTTGATAACCTTGTTGATTTCCCTATAATCTATACAGACCCTAATAGTACCATCCTTTTTCTTGACTAGGACAACTGGAGACGCGTAAGGCGAACTACTTGGTTCTGCTACTCCTTTACTCAACATTTCGTCTAAGGTTTTCCTGAATTCATTCCTTAGTCCGAAAGGGATATGCCTAGTCTTTTTGTCTAATCGGCCTATCATCTAAAAAGCTCGATATCATGAGTAAAAAAACTGGCGTCTGCGTCAAGTCCTTGTCGTCCTGCACAAAAAAACATCAGTAAACTTGGAAACTAACTTTTTCACCTTTTTCCGACAAGGTTTTTTTCCACTAGTTTGTTCCAAAACTGAGATGATTTCTGACGGGTTTTTCGTCATTCCATCTTCCTTCAAAGTGCATCCTAAATTGCTCCGGCAAAAGATGCATTTTTTTGAACAAGTTACTACCTCTACTAGTCCAATCAGGGGTATCTGCCGGTAATTGGAGGTCAGTTTTTAGTCCTGTTAACTATCCTAACTACGGCTTTTCCTTCACCAGAGCCTTCAACAATTTGGTCTGGTACTTCAGGTCTATTTCCCCAAAGCACAGCTTCTCCTTTTTGGAACATTACCTATGGTCATGGAAACTTCAGTTCCTGCCGGCACGACTAATCCTTCCCTAATAGTCAATAATGGGTTCGCCGTTTTTCACTAGGTCAATGTCCAAGAAGTCTCTACAAGCTTCAACTAGGTTCATTCCGAGAATAAATTCCTTCAAGTCCTGGACTAGTATAAAAAGGTACTTTAACACAACGCTTAAACCTGGGGAGATGAACTTTGAGAACTGTTTCTCCAACAACGTTCATTCCTTCACTACTAGCGTTCAAAAGGGTTAACTGGGTAGGTTTTATGAGGCTTTTGAATGTACAGGGGCTGTCAAAAACGATTCCCTCGCTGCTTGGTCTTCCGAAAAAAATGAGCTGGAGCTAGCGACACTTGTGCACCTGTGTCAACTAACGCACTGAACGTTTGGTTTTGAATGCTCAAAATTTCGCGGGGAGAATCTGCAGCGCGCGGCGCCGTCGGAACGTCCTCATCCTGCACCTGTACGAGCCTGACCCAATGTCTAGAAGCGGCTCCGGATACCTGCTCCTTTCTCTGGGAAGTATTTCCCTGTCTATTTGGACAATTCGGCCTGAGGTGACCTTTTTCGCCGCATCCAAAACAAGTAGTGTCCGCCAGGGCGCGGCCACTAGGTCCTTTCCTGTCACCATGGAAGGATCTTCTATTTCTATCTCGCGAGAAATTTCTGAAACCTGCGTTTGCCTGATCATGTCCATGACTAAACGACTTGTTTCCACTTTGGTTCGTCCACTTTCTAGCCGGAAGGTGCTCCTGCTCTTCCTCTAGCCCAGGCCGGTTGGGGTTTGCAAAATTTTCCTGCTCCTTTCTCCAAGGTCTACGCTTTGCAAAAGGTTCAACCCCTCCAAAACTCCGGCTTCCTACATCGATCATGTTTTTCGATCGCTCAATACTGAGTGCAAGCTGGTGAATAGCAGCAAAAACTTCACCAGGTTGGACACGGTCCATCTCATTGCGCAACAACGAAATGTCTGTGGACGACCATTTGCTAGCTAGCAATACACAGAGGAATCCAGCCCTCTCTAAATCCTTGGCTCTAGCCGTCATTCCTTCTGCTGGAAGAAGGTCCTCAATCAAAAAGCATGCTTCCTCTACATTGGCTACTCTGACAAAGCTAAGTTTGCTGACCTTAGTTAGCCTATCAATGACTAAAGAGTTGCTCTTCTTTTCCTCACGGTCGGCAAGTTCCGTGAGAATAGCTGCTAGTCCTTGCGCTTTTATTCCTGCGGGCAAAGAATTGAAAGCTGTTTTTGTCTCGCCTTTCAGTTTCTGGCCCAAAATAACAATCTTTTCGTCTTCAGAAAGTGCCGCTGGGCCATAAAGGTTCCAAAATTCATCCGCAAATTCTTGAAAAGTCCTATTTCTAGCGGTTCCTTGCTCTCTATTGAACGGTTTCGGATCTCTAAGCAACGATCTACGTTCCTGGTTCGCTGCAATCCTATTTTGTTCGTTGATAGCGCGCAGAAGCATCTTCAGGACTCCTGGGTCCTCACTACAGTCCTCGCGCGCAACCTGCTCAGACTTATATTTCCTATCTCCTTGGTCTAAAGCCAAAATCGGAGTTTCAACCGTAAAATTAAGATGCTCACCCTGAGACTTCCTCCTGTCTCGAGACTCGTCCTGTCGGGGATTCGTTGCGCTCCTTGGCGAATCGGTGCGATTTCTCCTTGTGCTCTTCTTCGCTGTCTGACGACAAAAGGCTGGTCCTGTTGCCCTTTCCTGCGGATTCTTACTACTTCCAACACTAGCTAGCCTATGCCTACCAGCAGACGACTCCGTGGAAGTCGAGCCCTTCCTTGATCTAGCTTCCTGATCCTCTGCCTCAGGTCCTTGGGCCTGTAACATCTCCTGTTCCCTTTTTTCTAGCACCTTTTCCAGCTTTTCTAGGAATTCCAGTTTCAGCTTATTTTTCCTAGCAAGGTCCTTGTATTTCAAATCAATGATATTATTGAAAAATTTCGAAAAATCCTTGGTAACTACCTCCAGTGGATCCTTTTCCTGTCCTGCGTCTGAGCCTTCTTCTTCTCTGACGTCCTCCGTCGGTACCGACAACTCATCATCCGATGACTGGATTGGCGACGCCATAACTTTCCGTTTGTACGGTTACGATTGGACACCTCAAACTTGGGTAATTGAACCTTTTCCTGTCAAGTTCAATTAACGCGAACATTTCCGAATGCGAGTGCATAGTAATCCGATAATTAAATTGTATCCGAGGGATTATAGAAACCATAAAGATTTTGATGCGTTATGATGATGTTGGTTCGGCCCCCATGTCGCCCACGGGACCCCGGAGTCTCCCCTAAAAGGACAGATTCCAAGCGAGACAACTCCGGGGTTGATGGCGTTGATCCCAGATAAATTTGGTTCATCATCATCAAACAAACGCTTCAAATACAAAAATCTTTATGACCTGGTTATTACACGAAAATACCGGAAATACAGTTAGGAGGGGAGGCACCAATCACACATGTACAAAAAACCCATACACAAAAAAAATGGGAAAAACACGTGCTCCTAGTTGTCGAAGAGATCCCTAGCTTAACCTAGCCTGGATTGTGACTACCTTTCAAAAGATTCCTAGTCCTGATATCCTGAGTGCTAATTAGCTAACGACTAGAACTAACCCTGGGGGCGCCTTCCATCTAAGAAAGAAATTGTCCCCGGCCAACATGGGTAAATTCCAATGAAAACTAAATCCAAAATCTCAATCCAAAAACAGATGAGTAAACCCTAGTGTTCAAATTGAACGAAAACGAGATCCTGTGGAATAACAAGGGAGAGCGGGAAACCAAGGGAGCTCAGCTCAACCAAAACCTCTACATTAACCGAGTTTGCCCGTCAAACAACCAAACAAAAGTTGCGACTGAGGAGACTCTTCCCTAAAAACCTTTCCATTCGTTTCCCGCTCTTTTTTTAACGAAGAAACAAAAAAATTTAAAAAAAGAAGATCAACAAAAAAACGATTAGTTTTGACCGCCGCGACGAGGGCGCTTCCTCGTCCCTTGGTTTTACCCCTTGAGTGGTCGTGCAGCGCGGTTTGCTCGCAACTGCACTGGAAAATTCCTTTTTAACCTTTCTTTAAAATCCTTTTTGTTTTCCTTTTTGTTTCCTAAGTTTCTTTTAAAATCCTTTTGATTTTCCTTTTTATTCCCTAAGTTTCTAATTCCTGTTACAAACGAAATGAATGAGAGGAAAATCCGGCGGGAGCCGAGCTCAACTTGATAAAGTTGCGTCTGTCTTGTTTGACATGACTTTTTGACTTCTCCGACTCCCGAGGGACGCACGTCGTCGGAATGAAGCGTCCGAATTCAATTCATTCACCGTCGGCCTGACGCCAAAACACGTTTGCCGCTGTGGGTCGCTTTTGGAGTCCACTGTGCCACCGGAAATCTGGGGACTTTCGGATCTTCGCGTTGAGTTCCGTCTACAGATCTTCTTGCAGGACAAGAAAATGCTGCGAGATCAAAAGAGTTACGGATGATTCGCTGTTAGCTTCAGTGAAATAAAGACGAAATTTATATTCCGAGTCATTTTTTCTAATCATGTTGCAGTGAGGGCCTTTTCCAAACCACTCTCTCGAAAAAGGCCCTCACTGCAACATGATTAGAAAAAATGACTCGGAATATAAATTTCGTCTTAACGAGTTTTTCAGAATATAATGAAAAGACGTTCCTTCGAAATCATGAAGTCTTCGGAGTTCGGCGGGCTGATAAAAAATAACTTGGACCTCATGCACTATTGCGCTGTACTGAAATCGTTTTCCCGGAGAAATGGAGTAGTCGGACTCTTTAAGTACTCACTTAAGCAAAAGTATTTGCTACAGTGACCACTAGTGATGTCTCTAATAAACTTAAAGGAACGACTACTCCGCTCAACTGAGAAAACAGGACAAAAAGAAAAAAAAAAGAAACCTGAATTACATAAACAGCATGAGAATCCGATGAAGTATGAAATGATAAGCGCATGAAGGGCAGAATCAAAGTAATCCTGTTTTTCTCAGAAGAACGGAGTAATCTCAAACATTACCTGCGTTGAAGGAAGGAGAATATAATGCACCATTCGTTTTTTTTTTTTCTGTAAAACACTCGGCCTGAACAAATCAGAAACTTATAAAAAGTAATTGAGCTCAGGCAGATAGAAGAATCTTTTTTTGCGACTACACTGAACCATGGCGCCATGGCGTCGCCAGGCGCGTTAGTATTTTCTACCGCATGCTGTTTCTTCCCTCTCTGACCCAAAACGACGAAACAGCATGCAGCAGAGAAACAGCAGGACGCGCCTTAAGGCGCCCAGTTCAGTAGTTTTATTTGTTTCAGGCGCCTACTGAGAAGCTAATCGCGTCGAAAATCACCTCGTACATCGATTCCTGCGGTCGGGATGGCTTGTGTTGCGAGGAACGCATGGATTCGGAAGCCTCGGAGCCTTGGGAACGTCGCCTGAGGCCACGCCTCTCCACGGGGTCCAGTCCGGACTTGTCTCAATTACCTGTCGCCGTGCATCCCCACATCCGGCCATTTTCAGTCAGAAATCGCCGCCTTTCCAAGTCCATTTCATCGTTTTTTCGTTTACTGCCGTTATTCTACAAACTTTCTCCATTCACCATTTTCCTTCTTCATTCCTTATTTTCCTATGGTGTATAAGTAGTTATTCAAAAAGGTTTCCTTTTTTTGAGATTTTCAGTCCCCCTATTTGTATATTATATTCTATATTCTTCAGTACATTTTTCAGACGAACAGAAAAAAAACGCCTCATATTTATCAAACAAGCAAAATAAAGATAGACTGGGCTCGAATTTCTTTAGTTTCATATGGAACGGTTTGAAGCGTCGCGATAGAAATCAAGCATACAAATTTCTCGAGATCAGTAATTTGATTATTTTCGATTCCTTGTCGCGGAAGTAGTATTGGGTCGGGAAAGACTTTGAGGCCCTTACGCGTCTGAGCATTCCACGTGCAACCATTTGATCCCAAGTTGGCATAAATTGAATTTAAACGCTTCCTGCTAATTTTCTCTGTGCTAAAACTATATTTTTCCCACCTTTTGTATTGACAGAGTTCTAAACAAGAGAAAAGGCGAAAATGCGCGACTGGGCGATCATTTTGGTCGTCGTCGTCGGCGCCGCCGTCGGCTGTGCTCCTCCTGGCTTCGTCCAAAGCAACGATCCCGGTGAGTAAAATCACATCGAAATGATTCTTCTCCTTCACTAGATATGAAAAAAAAGTTCAATCATCTTTCTTTTTTTTCAAATATGTTAACAATTTTATTATTAATCATGTGTTTTTGAGTTCATTACTTGAAAATTTCAAAGATCGGATTCTGAAATGTCTAGGTTAACGTGGTGTTGAAAGCCGTCTTCATTGAAACAAATTTGAACCTTTCTATAGGTTTTCATGGAAATGATCAGATATGAGTGAAAAGGCAAAAAAATATGCATAATAAAAATCCTTGAGAAGAGCTTTTTACATCTCTTCTGACGATTCGAAGAGCTACATTTTTTTCTAAAAAATTCTTTGAAAGTGATTTTATGTATCAGAGTGGAATAAATATTCAAGTGAACCACATCACGAATTTTAGTTATGAACATAAAAATAAGTAGAAAAAACATTGTAACTGCAGCAATGGTCGGCGCCCGTTGTTCCGACTTGATTTTGTATCCGGTGTCAGCCGTCGACCAAACCGATCAATACCGGTCAGTTTTCCTAGAACTGAAGAACCATTCCAAATGCGGCGTTTTGAGATTCGACTACAGCGACGTCAGTTTCGGCAACACCCACGCGCAAGGAGCGACGGTGGCCATCACTTGCACTACAGGAGGACAGGCGGCTACTGTCGAAGGCTACGATCAGGTCTCCATTTCACACTTTTCTTTTCTAACGTTTCAAAACCTGAAGTATTGCAATATCCCCTCGTGAAAAGCCGCCACTCGTGTAGGAATATATTCAGAGCTCCTCCATATTCAAAATTTTTTGACTTTGAAGTTTCATTTAGTGGAATTTTCCGCTCACTTTGAAAAAAAAACCTGTGAAAAAAATGCATGAAATTAGTAAACTTCAAAACCTTTTTTTTCGCTTTTTTTTTTCCAAAACAATTGATGAAATACACTATTCAAAAATTCTCGTAAAGGTACGAAAACGAAAAAAAAAGTCTTTGCGGTTCTTTGGAGCGGAGACGTCGCCAAGGAAACTTCGGACGTATAGAAAGACTCGAGTGAAAAACGTATATGGATGCATTTCAAATTCGTAGCTCAAAAAGAAAAACAGAAGAGTAACGATCTGTGAAATGGACATGATTGATTTCAGCAAAGAGCATCCATTTCGGCGGCTCCTTCGCTCCTCGCCACCTGCACAAACGTCGGCGGCAGTCAGTACACTTGGACTATTCTGGGACGCATACTCCAATTTGTTGATTGCAGATTCTAACCAGAACTAACATTCTAGTATCAAATCGAAAACAAAAAATGTCTATTTTAGGCTAACAAACGTTCTAAAAGTTAATTTATTTCAAAAGAATGATACTCATCAGATCATCAAATTCAACTTTTTGAGTTGCTACTATTTCATTATACCAAATAACTTTCCGCCTACATAGTCAAATACTAAAACTAATTACCACTAACATGAAACATAGTCTTTCCCCTTAAATTGTCAAAATTGCAATTTATCACCATATTTTTTTGTCTTTCGCTGTTTTTCATCTGCCTCTTTTGCGTTTTTCCGTTATTCGTTTAAAAAATAATAAAATTGTAATAATTGCGTGATCATTGAGGCGAATTTCGGCGCGGAATGTTGCGAGGCAAAACGCATGACTGACTTTTGGCCGATTCCAGAACCAGGTGATACCGGTCAGTCAGGTCCACCGGCAATAATCGTCCATGGTCATTTCATGTTCACTGAACTCCATTATAAAGTAATAGTTTATAAACAAAAGGTTAGAACCGCAGACACACACCGGTGATAGAAAAAAAAAGAATTTAAACGGGAGTCTGCTCGACGTGTGGCGGGAACGAAAGATGTGCGCTTGGAGGTTTGACCACGGGGAAGCCTGGCTTGTCGGGACGGTAGAGCTCCATCGAAGTTCCGTTGGCGTCGATTGTCGCCAGTCGAACAACTCCCCCGGAAGACCTTCAACTCCATCTTTTTAGTGACAATTTAGGAGAAGAAATCGTAAAAGAAAATGTGCGATCAAAAGAAATAATGCTATAAGGGTGAAAAGGCAGCTTTTAACGTCAAAACTGGAGCGATTTAAGGAGAATAAAGCTCTTAAGATAGAACGATTAAACGAAAAGTTTAAACTTCCATGCCGAACTTAAAGTAATTTCTGCGAAATGCGAAATTATATCTGACCCTCTAAAATTTAGTTATATTTTCCACTTTTTAGCGGCTCTTCGTAATTTCGCCCAATCACTTTGAACACGGCATTAGTAATATCCCACTGAATGACTGCTGAAAAAGATTTTAAAATTTTAGCTAGTTACTGAATGATTCTTGCAAACGGACTAACAAACGGTTAGATTAGTGACTTGCAAGCAAATAATCCCGCGTTCGAAGTTATTTGAGATAAATGCGAAATTTTTTTCAATTGATTTACGGGCTTGAAAACAAAGGCAGTTCTCTCAGAATAGTTTGAAAGTGGATACGACGTGACAAGTTGTGATTTTAGAAAACAGAATGAATTAAAAGAGATATAAAAAAAAGCGCGGAGTTTTTTTTTTCAAATACTGAGCCATTTTGAATCATTTAATTTCTATTTGGAATTCCATCCTAGTCTTCTATTCACCACAATATCTCCTAACTACTTTTTTCGTCTTTTGAAAATGCCCTGTCTAGAAAGTTCGATTAACATGATCTCTCATTCTATTTAACTTGAACTCTCCTCTTCTTTTCTACATCCTAGTCACCGTTTTACCATGAAAACAGAAGGGTCAGATTTTTTCCAACATGTCGATTCTGATGGTATGTGTTTTGAAGAGCTCTAATAGAAAACCAAAGAAGCAGAAAACAATTTTACACGATCTCATAATTTTAGCTCTATAGAAGTTGAATGATCCAAAAACAACTTCAAGCAAGCTCGAAAGTTCAATTTTTGAATAGTCTGAGCTTCAAAATTTTTTTCGAACATAACTTATAAAAATTTAAATTAAATTTTGTTATAGTCCATTCGCCGCGATTTTTTTCATCGTTTTATGTTCCCTCACTTGCAAGGGAAAGAGACATATAAATAGATCATCAAAATGAGAGGATTACTGAGAAACGAGGAGAGCGCAGAGAAAAAAGCGGTTTCAAGTCGCGAAAAACTGAGTATACTAAGCGTAAATTCGATTCAAAAAGAAATGCGGCTCTTCTCTAATTTATCGGTAACATCACAGGGAACAATTATGAAATGAGAATGAAATAATGCTGAGATTTGAACAGTAATTCACTAACCCGTCACGGAAGACAGCAAGACCAACAGCTTGCTTCACAATGGCTTTGCATTCGTTGAGTGTCAAGTTCGGTCTCCACTGACTGTCGAGGAAGCCCTCAAATAATTTTCTTCAACTATACAAAACAAAATGGGGATTTTCAGTTTTTTTCTAAAGCACCTGGACAAAAGTAGAACCAGATCCAGAAGCAGTGGATCTTTGGCGAGTGACGAACCCACCGATCGGAAGGGCGTACAGCTGTAAACACTTTTTTTAAACAACCAAGTTTTTCTTCTTAGTTTTTTTATTATTATTTTTTTCTCTTTTTTTGGAATGAATCTTGTAATTTTGAGCTCGATAAAAACAGAAACTAAACCAAGAAATATCTATTGCCCTCTAAAAAAACATAACCGGAAAAGGAATAATCGGATACTTCGCAATAAGAAAGTTCCCTAGCGATATAAAAAAAATCGGAGAAGTCGAAATTTCGCGTGTTTTCTTTTTCATACCACCAAAACTTTCATTTAGTTCAAACTCATTATTTCTATTTTATAGATTCAAAATATTCCTCCATTTCTCTTAATAACTATTCAGCACCCTCCAAAGGTATAAAATATTCTGAGATCGAAAAAAAAAACAGTTTAGAAACTCACACATAAACAAACCACACACCAGAAAGAAGACGGAAAAATAAAATTATCGAAATCAGAAAAAAATTACCTGCCCGCCTTCTTTGGCATCCCATCCGGCGACAAGGACGGAAGCCGAGAGAGAATCGCGATAATTGTACAGGAATTGACGGAAGATTTGAGAAGCGCGATAAATTGTCAATGGCTCGTTTTCCAGCATTCTGATATACATATCATGATCGAGCTCATAGTTTTGAAGCCATAATTCACTCATAGGTTGGATTTGGACTCAATGAAAAAAGAACATACGTGTATACTTCTATATGATATTTAGCAATGTCGGCGATGCACTGAGTATCTGCTGCGCTGCCGGAACGACAAACCACCATGGTATCAGTGATAGGCGTGATCTTGTTTGTTGCACGTGAGGTGATGAATGAACTAAAAATGTTTTGAAAAGTGAGTTTGATTATTCTTTTTTCAAACAATAAAAAAAAAGAAAAGGCAAAAAGTTACCCGGCACTGGTTCTTGAATCGGTGCCAACAACAACGCCTCCGTTGTATTCCATAGCAATCAATGTAGTCTGTAAAACAGAAATTATAAATTATAACTAATAAAACACAAAAAAATAATAATAAACAAACTCCAGTGCTGATGTCAACGTGAGGGTAGAAACCAAGAGCAGGTATCGCCTCTTTCTGATCATCCCGCATAGTGTCCATCTTTCTGGAACACGTCTTCTATGAAAAAAAACGAATGGCTTGTTAGATGCACCAGCAACAATGATTGAAGCTAAAAAAAAACGCAAAAATACTACTCCTCAAAAACAAAAAATTAATTTATCTTACAATTTTTACCTGTTTCAGCCTTGAAAATTATTTTCAGGTATTACGTAAGTTATAAAGTTTTCGTTAAATCGCAAACCGCTACTCCCTGACGTCATTTCATGACATCATTCGTAACACAAGAAATAAGCGTAATCGAAATATTTGGCTATATATTCATTTTATTCACGTGAACATGATTCAGTAGATTATTATTATCTCATTTCAACACGTCGACTGGTCGGTCTCTTTGCCGCTCTCTCTTGGATAATATCCCGACGCCCGTCAGCCCTGGACAAGCTGGGCGCCGTACTGTTCCAACATGGTGAAGCAGTTTATTCGCTGGTACTACTAACGGGCCAAAATTATTTCCCAACGCTAGCTGTCACTCCGGGACGTATTGGACAACAATTTTGGACCAAAACGTGGACACTAATAACACTATCAGGTAGCTCTAAACGATTTGCAAACTTGATACGCGTAGCGAAAAAATCTGTGAAATGTATTTCCCAAAAAGAAAAAAAATTTAAAAGGAGCACACTGTGCGTAAGCGTGGGCCTCGACGGCAAGGAATATTCCAAACCTTCAAAAGGTTTCTAAAAAAATAAGAAAAATAGAAGAATAAAAAGTTTCCAATCAAAAAGCGGATTTTTCAAGTGTGATATCTTTCTGCTTCTCATGTGACCGGAAAAGTTTTCACGTCGAATCTAATTTATAAATTGGAACGTAAAAAAAGAATAAAATGATATGGCTGCGTGTGCGAATTTTGTAAATGAAGATGATGTCATAGGGATGACGTCAGGGAGTAGCGGTTTGCGATTTAACGCGAAGTAAATTATAATGACACGCTCGAAAATATTAAAAAAAAAAACGCTGCGAAATATATTTTAATTTTCTGTTTATTTTTGCGATACATTGCTCGTCTCTTCAGTAAACGAGCTTTAAACGGTTAACCAACTAATGGAGCGTTTATTGGAGAAGATTTCAAAACGTCAAAGCATGTTCATCGGCGCACCAAAGCTGCTCCAAAAAAGTGCTAATTTTTGTTTTGAACAGGCTTGTGCGTCAGGCCGGGCGGCCCGGGTCGGCCTGGCCCGGGCTTTGGGCCTACAATTATAAAAAAAAGTCTGCGTGGGCTCGGGCCAGGCCGGGCTTCGAGAGAAATCTTAAATTTAATTTTGAAAAAATTTCACGGAAAAATTATTTTTACTTGTTAAGTCATAGTTTCTCATATGCCGTGTTCAATTTGATTCCGCAAAATGCAAAATACCCGTCAGAGAAAGGAAAAGATCATTAAATTTTGGAGAGTCAGAGATCATTTTGCATTTCGCGGAATCAAATTGAACACGGCAATAACTCTATGAGAAAAAATAAGCAAAAATACCACTTTTCTCGTTAAAAAAGCGAAAAATTCGACTTGAAGAGAATTTGAGTTTTTTGGGCCGGCCATTTTTGCTTAAGGCCTCCCTAGGGCTGAGCTGGGCTTGCGAAGTGGCCGGGGGGCCGAGAGGTTGACGGGCCGACCCTCGCACAAGCCTGGTTTTGGAGCAAATTTTTTGCGTTTCGGAACAATTCTCGTTTCGTGCTGTGAACACGCCAAAAAAGGATAATACTTCGAAAAAAGGTGAATTATCAACAAAAAAAAAACCGTTTTTCAAGACAAAAATGATGAGAAATTACAAAGTTTGAATTCGCGCGCCCAGCGTCCCTGCTGATCTTAGTAGAGCAACGCGAAAGTTGCACCAATTCTCTTTTTGGGACATATTTTTCTAGTTTGGCGCGTTCCTATGATGCAATAAACGGAAAATTTTTCAAATCAAAGTTTGTTATAGGCGTGAACTGCTTTGCATTAGTACAGTAGACGCATTTTTTTTCTGTAGCGCTCAGGATTTTTTCGCGATATAGATGTGCTTTGTCTCGGAAAAAACTTCTTTTTTTCATTATGGGACACGATATATATATATTTAAAAAAATTGATTAGTAGGCTTCAAATGACAAAAAGAACGAAGATTTATTTTTTTGTCGCAATTTTTCTGCATGCGAAAAGTTTTGATGAGAAAAAAATCTTTCCGTTTATAACATTCAAAAATAACTTTTTTCTGATTATCGATTGAATAAAAAAATTCGACTAGTTATAATTTTTTTGCCTTAAAAAAACTTTAACTTGAAGCATTGGAAATGTTTTATCATCATTTCTGTGTAAACGTTTCCATGGAGCGCATTTACCCCTTTTGTTTTTTGCTTTTCAAATCGGAGATGTTCCCCTGCCCGTTTTTTTTTTCCAGTGTTTGTTTTCATTTTAAGCTGAATTAGTATATGTATTGCACGAGTTTACCTGTTATTTTGTATATTTAAAAAATTTCTTGAAAACTACTTTTTTTTATTATTTTTCGTTACAACTCTTTATTAGTTTAATTATTTGCATTGTTTTTGAAATTGCCTTTTTCGAGTTTTCTCAAGTTCACCTCTTTGTCACATGCTTTCATTGAAAACCAAGTTAAAATTTTTTTTTTGCTCTTGCTTTTTAATGGCTACGTTGTTCGTTCAAACTTTTTTTGTGTAAAAAAATTTAAGGTTATAAAACATTTTTTTACAGCGCAATGTCTGATTTGGAGTGCTTCAAATGCCACGAGACTGGTCACTACGCCAGGAATTGTTCTAACCAGGAGAGCAGTGGAGAAAGAGGCGGCGGTAACGGAGAAAGAAGCGGTGGACGAAGAGGAGGTGGAGCTTGATGGTGTTGAATAAAGAGGGTTTCACTAGGTAATTTTTTTTCTCCATGCATTTTCATTCCATGTTTTTTTGTGTACTGAACAGGTCGTGGAATCGCTGATGATATTGCCGTGTTCGAAGTAATTTCCACCAAATTCAAAATTATAACTGGCTCTTCGAAACTTAGTTTACTTATTCAACAGCTATTTTGAGTTACGCGGAATCATTTTTAACACCGCATGTCGTGTTTAAAGTAATTTCGGCGATCTCAAAATTTTTGTTCGTTTAAAATGATTTCTGGAAATAGGCTGAACTGGTATACCGGGAAGGCGCAAAAAAAAGAGTCCAACAATAATAAATCGCTAGATATGCATTTTTACTGAAAATTCGCGCTAACTGACGTTTCCTACGAAAATTTCAAATGCTCGCTTGAAACTCACCCTAAACGTGCATATCTAGCGATAAATCGTTGTAAGACTCCTTTTTTATACGCCTTCCCGGAATACGAATTTCGCCTATTTGCCGAAATCATTTTTAACGAATCTGGCGTCTATTTTGAAATTGGCGAAATTACTTTGAACAGGGCATAAAGGAGAGAAAATTATAGTGGAGCTAGGAAAAAATTTCATTTTGTTTCTGATTATCGTATGATCTTTAGGCTCGTGCTACAACTGTGGAGATAGCGGTCACTTCTCAAGAGAATGCCTCCAGAATAGACGCGGAGCTGGTAGCTCTAACTCTGAATGTTATCAGTGCGGCGGTCGTGGACACTTCGCTCGGGAATGCACAAATGGTGGTGGTGGTGGACGCGAAGGAGGTCATGGATATCGTTCTGGTGGTGGCGGCGGACAGAAATGTTATAACTGCGGTAAAACTGGTCATATTTCTCGTGAATGTGGGGAAGGTAGCGCTTCAGATAGTAAACGTTGTTATAACTGCCAAGAAACAGGCCACATCTCTCGTGATTGTAATTCTGGCAGAAACTAATAATTTTTTTTATCTTTATTGTTGATTCATTATTTTCAAAACCTTAATTGTTATTTCTGTATCACAGCCTTCATCGAGAACGCTTCCTGGTTGTTAACTGTTGTAATAAATGGTTGGTTTAACAAAATACATGGAACACCTGTTTTATAACTTTCAAAATAGTTTTGTTGGCAGAATAATTGAAACAGATAGCAGGTTTCTTTTGGGATTTTACATGTTGAGAACTTTCAGGAAAAAAAAATTATCATAAAGAAAGACATCATTTTATCCATTTCATTATGTTAAAAGTAAGTTTTCACATAGAAATTTGATTGAAATCATTTAAAAATTTCTGATGTAGGCTTGTTCCGCGAGATGGAGGCGCCGTTATTTCTAGACCAGGGGCGTGGCTTGCCTCACCGTAATCTTGTGCGGTGGCGCGCACATGCCTACTTTTCCTCAGTCATTTCCTCATATTTTTTTTCATTTTCTTTTTCATATTTCTTTCAAGTATTCCCTTTTGATTTCAATATAACTCCTTCTATTATCTAATTAAATTTTTAATTTTCGAATACATGGTTCTTCTGTCTTTAGTATCGTAGACGAATTTCTTGAGGCCGAAAATCGTTTTTAGTTTGAATGAGTGTACGCCATTGCGAATAATTTTATTTTTGAGGTTCTTCTGCCTTCCCATAAATATTTTTTCAAGTCATAAAAAGTGAGCTCTTGATTTCCGTGAAAAATGTCCTATTTTGACAAGTTCAGGCCCTTTTTTCTAGTTTCTTTTGAACACTTTGCGAGTGTGTCCAAAGTCCACAGGAAGAGGACTCCAACTATTTGATGAAATCTACATCGTCGACGACTACTTCTTTTGTCGAATTAAAAGTTGTATAGTTTATTTGCTTTTATCATCTCCTCGAAGCATAGACCGCTGTGCGAAGTGTAGCTACCGCATGTAAAGATTGCAAAGCCTAAATTCATTCTCAGAAGGAAAGCAGATATGATGATTTTGCAGTTAACACGATCTATTTTGAGATTGGAGTTACGACGGCTTCTTTTTCCTGGATTTGAACGAACACCTTCGGTCCTGTGGTCATGCGCGTCATTTACCTTCATCTCCATGCAAAATCTTAACGCTGTTAAGCGATTCTATCTGAATTAAAGAAAATTCCCTATTAAATATTATGTTCAAGATACACTAAAGATAACTGGCTATTCGGGCGTGATATGGAACCTAGTTCGGGAGCGGTACATCGACAATCACGCAAATATTTCAATATCGTCTCCGCGCGGATCTCGCATTTATCTCGCTTTTTCAACGAACTAGCAAATATTTGAATATTTCCAAATCGCGATGTTTCGCCAAGATAAATGCGAGGCGGCGCGAAGACATAGCGACATGTTTACGAATTCGTCAATTTACCGCCAGCGGTTTCCAAGATATGGGACCAAAATTTTGGTTTCCAAAATTATGGGACTTTAGATCTGCGTACACAAGATTACGGTCCTCGAGATTTGCGGACTTGAGATTTTGTCGTACCATTGTTTTCGCACAAAAAAGGACAAGTTGGCGCGACATGTATTGAAGAAAGTTCAAAGCGAACAGTGCCGGTTCACGGCTGGCTTGAAACGCTGAGGCGGGGCACTGTCTGCGCCTTCCACCAACTCTTCTTTTTATAGTCTATTCCGCGCCAGCTTGTCACGTTTTTGTTCCCGCCAAAAAGACCGTATACCAAATTAGATCAAATTTCTGTTTTTATAACGGCAAGAACCAAAAGTCTTGAAGCGAAAGTTGGTCAAATTCGACCTGGCATTTTGGCGGAAAGAAAAACGTGACAAGCTGGCGCGGAACGGCCTATACGCGTACATACGCGCCAGCACTACTTTCCAATAACTCAAGCCAGTCGTAAATTGGCTTTGAGTTTTCCTTTTTCGGATGAGCAGGCTTGTGCGAGGGCCGACCCGTCAACCTCTCGGCCCACCGGCCACTTCTCAAGCCCGGCCCGGTCCTAGGGAGGCCTTAAGCAAAAATGGCCGGCCCAAAAAACTCAAATTCTCTTCAAGTCGAATTTTTCGCTTTTTTCACGAGAAAAGTGGTATTTTGCTTATTTTTTCTTATAGAGCTATTAGAAATTATGATTCAACAAGTGAAAATAATTTTTCCCTGAAAATTTTTCAAAATGAAATTTGAGATTTCCTTCGAAGCATGGCCTGGCCCGAGCCCACGCAGGCTTTTTTCAAAAGTGTAGGCCCAAAGCGCGGGTCGCCCGGCCTGACGCATATAGTCTGTTCAGATTTTGAATGTCAAGCAGCTAACTCCACCCCCAAGGCTACAATATCTTTCGCGTCAATGTTTTATCTTCATATGCCAATGGCCCTTTAATAAGGCTGCTTTTTTGACCTCTTTTTGTATCTTTTAGATCGAAAAAGATCAAAATTAGTCCCGCGCGATGAAACATCGACGCGAAAAGGTACCGTCTCAGCAGGGGCGGAGTTAGCTTCTTGACATTCAAAATCTGAACAGACTATAAGCCTGCGGATGAGTTGAATAATTCCGCGTTCAATGTGATTCTCGAGAGCAAAAAGAACCTATTTCTATCGCAAAGCGACGCCAAACATAACCTCTGTTGCAACGTTTTTCAAATAATTTATCACTCGAACTATATTTAAACCTCGAGCTGTTTCCAAGTGAGCGGTTGCTATGGCGACTCGAGTAGTCCGCCGCTGCGTGGCTCATTTAATCTCGTTTTCAAATGCGGTGCTGTTTTCCTGCCAAGTTAACGCGTTCTCGTCGTGAAGATCAGTATAAGGTTGCTGAAAATGACATACCTACTGCAGAAGTTCCTCAGTACTCATGGTAATTCTTGAAATTTCGTTTTTATCTTTCATCTAGGCTTTGAAAAATCTTTTTACTGATTAACGTCTTTGATTATTAATTAATGCGATTCTTTACTACGCCAGTCAAAATCTTTTCAAACTTTTTCGTTTTCAAGAAATGAGGGCTAAAAAAAAACTAAAAATCTGTTATAGTATGTTCAGATTTTTAATGTCAACCAGCTAACTCCGCCCCCGCTGCGAAGGTACCTTTTCGCGTCGATTTTCATCACGCGGGACTAATTTTGATCTTTTTTGATCTAAAAGAGAAAAAGAAGTCAAAAATGCAGCCTTATTAAAGGGACATCGTCATCTGTAGATAAAAAATTGACGCGAAAGATATTGTAGCCTTGGGGGTGGAGTTAGCTGCTTGACCTTCAAAATCTGAACAGACTATAAATTGGGTCACTTTGAAATTTTGAGCCTTTTAAGACTTTTAGGATCTTGGGTAAATCAAGAAATATCGTCACAGTTTTCAAGAAACTCTTAAACGAAAGAAAATTCACTCCCTTGTTCTCATAGATAAAAATACATAGGCAAAGTCGGAAGGATCCTCCGAGGGTCCATAAAGGACCATAGAAATGTTCCTTTTAGGGTGATGAAGGCTCACTTTTTGCTGCCTTTTTGCACCATTTTCTCAGCCCTTATGCACCATTTTTGCTGCCTCTCCCTTTCTCCACCATTTCTCGAGCCTTTAAAATCCCAGAAAAATGGAAGGCTCGATAAAGGGAGTCTCTTTGCTGCCTTTCGCTGCCTTTTTGCTGCCGTTCGCTGCCTTTTTGCTGCCTGTCTGCGGCCTTTTTTTTAACCTCTCCCTTTTAGCACCCATTATCCACCATTCCGACTTTGCCCGAGTATTATTTCATTTTTCTAATTTCTTTCTCTAAGGGATACGAAATCTGCCGTGGATGTGAGCAAATTTACTATCGCCGATATTCACACAGGAGTAAAATGCATAAGAAGCGACGAAAAAGATTCGATGCAAGTAGAAAATTGCACGGTAAAATATAAATTTTGTGAGTGTTGGACTCTTTGAACTTGCAGAATTCTGTGGTTCTGCTGTTGAAACCGACGGCCAGTTTGACAGTGGATGATTGCAGAGACTGTCTCGTTGTTCTTGGACCCTGCGCTGGAAGGTTTCGAGCAGCAAAGAAGATTCGGTTTAGGAACATGTTCCAGCGTATTCATTCGGGATTGTGCGAATTGCACCGTTTTGACGGCCTGCCAGCAACTGAGAACTCGCGATTGTCACGGTCTCCGGGTTGGAATCGTGTGTGCCACGCAGCCAATCATCGAAAACTCCAACGACGTCTTCTTCTATCCACTGACCCTGAACTATCCCAGCCTGAAAGGTGATTCTTCCCGAAAATGAACTTTTTTTTAGAAGAAAATGTTTTTTTTCAAACACTTGCGTTTTTTGTTTTTACATTACAAAAAAATTTCAACATTTCATATATCTGAGAAAAATAATTGAAATATTAAAAAAAAAGAAAGTTTTTAATTTTGAACTTCGTTTTTTCGTTTCTCGCAAGTCGTATGCTAGGCAAGTTTCAGAGCACATGAAATCGGCTTCGCTGAGCCTTTTCATGGGAAATGTAAATTCCGTACACGACTTCACTCCCGAAACCAAGCCGAATTTCAGAGTTGTAAAAACGCCGCTGCAATTGGTAAGTAAAAATAATAAACGTTTCTTCAGGGCTCTTCATATAATCCGATCATGAAATTTTTTTCCTTCACTTTCTCCATTTATTCAGGACGGAGATCAAGAGGAGTCACTTCGCTTTGAAGGAGTGCTTACACAAAAAGAAGATTCCATTATTCCTGTTTTCAGTACTTCCAAAGAGGTTCGCCTTTCAAGAATCATGTATACCTTGTTCTCTCTGACCTGGGACGTTGTGGTCGCACGGTGGAATGGCTCAAAGAAGACCCGCCTTGAACTAACCGCTTTGTGACATTTCGCTCCTATCCGTTATACGTGCGATCATGAGCTTTCGGTTCAGAACGAATCTTTTTTCAAATTTCTTTCCTCTTCTCTTCCTAAAGTGCGATTGCAGGTATCAAACTTCGTATATTCTTTTCAAGAGAAGAACGAAAGTAGGGTGGATTTTGAAGAAAGATGTGCGGGTTTCTCCGACGCTCTGCGCTCTGATCCAGATGTTTCCCTTTTGTCGTGCAACGACATCGATACTTCGAAGCTAGCGGACAATTTGGTACCAGTCCAAGGCATGTCTAGTGAGTTCATTTTTTCGTGATATTTCATCTTCACTATCGAAACAATATCAAGTAACCAACCGAAATACTTTTAGGCCGGCTCGTTTTGTTCGAAGTTGTCGCCGCAGAAGAGAGACTTTACACGCTTTGCAAAGGATCGCCTTTTTTATTCCACGTTTCTTTCCCGGAGAAAGTAGCTCAATTTCGAAATCTCATCTCAATCCATTCTACACACACATGAACCTTCGCTGTAGCTGTTGACAGTCATGTTTATTTTGAAAAAAACCTTCAAGTAGTTTGCAAGTAAATTGTTTCTGTTTCCGAAATTTTTTTTTTCAAACTCATTTCAGTAAGAAATTTAATTTTTCAATTTTTTCGATAGTATTGATGAGAGAAGAATGAAATTTTCAAGAGATTTACAATAAACTGTCCTTCTCGATTGGAAAAGTCGTGCTCGCACACAGAATACATCAATCATTCTTGAGTCTGGAATTCTATTTCAGGTAGTTTATCCAAGTTTTCCATCGAACTAAAATCTCAAAAATGGTTTAAAGTTGAATCATCTCTGAGAAAAAATTTAAGGAATTTCAAAACATTAGGAAAAAGAGATAAATGAATCCTTTTTTATATAAAGGCCTCTAGACGCTTCGCAGTCATTTTCGCCTACTTGAAAATGAACTCGGCCTAGAGAAGAAGTTTTCTTTTCTGTTAACTTCCATCATTTTAATTTTTACCAAGTCTACAGTTGTACGAAAACGAAAACAGAAACCAAGGAACCATCGCAAAGAAGGCGGAGTTTTGCAGTCGCTAAACCCCTGTTAGTTTTTCTCGCTTTTCAAAACCACCAAAATATTAGGTTTGAATGATTACAGCAAGAATCACATTCATAGTGATAGGTAGAACCTGAAAACTTGAAAGAACTTCGAAATTCGCCAAATGGGCGCGACCCAAAACGATCTCGATCTGGAATCATCAGAAGGGTTCTGCCAACGAAAAAGAAAAAATTCAAGGTCAAAAAAGTTTCCCAAATTACTACTAGCAAAGATTGGTTGATCAATGAATTTCGTGGAGTTTGGCTCAAAAAACTCTTTTTTGATGTTTTATAGGAGAATCTTGAAAAAACCAACCTTCAAAACGTGTCAGTTTTCGAGAAGAGAAGCTTCTAATCTTTAGTTTCTTGCACAGTCTCCTGTAAAAGATGTTTTTAAAAGGGTCTAATCTCGTAAAGCGGATTTTGTACATATTTGAGGTTTTAGAACTTATACTTGAAAGTGCGATTCAGAAAGTTTAAAATGACGCATCATTGATTCTCAAAGTTAAAAAGAACTTTCTCGTTAAGCTTAATTTTTTTTTTTTTGAATTTCATTTCATGAGTCCAAAGAGGGCCTTGGTCAAACTCGTGAACTTTCCAATTTACTCTAGACAATTCGCGTAAAAAAAGTTTTAGTGACCTTGAGTGGTCTGTCTAAAATTTCTGTCAACTTTCACTGTTACGCTGAAAATTTAAGCCGATCAGTTCTGTGTTTTACTGATTCTGACCGTTTTTCTAAATATGGAAGTTGTAATATAAAGCCACCTTGCGCATTCCTAACCTAGATATAGGTCATTCCGCGCCAGCTTGTCACGATTTTAAATTCCCTCGGAGCAAGAGAACCCATTTCGGCGCTTCGCTTCGATGCACTCGGTGTTCCCCCTTGCGTGCGCCTTTAATAAAACTCATTATTTCCGAACTTTGGAATTTTCTTATTCTACAAAAACAGTTGTAACATCAAATTTTATATCAAACTAACCCAAAAATATGCAAGAAAAGCTCGAACAGTCGGTTTCATTAATAACAATTCAAAAGTAATAATTCAATCTTTTTAATTTTCTTTTTTTTTCAAATCCAGCACAGAATATGAGTGTGTATAGTTAAAGCGAAAAAGGAAAACAATCCGTTAAAAAAACCTCGTAAATTAATAAAAGAGATAGAGAAAATTGAAGCAATATCTTGATCAGAAATAATGTTTTATTAAAGGCGCACGCAAGGGGGAACACCGAGAGCATCGAAGCGAAGCGCCGAAACGGATTCTCTAGCTCCGAGGAAGTTTAAAATCGTGACAAGCTGGCGCGGAATGACCTATAAGAAAACTCGCAGAAAATTTTCGGCCAACATCTTGGCTATCCATCGTTGGCACTCAAGAAGTCGCGGCCACACTTCTCCGCGGTTCATTAGCTGCCGTTGGCCTTGAAGACGACCCGAGAAGCACAGGGCGACTGTAATGGTTCACGAGGCATTGCCAAATGACCCATGGCGAGTTCTCGGCCTGTTCGAATGCACTTTTCTTCAAGCCGAAAGAAAACTTCGACAAATTTATCTCAAGGATACTTTAAAAAAGGATGAAAAGCCATCGATATTTGTTTGTTGTTCCTTGATCTAAAATATCTATTTAAGAATTGCTCGGTAGTTGAAATCGCATTTAAGCGCTCTAAAAGAGGCCGTTCATATTTTAAAGTTAAAAAAAATTAAGTTAAAATTTCAACCCTCTTTTTTTCGGTCATTACATTTTTCTTACATAGCGGTTTTGGTGTGAAAAAAAGAACAACAGCTTGCAATAATTTTTACTAGCAGCAGAACGGATCAAAGTTTTCTCTATTGGAAGAACAACCTAAAAATGGATGTGTCAATATGCTTCAGTGTTGCAACGAACAGTCGTTTGTTCTTAGCAACATTAAGGATGATAACTGACAGCAAGTGTAATTTTTTGGGAAAAGACGCCTGGAAGTTCCAGTGTGTCCACGTGGAAAAAAGCTTGTGTCGCTTGTTACAAAGTAAGCGACGGGTTAAACTCGTTCCGGTTCGGCTGGAAGGTCGATGGCGTCTGACTTCGGGAAATGGGAGGAGACGTGTACCTCCTATAAAAGCGCTGCCACGGTAACCGGAGAGTGCATCTTCGTAAAATCATGAGAACCGCAGTTGTCCTTCTCGCCCTCGTCGTCCTCGCCTCTTCTCGATCCAGTGAGTAGCTCTTTTTCGGCCTCTTCATTTTGAGGAATGTTTCAGTTGTGAAGCGAAACTCCTATGGAGACGAGCAAGTGACTCCTGCTCCAGCTGCCCCAGCCGCCGAGACCACCGCTGCTCCAGCGGAACAGGCTCCAGTTGCCGTCGAACAGCCAGCCTCCACTGCTGCTCCAGCTCCAGTCGCCTGCGCTCCTGCTGCTCCAGCTGCCCCAGCCACCCATGATTCTGGATACCGTAGCAAGAGAAACTCCTACGGAGATGAGCAGGTGACTCCAGCTCCAGCTGCTCCAGCCGCCGCCGAGACTAGCGCCGCTCCTGCCGAACAAGCTCCAGTCGCTGTCGAACAGCCAGCCTCCACCGCTGCTCCAGCTCCAGCTTGTGCTCCAGCTGCTCCTGCCGCCCCAGCTGCCCCAGCTACCCATGATTCTGGATACAGAAGCTAAAGAAACTCTTTTGCCAACACTAATCCATTTTTATGGCCCAAAGGGTAAAACTTTGTATTTTCTTGCTGAACATGTGTTTCCGAGATCGATCCTCAAAAACTAAATTTTTTAACTTAGGTTGATTTGTAATAAACAATTTAGATTTTCGGAGTGAAAGATCAGAAAATGAACAATACAATCAGAAATCATGCCGGTTTCACGTGAATTCTTCCTATTATTGCAAAAATTATGAAAGATAGTTCCATTATGGTCTCCAAGCACACAACTTAATAGAGATTCTGAAAGATCGATAGCCTACCTTTTTCGAGAAACTTTTGAATTTTGAAGTTCCTCTTTCCTCTTCTGGAAGTTATTTGTGCGACAAAGACTTATCTTCCGAAAAGGATTTGCTACAAAAAGGCCGAAATAATCAACTTGAACCATCACATATTTTGTCGCGCTTTTCCCCTGTTGATCACTCGACTGTCCCCAGAAAAGTCCCCTCTTACAGTCCTCAGAAAAGTGTGAAAACAACGTTTTAGTTTTCGAAAAAAGTACAGTTTGTCATAAATAATCCCAATGATGAATAGCTTATTTTTTTCACTACTTGCGTGGAAGAAAAATTGACAATAACAAAAAAGGATGAAAATTCTTCATAGAACTCGTTCCCATGATAGCGTGGAATTTAAAAACGCGAGGAGACGTGCGTGGAAAACGTGAGAATGCGTCGCTCACTTCTGATGTTCGTCCTGCTGTCCGCGACCGTTTCGGAGGCGATTGCAGGTCCCTCCAGGGAGCTTCGCGAACGTCGTGACAACAAGTACGGCGACGAACTTGTCACTCCCGCTTCCAACGGCCGTCCTTCTCCAGCTCTTCGACTTCAGGCCGAGGTTTTTTATTACGTTGATGAAGACTTCATCCACGTTGAATTCATTTCCTGCAACTACAAAAAATAGAAAATTTATGTTTATTTTATGCTTTTTTTTTGAGTAACCGAGGTAATCAAAAAAAAATTAGGAATTTCATTTTACTTTTGATTATGGCTCCTTGGAATGGTCTCTTGGAAAGGGCAAAACAATCGTATCAGATCAAAAACTTGGAAGTTTCGATCTGCAAAATTTTTTAGAGCCAAAATATAAAACTTTGAAGACTTCAAATTTGAAGTTGCTAACATTATTGCTGTATCGATTAAGGCAGAAATCGTTCGAAATTATTTGCTTAGTTGACTCTCTGGTAACCTGAGTAGAGTGTATGAACTTATCAACTCTGATTCTGTTATTAAGAGAAGTTACTGGAACGCGAAATTTCAGTTTTCGCCCTGGAATTTTGTTAGTCGGTCCACTGTAAAGATGACGTAAAGAAAATCGCCTTGAATTCGGCGCCTGTTATTATCAGTTTTCTTATTTTCGAATCAACAATTGGTCGTCGCTGTGGTGAACGGCCCTGTCTTGAAGTTTTCATCGGAAAAATTTTGTCTGGGAGAATCCAAAACGTTTTGACCTTTTGAAAAACGATTTTAATTGTTTTTTTCCACTTTCAGATTAAAATCTCTAAAGAAGTTTTTATTTCAGTCTTGTATAGTCCGTGTGCCACGACTTGGAATTTCACCGAACGACATTCCGCTGTTCCGCTGCGTCGCGAAGCGTCTTTGCGAGCCTCGGTCTCGCTTTGAATTGGTTCCCATTTCTGATAGATGGACTGTTCCCCTAGGAACACGTGGTGGTCGAGTTCTCAAATCAGATAGAAAATTCAAGGCGCGCAAAGGCACGCAGCGGAACAGCGGAATGTCGTTCGGTGAAATTCCAATTCATGGTACACAGACTATAGAACGTATGAGAAATGAAACATTTAAAAAAATTTCAATAAAATGGGAAAAAAATAAACAGAACTTAACTATTATTTCTCAGAAGGGAAATAAACAGAACTTAACTATTATTTCTCAGAATTGTTTTCAAGAAAGGGAAAAAGTCTGACCCAGCCAACTATAGACCTATTTCGCTAACCCATCCTTTGGCAAGAGTTCTGGAAAAAATACTATCGAACCACTTTAAAATGACCTTTCGCTATTCCTTTTCTGATAAACAATCCGGATTTCTCAACAATCGATCCTGCAAACTTGCCCTACTCGACTGTGTTTCCAATTGGAAAGCACTGCTCAAGGAACGTAGATTTATTGACGTTATTTATTTTGATTTCCGAAAAGCGTTCGATAATGTCCCTCATAACCTTTTGTTTGACAAGCTTAGAGCTTTTGGGCTCAACTCTCAACTAGTTGGTTGGTTCGAAAATTTTCTTTCCGAACGTCAATCTTGGGTTTTATTGGATGGACACGTTTCTTTCGACAGTTTTAGTATCAAATCTGGTGTACTCCAGGGGACTGTTACGGGGCCTCTCTTGTTTTTAATCTTCATAAATGATCTAGCTGCAAATTTCAGTGATGACGTCTCTAGTTATCTATTCGCTGATGATCTTAAAATTTTCTCCTCTGACCCAATTGCTCTTCAAAATGCAATCAACCAACTTGCTATGTGGTCCGAAACATGGGGACTCCCATTAGCTGAAAACAAAACTGTAGCTCTATCTAGGCAGATCAAATCCTAGGACAGTTTATACAATTAAAGGCACTTTTATTAGTTCTTCCGAAGTTGTCAGAGATCTTGGAGTCATGGTGGACAGTTCCCTACTTTTCAAATCTCACATTTCAAAAGCAGTTAACACCTCTTTGCTCAAAAGTAAACAAATTCTGAAAAGCTTTCGTTGTCTCACAATTCAACAGTATAATATGGTTTTCAACCTATTCGTGAAGCCTCATCTCGACTACTGCAGTGACGTTTTCTATCCCGCAATAAATTCCGAACAGGCATATCTACTCGAAAAAAACCTTATAGGTATTTCACTAGAGAAATTTTTCATGCGCAGAAACTTAAGATTCAATTCATATTCTGAAAGATTGCTCAAGCTCGAAACTAATGCTTTGTACAGAAGGAGACTCAATCTTGCACTCTGCACACTTCACAAAATTGTCCTCAAGATAGATCATTTTCCAAGCGCTCACAGGTTTTTCAGAATCTCTCATTCGGGTCGACATCCTCTGCGGTTAATTCAGGCTGGTCCTTTATGCGATTCTTTCTTTTCAAAACTGATCCCAATCTGGAACAAAATCTGCTCTAAATTCAACGTCTCTGTTCCTCCTAAAATTTTCAAATCTAATCTGGACAACATCCCCGACAATGAGTTATTCATCAGCATCCCTAGACGGCTACTATGATCTCAAAAATCTCAATATGCATATACGTGTATTTTATCAACTGTGATATCTATTGTATTCCCTATCCGGTGAAGTCACTCGTGAGGGTGACCTAAAACCGGTTCTTAACTTATTTATTCTTTTCACTTTGTGGATGAGTAAATTATTATTATTAAGGGAATTACGAACACAATAGTACTTGTCTTATGAAGACTTACTTTCTATGAAAATTCAAGATTCCGTTTTTTTATTTCTTTTTACAGTCACCTTTTGAGGTTCAAAAAAAAACCAACTTTTTTTTTTCAAAAAAGTATTTAAGGTGCCGATCGTGACGATTGCCCCACAAGGAGGTGGAGCTCAAGTCAACGTCGCGACAAGCGGATACCAGAAATGAACCACATCAATTACCTGTACATGCAAGCGTCTTCCATAGAAAATTCATGAGTCTCATCATTCGCGATATAAACTTCCTTCCTGACTTCTGGAAGACTTCTCTATTTTACGCATTGACAACCCAAGAATTCGCAAATGTTCAGTCAATATTATCGGCTGACAATTTTTCCAGTGACTGATTCATCTTCCCAAACCTTGTGGAAAAAGTCGCGACGATTGTCCGGTTATGGCTCTGTTGTCCTGAACGCCCAGAAAAGCAGAGCAACTTTTTAGCGCGAGGCGGTCCACTTGTGGAACACCGGCCAACGCAAACAAAGGTGTTATTGTCCAGTTGGAAGCTCCTGGGAAGGCCACAACAGCAGTCATGTCGCGGCTTCAGCCTGTCGTGTTCGTTCTCCTTGTCCTCTGCTGCCAAGTCGTTTTCTCCAAAAACGCCAAAGAAGGTTATTTGTTTGAGCTTTGAAAACTTGTCATCCTCGCAAGCTAGCAGGCTGAGGATTCCTTCCTTGTCGTTTCTTTTTTATTCCCCTTTCTGCAACGAATAGATTATAGCAAAGAGTGCAGGGAAAATGAAAAATAGGAGAGCACCTCAAAATGCGAAACTTCCAGTGGAAACTATTGGTCCTTGCGTCAACGGACTCTGCCCGACGTCTTATTCTTGCAGTCACAACGACAAATGTATGCGGGAAATGCGTGAGTTTATATTTCTTGATTTTCTCTGATCTCCAAGCGTCCAATAAGTTTTGAACTTGCTAGAAAACAATACAATTTATTGATCTTGTCCACTTCAAATTTCATCCCTTTTGATGTTTTCAAGTTGCGTGGGAAAGAAAAGTGTAATCCTTTCTCGAAGGTCTTGCTCTTTAATTCTGCCGAACTCATCGGCACAGTACCAAAAAAGAGAAGGTTCCGGTTTCAGCGAGAGCTCGCGTCGGATCCATGGCCATCGGTCCCTGTGTCAACGAGCAATGTCCGGTCGGCCACACTTGCAAGCGAAGCGACTATCAATGCTACCCTACCGCTTAACTTATTAGCTTCTGACTATTTGTGTAATTAAATTATTTATTTTTCGTTTTGAAATAAATCTCAAACTATTTACGTAATTTTGAATCGAAAAATTTATAAAAAGGGAGAAAATTCATATTATACATAAATTTTTCAACAAAACTTTTTTTAAAAATGATATCCTGTTGCAACAGCGTTGATAAAAAACTGATGGTGAAACAATGCGTTTTCTAGTTTTTTCAACAAATTTTTTTCTTTGGATGGTAAGCACAGAAGTTTTGCATGAGCTGAACCACTGAGCACGGTTTTCCGGTCGTTTTAAATCTTTTTCTATGCTCTTTACTTCAGCATATTTTTGATCAGACTGCAAAAAACGTGTTCATTTTTCCTTTCGAAAAGACACCATTCATAAAAGTTTTTGGATAACTTTGACTCTGATTGTATTATAGAAACATCATAAATGAAATTTACTTCCAAAAAAAAAATTTTATATCCCGTGGATGGATGTGAAGTCCAAAAAGGTGGCTATGCAGTGACACGTCTGGACGCGCGTGTAGTCGCTGACAAGGGTCTCAGCATCCGGCTGAAAAAAATATTCGTCAATCTTAATAATAATAATCGTTTTATCAACTTCATAGAGTATGAAGGTGAGTAGCTGTATAAACCCAAGTCACAAGAGAAATATGCAGTAGAATAACCAGCAACGGGAGTTCAATCTAATGAGTAGACTCTGCCGTGTAGTCAGTTCTTCAGACTTTTATTGTTAGGTACATGATTCTCTTCTTAAAATTTTGTACATTTACTCTCTTTTTTCGAACTTTGGCAAAAAAAAATCAACCGTTTCGCAGACGTTATGCATCTAGCCATTTTGCCTGTGGTCATTTTTTAAGTGGTCAGGGTTAATTTGGGGTTTTTCTGGTGCATGGTGGTTTCCGAAAGTAAGAAGGAGCCTTACCCTTGACATAATTCCTTAGTGGCTCATTGAAGGGAGCTAAAGATGTTATAAGGAGTCCAACCTGGGAGAGTGACTGTTGGTAAGGAGATAGTTGGAAGAGTTGGAAGGGTAATGTCGCCAGTGGGAAGTGTAGGGAGCGTCACTCCAGGTAGGGTTATGGTAGGTAGGGAGACATCAGATATGGTCGGTACAGTGATGCCAGCAAGTGTTACTTGTGGGATGGGGACATTTTCAAGAGACTAACCAGGTATAGTTACTGTTGGCAAGGTAGGCGTCGGCGGAAGAGTCGGAAGAGGAATCGTCGGATCTCCGCAGAAGAACGTCCTGCTGACAGAGTTGAATCTCTTGATCCAGGTGCCGCAGCAAGAGGTCCGTGGGAAAGAGCAGACGCCGCTGCCGCAAGGAGCACTGTCAGAGAAGTATGAACCACTGCAAGACAGACTTCTAGAAGCCGAGACGGAGAAGCTACTTGCCTGCAGGTCGAGCCAGGCGGGTCACAGTATCGGAAGCCTCTCACTCTTCCACACCCGCCGCAAGTATCATTGCAGGAGAACCCGGCCAAGGGCATCCAGTCAGTCCATTGACCGGCAACGACCGGCACCTGGTCAAATGATTTTCGCTTCGTTTGTCTGTTTCCTTACAGCTTGAAGGACGCAAATGACGGCTCCATCAAACGACGTCGTTAGGAAAGATTGCGGCGAGCAAGGCGTCGCGCCGGAGCACGCGACGTTGCCGCAAGGCTCAACCACGAAAGGAGATCCACTAAAAAAAATTATTTTCGGTTTGGAGACATGATTTTCACTCTAAGACTTTTGAAAAATGCAGTAATTTTGTCCCATTTTTTTATTGGGAAGAAATAATATTTAAAAAAACAAATATTTTTGAAAGGAAATATTTTCAACTGAAGGTTCTCATTCTTTTTTTCATTCTTTTTTTCAGCCCAAATTAATTGATAAGATAACAAACATGCATGGACATCCATAGGGCAGACTTGCGCAAGTTCTAGTTTTAATTCGAGTTCCCAGCATCCCACACGTCGCCGAGCAAGTCGACCACTTCGACCACGGATTCCAAAGCCCGTTTCCAACTGAAGGAAGTAATAGTTTGAATCCAAAAACGCTTCTCGAACGTGGTTCGCAGGCAGTCGCAGGAATCGTTTCAAAGACAGGGTCCGGAATCGGAGTCAGAGAGACACATTCCAGAACTCCAGAAGCCGGATTCGGCGCCGGAACGAAACCATCGCAACATGTCTGTCCAGCGGCGCATGGAGCAGCGCCACATGGAACCGTTGAAGACGTCTCTCCGCTGAACAAATACAGATTCCTGGGTCATGAAGCGCGAACTGACGTGCAAGGGCAGCCATTGGGATCGCTCAGACAAGTTCTAGTCCGGGAGACAGTTCCGCAGGAGCCGCATGTTGCTGAGCAGGAGCCTGAAGACCTCCACTCGGACCAGATTCCTTTGGAAGCACATGTCGTGGTTTTGCACGTGGTTCGTGGAACTTCTGGCACGTCAGTCGCCATCTGGAAAGCTTAGCAATCAGAGGAGAAAGCTAGCCAAAATTTGAAGTTTTTTCTTATTGCTGTGAATTTGAATAAGAGAAAGAAGAAATTTTTGTTCTGTTTCTCCTAAAAATTTTAACAAAACCGTTTTTTTAAGTAAATTTCATTTCTTTTTTCACTGATCCTTCCGCTGTTTTGAACTGACACGATGATGATTTCTTTAAAATTATAACTCTCAAGTGAAAAACTCTTTTTTTTTTTGTCGAAAAGTGGAGAGCTACTCATATCTCCCTCACTTGGTCAAAATGAACTGAAATGAATTCTCAAAACCTTTTCCGAATAATTTGTTGATCGATGTAAAAAAAAAGTTGGACATCTAAAACTGTGTTAACTGACTGGCGGGCCACAAGCGAAGACCGAATTGTAGACGCCGAGCTGAAGTCCCGGACAGCAGGTGGTGTTCCGCGGGAACATGCACGGCGCAGTGTCGCAGTAGCCGACGGACGTCTTGGGACCTGTGCAAGGACACGCAGGCTCGGAGGCGCAGACACGGGTCTTCGTCAAGGTTCCGCAGCCGCCGCAGTTGTCGACGCATTTGGAACGGTCCAGCGTCCATTCCGCCCAAATACCATTCGTCGGACAACACGTCTGAGCGTCCACCTGCAAGTTTTGACATTAAGATAATTGGATTCTATTCGATTGGAGTTCAGATCCAAGAGACGATGAGCTTTTCAGACCTTCAGGGCTATAGCCAGGAGTAGGAGCATCAGCCGAATCATGGCGGCTGTGTTTGGGGTTGCGAATCCCAAAAGTGATGTAGAACAACGCCGAACTGCTCTTTTCTACCATATTCGGAGGCAGGGCGGAGTCGTAGCGCTTACGTGTGCTCAACTGTTTCAATATCCCAGTTGTTTTTTTTTTTCAACAGCATTCGATTTGCGATCTTTTTATGCGCGATGAAAAGTGTATTTATCTTCGAAAGGCCAGAGAAACAAAACTGAAAAAGTCAAAGATTTAACTTTTCTTTTTTTTAAAGTCAGACATTTGCCTAATCTGTTCCTTTCTCCACCTGGGAAGGTTACCGCGTGAACAAGGCTAAAAGCCAGATAACTGCTTGATCGAAGCCGAAGAGAAGAATTGACGAACCTGGGAAGGAAACGGAGATGCGTATCTCGGACAAAACGGACATTTGTCCCTTCGGATGGGCTTCGTGCGGTTCCAAAGCCCCTACGCTTTGTTCGCGGTTCTCTTTGGCCTACAGTTTCTGGTTCTACTCACAAGGCTCGTTTTCTTTCGACAGGTCAGAGATTACTGGTTAAGCCTCTCCAATTGAGGGTGAACGCGGAAACATTTTTGAAAACCTGGTTTTTTTTTCAGAGCACCGTCTCTTTTTAGAGCCGTTATGCTCTGTGGCTTTTTTGGTTGTTAGCTAGATAAACGAAACTTTGACGACTAAAATTGTTTATTTATATTATTATATTATAGCTTGATTTGCGCGATATCAAAACTATTGACAGTTCCAATATTTTCAACTGAAAAAAATCTTCTCCCAGTCCACAAAAAGATGAAAAATTATTTTAATGTTCAGAAATATGGAACAATTTTAAAAAACTATAGAACTGTTAACACGTTTTTTTTTTCCGAGAAGCAAACTATATTTTATTATTTATAGGAAACGTATAAAGATTTACAATAACTGCATGGAATCTTTCTGATTTCTTGCTTATTCGCGTTGATAGTTTTTTTTAACAAAAAGTTCATTCATGTTTTCCATGGCTTTGCAGAACTCGACAGACGTTCGAATCGCCAGACAGTGTCTTCATGACGCCTCTTTCCCTTACGACAATGAGGACGACTTTCATAAGAATGTATTTTATCGAGAGGATTCCGAAGTAAGAATTGTGACAGATCTGGCCGGACTTGCACCGGATCGCCTTCTTGTGTTCATTCAAGCGTTTTCGGAAGGACGTTTCCACGTTCGGCAGAGGAAAACACGCCGTGAATTGGCTAAATGGCAAAGTTACGGTGAGGAAGGCGTTCTATACCTGAGAAAGAATCTGAAACGAAGCAGAAGCTTCGAAAATTTATATAAGCAAAGTCGGAAGGATCGAAAAAGGCTCCATAAAAATGTTCCTTTTAGGATGAAAAATGCTCCTTTTTTGTGGCCAACGGCTCTTATGCACCCTTTTTGCTGCCTCTCCATCACAATTTCTTAAGCCTTGAAAATTCTAGAATAAATGGAAGATAAAGAGACTCTTTTCGCTTACTTTTTTGAGCCTCTCCCTTTTAGCAGTCCGCTATTCCAACTTTGCTTGAGATTAGGCGCAGACTTGTTCTGCGCCATTGTTTCACTTTCTTATTGGCTCGAATCTTCTTAATATTTCATTTTCATCCAATAATTGAATCTCAAAAACACAGGCTCCCGAGCACAAATGCAACATAATCTTCTTGCGCAACGACTCGGCCGTGGAGACAGAGCTCGACCTGAAGCGCCGCATGTCCAACTGCACTGTGTACTCTGTGAGCTCGGAACTGAGCTCAGAGGACTCTCGGAAACCTGGCAGCTCTATCGTCTCCTTTGTTTTCAACTTGGAGCTCTACCCACAGAGATGGAAACCTTTGGACGACGAACGTGGTAAGCGAAACTTTTTTAAGAAAGAATAATCGTACGTACGACTTTGTAAAAAAATATTTTGCTTCATTTCTCTCGAAGGAGCTGAAGCTTAACTGAAGTTTAGAAGGAGTAACGTATTTATAGCTCTAGGAAACATTTCAAAGAAGTTGAGAACTTCTCAACTTTCAGAAAAATTCTGCATTTATTTTAGTAAGAACACTGCTCTGCAGCTATAATAACGAAAGAAAAAGAAAATTCACGAGAATTTCGGCAGTCGATCGCCGACATCGCTGTTTAATAGGGTCAGACCAACCCTGTGGGCGTTTTCATAACGAACTATGAAAATATAAGATCAAAAACAAGAATGAAGCTATTCGCAAGTCTGCTCGGTTTATAGACATAAGAGAGTCGATGGACATCGTGAAGTTCATTTCTCTCGAAACCAAATTGAAGAGGATCGACGCCTTGAACGTCTTCACAAACGGCGCCGAACACATCAGGAATCTATTTTCAAAAAGCGCATTTGATACAGCCAAAATACGTGTTTGCCAGGTTTTCTCATTACTTTACATTCTTTCAAAAGGGTATTCTTCTAGCTAAACTTGATCTATCCTCGGCCTAGATCCAAGTCGACAAAACAAGCGTTCTATGACGTGTGGAAGCGAATTCTCTACGACAGGAGGTTTCAAAATAAATGTCCTTTTCTCATATCACTGTTAAGTTAAACTTCTCTACAACAGTATAATATATCAGATACTTCTTGACGAGCGTCCGGCGACTTCCCAATTCTGACGATCTCATGCTGTTCATACTCAACGTCAGTGATCCTTACTGTTGGGCCAAGTACATTTCGCTCAACATTCCATTCGACCCCGAAAGCGCATAGACTACATTCTCTGAGATCGATTTTAAGCGACGGGTCATTGTTTTTTTGAGTTTCCGATTAATAAACATGTTTATAGCTCTAGGCTTCCAGAAAAAACAACCTGAGCCGCACTCAAAAAATTGGAGATTAAGTAATAAAGCAGGAGGTCCCTAGTGAAATATGAGGTAACGAAAATTTGTCAATTTTACTTGTTTTTTGTTTGTCACGAATTCATTTAAATCTGTAAAACTACGCTTTTGATTTGCTGAATGCGACCTTCGACGTAGGTAACAACAAGAAATGGATGCGCCCTACATGAAAACCTATTTTCATCAATCTATGTTCGCCCGTCAGGGAAGACTAAACAGAAGAAAAAAATTTTTCTACAGAAATAGGAAAATCTCTGACAGAAATTAAAAAAACTTGAGACATGAACAAACAAAATTTGAGAAAAAAAGGTCGAAAAATGAGACTATAATTTGCCATATGGCCTGTTCAAACTTTCCCAATAATGCAAACATTTATTTTTAAACCATTTTTTTTTTCAACAATAAAACATGGAAAGGTCATGGAGGAACAAAAGCTTGATTGATAACGTTAATATGAAAACTGTGAAGGTAAACTAAAAACTCACTGAACCCGAAAACTTTTAAAAGAGAATGAACAAACGGAAAGCTTCAATTTGAGATGTTTATTAGAAAAAGTCGCTCTTATATTCAAATGGCCGTTACACCTGGAGACGAAGAAAACATGCATGAACCGGTGAGAAAAAGAAAAAGACCGGTTTTTCAGAAGTGCAGTTATAAATTATGACTTTCAAAAATTGCACAAAACCAACAATCCTAAATAAAACCTACAGTCTAGCGGAGAACTCAGGCCAAAGATTCGACGGCCTTGGTCGCCGCTTCGTCCAAACAACTGGCCGTGAGAATCGGGAGCCCCGAATCCTTCATTATTCTCTTGGCTTCGTCGACGTTGGTTCCTGAAGAATATGAGCACGGATTTGTCTCGGGAAGAGAGCCCGAAACCTTCAAGACGAACGACGAGCGGAACGTTGAGACCGATCTTTTTGATGGCGCCGACGACTCCGTTGGCGATCGTCGCACAGTTGACGATGCCGCCGAAGATGTTGACGAGCACGCATTTCACCTTGAACCCAATCACTCATTGAGCATTCGGAAATTCCTCCGCCCATCATCTATTTATACAAAACCTCACAGAACAGAACACTTCTGAAAAATTCGAAATACTTTTTTGAAAGCGACTTGCTCTAACGGGCGAACTGTTCTAAACTTTTCACTTCGTGAGAAATTAAGAAATCTTAAATTAATCTTTTTGGAAAAAAATTTCAATTCGTGGAAATTGGAATGAAAGCAGACTGAGAAAAAAATTGAGGCTTTGCCAAAATTACAAAGCAGAGGTTCTTATAAAAACATATCGCGACGAATTGAGATAATTAATATCTAGTTTCCGTAAAAATTTCTCTGCAAAATCTGCAAAATTTTTTTCTGAAAGTTCATTTCCTAACGAAAAATTCTCTAACTTTTTTCATTTGTGTTTTAATTCGAAGCTCAGTCCTAAATAATTGATAAGAAACGACTTTGACAGCGAAATAGGAAAAAAGTGTATTAAAAAAAAAATCTTAAAACTTCCATAAATGGCTGTTTCTCAAGAGCTCCCATGTGCCCCGAGAAAAGAATGAACCTTGGGGTCGGAGGTGATGATTCGGACGGCGTTGAAGACTGCGTCCTCAGTGACGGCGCCGCCGACGTCGAGGAAATTGGCGGGTTCGCCGCCATGCAACTTGATCAGATCCATGGTGGCCATCGCCAGGCCGGCCCCATTCACTGAACTTGCTCATAAGCCAGTCATTCACCGAAATATTCACCCAGACAGGCGATGTTGCCGTCCATTCCGATGTAGTTCAGGTGGAACTTGTGAGCTTCCACTTCCCGGGCATCCTGAAAACACTCGAACTGACCTTCTTCTGGGATCTATCAACTTTACTTGTTCGAAATTTGATTCTATATTACCTGCTCTTCAAAATTTTCCAGTGAGAAAACTTCCTTTTGTCGAAATGCCGCGCTGTCATCAAAGTTCATCTTGGCGTCGACACAAAAAACTGAAAAATGAAGAAAAAATAAGAAATGAGATATAAACTGTTTATTTCAGTTGTTTTGATTTTCAGCCGTAAAAATCAATCTGTAGAAAGAAGTGGGAGAATGGAACCAAAGTTATTTCCGGATGGAAAAAAAAACTGACCGCGTCCGTCTTTTGTCTCAACAAACGGATTGATCTCCACTTGCGTGGCATCGACATTAATGAACAATTTGTAGAGACGTTTAATTTCTTCGGCAGCCTGAAGGAAAGCGATTTGAAAAGTTGGAGATGCGTTATAGAAACTTTGTCAACAAGTGTTTCTCTGAAGTTCAAGTTTCTGGCGATCTTTTTTGCTTGTTCTTCTGACATTCCTTTCTCGATATCAATAGGTTCCTGCAAAGAAGAGAAGTAATAAATACGAAAGGACCTTTTTTTAGCGAAAAAAAGGAAAAAAATTTCTCCTTGAAATTTTTCAATAATTTAAAAAAAGGAATGTACATTTTCGAGCCCTCGAAAATAGGTAACTTGATTTCAGAAATAAGATAGGTTTCTGAACTGATATAAATTCACCGAGATCAATGAGAAAATTCCTAAACTCCGCTTTGAAAGCAAAAGAAACTTGGAACTCTCTTCATCGCCTTTTTTGCGCCCTTTTGAAAAAATAAAAGTTAGGAAAGCAATATTTGCGATCAGCTTGTTTACAAGCAGCCTGTGGCGTAGATATCCCTTACGAAATTCTCCGATTTTTATGTTTGAAAAATTATAAAAGTTTTGTGAAATGAATGGAAAAGTCGATTTGAAGTGAGTCATTTGAGTTAAAAAAAGAGGACAAAAAGACACAAGTAAAATAAATAAAAAAATTACACAGATTTTTTTGAAAAATTTATGAGAAAATGACCGAATGCTAATGCTGGAGCCTTTCAGTAAAGAGAACCTTGAAAATGAGGTCGGGAGTTTTCTCGGCGACTGCCTCGATTTCCATGCCACCCGCGGGAGAAGCCACGACGACAGGGCCATTCGATTCGCGGTCCATCAAGACGGCCAAATAAGTCTCCCGAGCGATCGCCACGCCTTCCGCAATCATCACCTTAAAAAATATTTTGATCAAATTCGTACTTTTTTGAGCAAATCCTTTAGGAAAAAATACCTACTTTGTCGACACGAACTCCTTCTTCCGTGGTTTGTTTAGTGACCAGACGCTTTCCAATCATATCATCAATCGCTTGAAGTGCTTTGTCCTTTCTGAAATCCGGAAATACATCCTTCTTCAAGAATAGAATATACTCCATTGTGATGTAAACTCCTCCGAAGCCTTTTTTTCCGCCCTTGAAGTGACCTTTTCCTCGACCACCAGCAAGAATTTGAGCTTTCACCACATATTCGTGATCTCCTATAACGCGCGAAGCTTAAGATATTTCATCAGTGAAAAATACCGAAAGACTGCCATTTTTGTTCTGCCTCTTTCCGATTCGAAGCGACAACGAAATTCTGAACACTGCATCCGTGCTTCGACAGCAACTCTTTGCTTTGAAACTCTTGTAAATTCAAATTGCGAGACTGAGTTTTCTGAAAAAGAAGATGATGAGAATAAAAATATCGAAAGAGGCCCTGAAATTTTTTGAAAAGGTAGTTTTCATTCTAGAAGGCAGAAAACATACCAAACTCTGTTTTCCTATCGACGAAAGCCTACCAGCAGCCCGGAACATTGTTCTCAAACCCTGAAGTACAGATATAAAATTTTATTCAAAGTCACAACCGGCAAAAATAAACGTGCGGCGAAAAAATCTTATCGAAGCGCGAGGAATTCGAGCTGAACAACTAAAAAGCGTGTTTTTGAATGAGCTCAGAACTCCAGAGTTGCAAAATATAAAATTTTTTCAATTTCTGCCAGGATGGTCGTAGATTCAGTTGTTTATGCCGTGAAGTGCAAAACACTTGCACGATTAACAATATGAGCTACGCGCAGAGATTTACGAGGACCATTTTAGAGCGGTAAGCCCATTTCCGATTGGCTTGATCCATGGAAAAGTAGGTCCTGACATGATAAAAAAAAAGACTTTTTAATGGCGAGCGCAGACAGTACCACACCTTTCACCATCCCGACCTAGCCTTAAAACGCTTGAAACAATTTTCGGGAGTATTTGAAAAGTTCCGAGCGAAGTTGATGTTTGATTGAATAAAAATTTCATTGACGCTATAATTTTTCAAGCAATTTTTGAACTCGGAAGATAAAAACTGAAAAAAGTAGAAAGTTGTTGATCCTTTTGCACGTGACAGACTGAGGGTCTAGCAAATACACCCAGACAAAACGTCGGAGTTCTTTTCCTTCCTTGCAAAAGCCGTCGGCTCTGACATTACAACGGTCTTTCGTTCGATTTATCTGACCAGCATGATATTGCAAGGCTTGTAGTCGTGGACTTTCTTTCCATATGGAGCAAGAACTGCCGTCTCTTTTCGAACTTTGTCGCTGTTCCATCGCTATTCAACTTTTCAAGGTTTTTTTTTTCAAAATTAATCAAATTTTAAAATAACTTCCTGTTTGGTTCTTTTGGCGCTGTCGAAAACTCCTTAATATATCTGATTCACGGTTAGCTTGGGACGCTAAGGGGCGTATTCTCTCTGCACTCTCCACGATCCAGGCATTATCTCGTGCATTATCGTGTCAGGACCCTTTTTCCGATGGCTCAAGCCAGCCGTGAATCAGCTATAATAGATTTAACTTTTTTTTTGGTCAGATTAATGTTCGCTGGAGACGTCTGACAGATGTCGCCTTTTCTCTGCGCGATATTATCGAGGAAATGCGGCTGTCGTTGAAAATAAGTTTGGTTGTCCGAGAAGCTCTGGCGCAAGCTCTCAAAGAGGTTAAGCGATGGGGTAAGAAAACTAGGTTCGATACAGCTGATTCACGGGTGGCTCGAGCCATCGAAAAAAGGGACCTCTTGTGATATTAGAAGAAACAGTACCTGGTTGATGAAGAGTGCAGTCAAGCCACGCCCTTTTGTGCCCAAGCTAACTCTGAATCAGCTGTTGAGGTAGTTGATTCTCCAATTTCAGATGGCAAGCATTCGGAAATGTTTTTGAACGACGCCAAGAAAAGAGCTATGAGCAAAAATGAACACCTTCGTACTTTCTACGAACATCTTGTGTGGAAAAGATACAAGTAAGAGGGGAAAAAACTGATATTTGACGATTCTTGAAGAATCGAGATTGATGACGTAGCGACGGCACGATATCTGATAAAAGTCGAGTGTCGCAACTGGCCACTGATGCAGTTCCAGTTCGCATGTCTGTATGCAGAAGTAGAAATGCTCAACGACGACTTCCGCTTCGACAAGTATCGCCGAGCAACCTTCAAGTTTTCTATTAACATGAGATAACTTTTGTTTTAAAAGTTATAGAAAACAGTTGTCTGATCACCCAGCTTATGATTTTTGGTTGACTCTCATGGAAAGCCGTCACGAACTTTTCTTCGAAACAGGTTTTTTTTTTTCTGCTTTCGTTAGAATTAAATTTTGAAGAACGACGTTTGCCCAACCAAAAGCTCACTCAATGTCTCATATTTGCCATCCGCAACGGCTTCATGCAGCTCATGGAGTTCATCTGGACACGAATCGGAGACCGCCATCGCGAGTCTGTCGGTGAGTCCGACCGAAAGAGACTACTCCGTCTGCATCTGCAGGCCTTCTCGAGCTGCGCGCGATGCTTTTCCGTGCAAGAGACGGACAAACGATGCGATTCTTGTGCGAGGAGCTTTGCAGGTTTTATTTTCCTTTTTTCGCCTTTTCATTGATTAATTGGAGCAACTTATTTTGGCTTCAGGATGAATCCAGTTGGGGTTTCTCGTATTGCCTGGACCGCATTTTTCGATACTTTCCATCGTATGCTCCACGTTTGGCTACTCTCTCGCTTTTTTTAATCACAATATGTTTTCAGGAAGAGAAAAGTGATGTGGTTGTACAAAATCAGTTCAAGAACAAGTTTGAGTTTCTTCTCCGGAACAGCTGTCCAACGTTGAAGAATCGGTTACTGAAAATGGAAAACTACAGGTTCACAAGATTCGGAGAACCTTGTTAAAATATGAGTTTAGATTAATATGTGACGCATTCCGGTACAACTTAACTGAAACATTTGCCATGATGCTCGAAGCGATGAGCCCAGAAGAAGTCGCTACGGCGAGGTCACCAAAATCCCCTGTTTTTCTTTTCATTTTTCAAATTTAAAATTGACAGATTCTTAGGAATTAATATTTTTATAAGATACAATTTTATCCTCTCCAGAGAAAATGATCTGCCAAATTATGGATTAAATGAATAGTTAATTGTCGGTTTACGGGATCGCGTTGGCTACGAATTGCTCTTAGAACATATTTTCCTTCGTCGGATTGTAGCAAGTTAGACTTTCCGGCGATCAGTTTTTTCACCATAACAAAAAAAAAATTAATCAGGGAAATTCCATTACAGCCGGTATGAAGTTTCCCAAAACATGATGGAAAAAAATAATTTTTAGATTAGAGCAAATTTTTCACGGATTTTTCTAGAGTAAAACTGATTTTTTTATTTTTCAGAGAATATGTAGACCGGATATTTGACCGACGAAAGACCCGACAAGGCGAACGACTTCGACGCGCGATGATGCGTCGGCAATGTACATTTTCCTGAATAGATTCATACCGAAACCGGGTATTTTGCTTCTTTTCTTTTCTTTTTTTTTCCACGAAATCCCAAATATTTTCGGACATGTTTCTGAAGCGCCTCTAACGTTTCCATGTTGTAATACACATTTCCCGTAAATAAACCTTTGATGACTTCGATTCGTTTCTAAAAAGCGTCCAGTCAGAAAGGAACGACAACTTCTCTTTTCGGATCTCTTCCCACAGAAACACGTTCGGTTTCCATAATCTCCGCCCAAAGTAGTTTGAGGTTGGTCGTGCCACAATCTCTTCATTCAACTTTCTTTTTCCTTTTCGTTTCTACTCAACTACACCGAAAAACTTGTTCTTTTTGTCGGTTTCTTATTGATCCCTAAACTTTGAGGTCGGCAAAAGCCGTGCCAGATCAAAAAACTGATGGGCAGACCATATTTCTTGTTCTTATTTGACTCACATGTTCCGTTCTTATTGTAGTCATGTCCGGAATCTCGATTCCTGTAGTGGAAGCTCAATTCTCGAGATCGCGGACAGCGTTTTGCACGGGAAAGTGCATTTGTTTGTTGTTCAAGTGAGCGAGAAGTTGGTTCTCGCTGTATTTGTTCCCCTACTAGTTTTTTTGATTTCTCTACAATAGGTCAATTGTCAATTTTCCTTTCGTTCTTTGACCCTTTTTTCCTGACCTGCACTGGAAAAATGAGCTGTTTGCCTGTGAACAATGGGAAAAAGAAGTAGAAGCTGAGAAAAACAGACCGACGGGTCTTGTTGACGGTTGTCTGCAAACACTTGTCGAACAAGAGCTCTTCTTCTCAATCTTCTTGTCTCTTTGGTATTTCCGAGTTTGAGTTTCCTACGAAAATATCGCCGGCGGCATTTGAACTTCCAAGGCCTTTGTTTCGATCCAACGAAAGAGAAATTCTGTCTAAGTGCAACGATTTTTTTCTGATTTTGCAAGTTATTCAGACTCATACTTCTCCCATCAATAATCTATTTCTTTTCGGATTTTCCGTCTGCCATCGGTTTATTCCATATGTTTTTCGCACAAAGCAATATAATCAGTTCTTGCGGCTATGTGTAATTCGCAAAGTGCAGCCTGAATTACTCAAATTTTTCAGAGAAATCATTTCATATTTTTTCTTCTCTTCTCTTTTCCCCTTCTTTTTTTCCATCAAATATATTTGAATTAATGTTTTTCGTGTCAGTTCTAAGGGATCGAAAGTCATTTTATCACGTTCAAAATGTAAGTTCTTGGTTGAACTTTTGTGGCCTTCGCAAAAATGATTTTTAAATCGAGAGCTGAGAGACTAAGTGATGGTTATTCAAAAAAAAAAATTTGAAAAAAGTTGTTTCCCGGCTTTTTCCACGTTTTCCAGCTGTCTCACGCCTTGAAAAAGTCGCTGACAACCTCGGGTGAACGTCTTGTTTAATTACTTGCTTTTTGACCTCCTCTCGGCGCGGAGAACAACCGGAGCAAACTTGACTCCAGATGAAAAAAAGAGCAGAACCAGCCGATCGATAAATACTATCTTTTGTGTTGACGTGTATCTTTGTGATCAAACATGCCTTTGTCGTCGAGTTTGCATGCAGCCCGAAAAATTACTCTTGGAGGAGACATTTTTTATACGTTCATAACTTCTTTTTTTCATTTTTCTTGTTGGAATAAAAAGGTAATTTAAGGATAAAATGATAGAAAGAAAACGAGTGCCCCTGTATTAAACCCGTATAAGCACAGCTGGTAGCACTTTTGGCAATTCTTCGCCCAGTTGAGACCCCGCTTCAGCACGGCTGGGTTACATATTTTTCTTACACCCGTTTTTCCCCCGTTTTAGCCCAGCTGAGACTCAAATGGGCTCAAAAACGCGGGTTTAATACGGGTACACCCGTTGAGGCACCTAGCCACCATGCGAGCTCGTTATTTGTTGTATTTTTTGCAGTTCGGTAGAGCAAAGGTGCAAAAAAAGCTGTTTTTACGGTACCTTTTTTTCTGCTATTCTTTTAAAACGTGACTCGCACTACGCTCTGAAAAAGCGTTGATTTCCGATGCTTCAGTAGGTCTTTTTCAGAATAATTCTCATAGAACTCGAGCTGAGCAAACTATGAATAGAGCTGCTTGGAAGTTCAGATCCAAGCACTTCGCGCCACCCCCGCTAGTCTCAGTTCGTTCATAATCTCATCGGAAATGCATTGTCGCCTTCGATTCCACTTGTGCGCCTTGTTTTCGCCGTTTTGGAATTTGGAGACGTCCCGATTCTCCATATGCTGACGTCCGCGAGGGCAATTTTCCACTAGTTTCACCTCTTTCGCCGCCTTTTCTCCTTGTTGTCTTCTCTCGAGAAAACATATTTCCTTTTTCCTTGCTTTACCCTAGACGTAGTCTATAATTAGGCGCCAGCAAGCCTTAATTGGACGTTTGTCTGCGTCATAGCTCTCTCAGCGGTCATCTAATTACAATTTAATCGAAAGTGTACAATTTTTAATAGTCTTCCATTTTTTTTGGGAGGGTTTTGACGTTCCCATCGTCATCAAAATGCAATTACACAAAGCTCTCAGCCACTTTTTTCGTTTCTTCGAAATTTTTGATTTTTTTTTTGATTTGCTCCATTTTTTCTCTACACACAAGGCGCCATTCGACGCCGCGGGACTCGAAATTCGATCACATTTGCCGCCTGTTTTCCCTTTCATCTCTTATTTTCGCCTCAAACCAACACATTCTCGGCCCTTTTACGGATGGATTCGCTCAATCATACTTAGTTCACGTTACCCCACTTGACAGCCGCTTCAAAATGGCTTAAGCCTCTTTTTTCTCACTAACTTTTTTTTTTGGTATGATAAGGGATTCTCAAGGAAAAACCCTATTGTTTTGTGGAGACCTTTTTTTCTGAAAATTTTTTTGAGGCCTAGGTGAGGATTTCTCATAGCTAGCTAGCTGCTAGCTGCAAACATTTTTCGTAAACAATGCTAACTTTGGCAGAAGATGAAAATTTTTCAAAAATGGGAATCCGAATGAAAAGTGACTATAAAGTTGCTTCATTAAACTTTCAAAAATTATCTGCGCAATTTTTTCATCACTCTGAAATGTCAAAGGGAGTCACCATAGATATACGCCTTTCAAATTCATTAAAAGATTAAACTCGGATTTTTGAAACCAAAGAACTATGAGTCATGGAAAGATTCATTGGCGTTTAACAAATTGAAAGAAAAAAACAATTAGGAACATATAGTTAGAACTTTTCGAAACAAGGACATGGTATATATTTCGAAATATTTTTGAAAGTTTCGGTTCTGTTCAAATAAGTCGAATAATCCCTACTCTCTGCTTCACTCGGCCTTTTTCTCAAAAAAATTCATCTTCGAGCAACTTTCGATGGTGCTCCTGCAAACTGAAATTGGTTTAATTGCAGCCGAACGTTTTGGAAATGGGTCCGACGAAGTACCTCCGACGAGGATTAGCCCAGATGACGTGCGTCGTTCTTTTGGCGTGCTCGGCGGCGGCGGATTACTGCGGAGCGAATAAGGTGCCCTACGGACTCGAGGTGCACAGAGACGGGAGACTGAATCTTCTCTGCTCGAGGCCCAACTGCCACGAGAAGAAGTACGCGGTGCGTTGTCCCTCCGCGATGCAGGAAAACTCATTTTTGTTCAATTAGAGACAAAAACTGTATGCTGACTGTAAAATCGGTTGAAATGTTTCCTTGGACAGCAGACAGTCAGAAATTGAAAAAGCTTTATTTGGAAAAAAAAATTGAGGGTCGCGTTGTCCCTTTTTGCTCTGAAAAATCGAGATGTAGTCTGGTCAGTTCGTAAATGCATACTGAGACGCTTGAATTAACAGCATAAATTTCTTGGCGGATAAAAAGCAATTCTTCTGGGAACCGCTCCTTCTCATCAAGTTTATGAAGTTAGTTAATTAATTTCCAAGTATTCCAGAAAAATTTTTCAACCGATTATAATGCAAAAATACTTGCAAAACGTATTCAAGACTTTTTAAAAGATATAATTTTTGTAGGAGTGTCCGGAAAGAGAGACGACGTCGCGATGTCTGAGCAACTCTTCTTGGGTCGGCGGCCTCACTCAACATACCGATGGAGGGTCCGTTTCTGTTATTTTCCTTTCCTGAATGTTTTTATTCTCTCATTCAGAATTCTTCTTCGATGCTGTGAGTACGATCTTCTGCCTAAATATGGGAAATTACAATACTCTGAGGTTTGAAGTTTTTGCTAATCGATCTTGTTGAAATCCTCGATCAAAAATCATTTTTCAGGTTTTTTTTTCATGATGCAAAAAAATACTTTATTTAAAGCATTTTGCTGACATTGGGAACTCAGTTGAGTAATTTAGTTTTTTTTTTGATGGCTGGAGGAAACTTTTGATGAAGCTTTACAGGAAAAACAAAGTTTGTGAAAGAAAAAACACCACGAATTGTTTTTTTCCCATTGATGAAATAAAACTTGTGAAATTTTAGCTGAAAATCCGGAAGGGAGAGTTCTTCGAGGGCGAAGAGAAACTCGCAAAAAACAACGAAGACGTTATCGCCTTCGACATCATCACTGACATAGAACAGAAGAGAGATCTGAAAGGGTTCGTAGATGAATGAATGAAGGGAAAATTATCTGGAAAAGAACCCTGCAGGGTCTACTATTCGTTGACGGTGACGCGTTATGAGTGCGGCAAGATCCCCGATTCGCCGCCTCTTTGGTACAAGACGAGGCAGTGGCCTTACTGGCGATGACACAAGATTTGCCGTGAGTTCATTTTTCAGAGCTCCTGACTGATTCTCATGGGTTCAGATGCCATAGTACGGGTTCTTCAGTGATTATTTTCGGGTTCCGACTTCTCCACATCTCTCTACCTTTTTTCTGCTGGGCTCTCTTGTGAATTTATTTGGGTTGATTCGATTCCACGGTCTTCAAACTATCACGGGCTGATTTTTGACTCTTTCAATACATTTTTCCTCACTTGATTTGCACTTAAAAAAAGGTCATCACCAACTTTTGCGGAGAACTTTGCTGCGAACATGAAGTCCTGTCGTAACAGAGGCCTACGCAAAAGCAGGGACAAGCAAAAACACACAGAAATGAAAAAGGGAAACTCGTGACGAACGGAGAAGTATCACGAGAAATAATTTCCTAATTGAAAGGATTAAAAAAGATAGCATGAGAAGGGTTTCTCTAAATTTTCACGTGGCCACGCTCACATGATAAGTAATTTTACTCTTATATTTAGAATTTTTTTGAAATTATCCCAAACAATACTTGACTCTTTCTTAATATGAAAAATCAAGACAAAAAATCTCAAGACCTTTGCCGACAACAAATAGTCAAGGGTATCTAACTTTGGAGCAATTTGAAAAGACTTCATATCGGAGATAAAAGCGCGATTAGTTTAAAGCAGTTTCGGACAAAGAAAAGTTTTTCCAAAACGTATATTTTCAACGAACCATATTCGGAAACATGACCACACGCATTTTTCATCCATGAATCGAGAATCCACATCAAAATCAGAAATGGAAACTTTTCAAAAATTAGATACTATCTAATCGGGCTGTGTCTGCATATACATAAAATAATGTTTTCATAAGATCTTGAGTCCGAAAGGTGTTTTCTAAGCTAATTTTTACTCACTAAAAAGGAGGTTCATCGAGGGAAACGTTTCTTTCAAGCATGATCTTCGGTGAAAGACAAATGACGAACCCGAGGAAGTCAAGGGGATGAAGAAGGGATCCGGAAGGGACGAGCGGCCAGCCAGGAGGTCAGAGGTGCGAATGGCTGCGTGTTTGCTCGTCTATTACAGGCGTCCATATCGGGACCCATTGAAATTGTTTGAAAACGAGATCAACCAAGAACACAAACACGACACCACGAAACACTCTTTGAGTCTGAAAGTTGCGCCGTAAATGGATTTTTTGTGCAGGTGGATTAGGAAGTTCTTTCCTCGTTGAACTTGACAGTTCAAACAACGAAAATTTCAGTCACAACATTATTACAATTTCCCAAATCAAGGTGTCGCTGAAATATCCGCCAGTCACTTTTAGCATAAAAGGTCATTGGACTTTGTTCTTGGTGGTTCCACAAACTTTTGCAGAAACACCCCATGTACTTGATCAAATTTCCGAAACTTTAAACTTTAACGATTTCTCTTTTTTTTTCGACAAGCAAGGAATTTCGAATGCCTCAACCCCCCTACGATTTCTGACTTTATTTTGTATATATAAAGAAGCATCTGAGCCAAATTTCATTAATTTGCCAAGAAAAAAAGCTGAAATTAGCGCCTTTTTGAAGATATTTCCCCAACTTTTTGCATCAGCTCGCAAAGACAATATATTCAAATTTTTATCAAAATAAATGGATATGAGACAATGAAAAGATGAAAGAACCCGTTTTAGAGATAAAATACGCTGTTATTCGCGATATGCCATAACCCGCAGGGGCATAGGACCTGGTTGGTTGAATTTTCGGCAGACTTAACATTGCAAATGTCTTGACTGGATTTTCATTAATATTGTGGAAGTGTCAAACTACGCTGAAAAAAGAAGAACTTTTGCAAAAGAACTCTTGTCAAATCTAGAGGAAGGAGCTCATGGAACCCGTAATGCTACAAATTATTATTGGTTTTTAAGTATCACATGAAGCAACGGGATGAAATACCAATTGGTTGCTGATTCAAAATAGACCGCCTTCAAGAGGAAAACAGGAATTCAAGCGGCGACGGAGCTGACGAGAAGTTCGCCGGGCCGTGACCAATCGCAGCAGACGTAATGCCGAAGCAGAGTCCGGTACTTGTCGGAGAAAAGCATGTACACGCAAATGTTGAACGAAGCGTTGATTATCACCTGCAAATAGACCCATCGAAAATCTCAATTCAAGTCTGTCAAAGTTGCGAGCTTCTCGTTTTTTTTTAACTTGCTTTCAGGACGAAAAAAAAAATCTCCCATTCATAACTAGAAAAATCTGGCAATAAAAATGCGAAAATTTCCAAAACGAAATGAAATAGACTCACGGCTGACTTGAGGTATCACTGAAAGTTAAGAGACGGGTTCTGACGACATAATAATACACAGTGTAAACTATGCAGAATATTATATTTTGTTCACGTCTCAAGTTTTTCAAGCTTTTTTGAGTTAGTCTTTTATTGAGAGAAGGTCTTCGATTTCTACTGATGTCACAATTCAGCAGCTTTTTCACAATTATTTTCCAAACTTGAGGACTGGAACTGACAAGAAGGTTGTTGAAGGTGACCAGCGACTGGTACATGGGACCTTCTTCTTCCACGTTCTCCATGATGTTGCAGACGAAGGCGAGAGTGTTGCAGGAGATGAAGAGGACGACGATTGAGACGAGCATTATCGACGTCTGTCGTTCTTTTCTCTCCGCCTTTTTCGAGTACTCTTCGTTTTCGGCTCCGCACTGAAACGTACTTTGTCAAATAAGACAAACAGTGTAGACAATTTAGTAGAACTCATTTCTAAAACCAGATCGTCAGGCTAAAAAGTCTTTTCGATTTTTTCAGTTCTTTTTCAAAGCCCAGGTCGTGTTGAACTTTATTTTAAAACCCTCCTTGAGCTACGACTCCAGGTTTAATCAGATTAAAAGAAGATGAAGAATAAAAAAAAGTTTGTTTTTTAAGAAGATTAAATATTTTGTTTTTTTTTAATTCTTAGAAGAGGTCTCATTCTTCAGGCTCTCACCTGGCTGACCATGTGCATCCGGCGACTTTTCCGGACTGCGGACAGGACCATCGAATTCAGCGCGATGAGCAAGGTAAACGGCACTACGTACATGACAATCGTGTAGGCCCAACCGAAAAAGATTTGCCTGAAAATTTTGAATCATTTTCTACACTTCCCAAGGATATCAACGTGAAAAATAAAAGAACAAACCTATAAAGACTCGACATTCGCAAAGATGTTGGTTGCAAGGAAGGCATGTCGAACTTGATGTTCTCGCGAAAGCAAACATTTGAGATGTAAACCTGGAAAAAAAGAAGTTCGAAAAAAGTGATGATGAGTTTATTGATGAGCTTAACCAAAAAGGTATTTGTAGCTTTGAGCAACCTAGTGAGATATTTCGAGTCAATAATAGAAAATTGACAGACCTCGAAAAAACGTGTGGTGTTGAAGATGACACTGAAGCCGATGAGGCACAAAATGAAAGTGGTGACTCGTTTTTTGGGGAGCCATTCGACGGATTTGTACGGATGACACACTCCGATGTAACGATGGACTGATACTCCCACAGTCATGAACACACTGTCAAAATGAATCTTGAATTACAGTCTTAGAAAGTCTCTATCGAGGGAAAAACTGACTGGGTGCCGAAAATAATATGACTCTTGATCCTAGCGGAATTTGTTTTCATTATTGATCAGCAGTGATGATGGCAAAATAAGGAAATTTTCAGGCCAGAAAGTTTTTTTTTATGCTTCAACTTTCAGAAATAACTCAGAAGCTCATGTTTTTATTTAAAGTTTTCTCATGATTAGCAACGAGTCTTTTTAGAAGGTTCAAAGTTTAACCCCCAGCGTTCGATTGAATAAAGAGACCAAATCCGTTTCAGAAAAAAAAACGGCAAAAGTCTATATAGTTTTTTTAAAAAAACTTGAAAAGAAAAAAACTGTTTTTTATATTTTGAAATCTCAATTCAAAACTTTGATTGATGCTTTTTGGAATGCAAACCTGTCATCAATCATCATTTCAGAACAGCCTGATGAATTTCAAAGAGTTCCGAAATTTGAAATTTACCGGAAACTTTTCCAAAGGTTGCTTAGAGCTAACATTATGACACAGAAGCCTATGCTGAATGATAGAAATGTCGAAGTACGCGCCTTTAAAGGTGTTTGTCAAAAGAGAAAAATCAAGTTTACCCTTTATGAATGTTAGAAGTATAAATAATGCAAACTTTCGAAAATAAACTTGACACACCTGCAAGTTTGAGCCGTCATCATGAGCCCATACATGTATGGCGTCACCGAGTAGCTGAAATCGGAATATTCTTTTGAAAAACCAAGGTTAACATCAATTATCAATGTTTATTGCACAGAAACATCAACACAAACATGATAACTAAACACATCCAAACTGAAAAAAGGCAAAGGTTGAGCTAGAAATAAAAAAAAAAACTCGATTTCTGCAGTTAAATAAATTATCTCGCTTTTGACCACCATTTTCGAATAAAATTACTGATTAGTGCATGAGAAACAAAGAAAGGCATAATTTGACACGTAAAAAAAATAGTGAGCTGCGAAAATGATAATAGAAACTGAGCTGCACAAAAAAACAACTACAGCTAGCGGCTGAGGCAACAAAACTGTACAAAAATCAGCAAAACCATTAGAATAAAGCTTTTTTTTTAAAAAGTACTTTTTTTACAAGTATTGAAAAAAGATTTCCTAATTAGCTTTATGGCGTTGAACAGTAAAGAATGTTTCAAAAAATTTTTTTGACGACTTCTCACTAGGAACGGACAGTAGCACTCAACTAAAAAATTATGGAAGAAAACCGAAGCGTAGACATTTTTGAGTACAGTTCATTGTTTTCTCTAACCGCCTTATAAAAACATCTAAATAAAAACTTCAAAAAAGCAGTTTGGGTTGACAAATAGACAAATTTAATCGGAAAAAAACTTTTTCTTTTGAATCGGAAATCAATTTGTTTTTGAAAGTTTTTTGTAAATGTCTGCACCTCAGTTTCCACCGACAAACTCAACCTCGTATTCAGACGACATGAAAAACGAACCTGATATAACTGGCTCGCCACCAAGAGAGCAGCTCGCCAAACCGTGGAAGCGCAAGGACAAAGAAGGCAGAGATGAGGATGAGGGTATCTGAGGCGGAGAGGACGGCCAGGTACCAGTTGATGCTGGAGGAGGACATGATCCGGTGGGTGAAGATTCGGACCGAGGTGAGGTTGGCGAGGACTCCGAAAGCGATGATCGGCACGGCGACGAGGCCTAGCAGCATCCGCTCCATGTACTCGTAGAACATGTATTCGGTGTGGCAGACACAGGAATTGTTGAGGGGAAGACAACCGGGCGCCTCCGAGCCCATGATGTTGAAGTTAGGAGTGGGGGACGGTGCCGTCATGTTTAGTATGAAGGCTGGAGTTCAGAAGAAGTTCAGAGCTTGGCACAGTTTGGGAACCGCTCTGCGTACTTCTCGTGGCGGAGGAAGCGCACCGCGACAAGGCGTCCTGAAAGAACTCAAATTTTCAAGCAGAAAACAAAAAGCATTTTCATGTAATCTCTACGACTCTCGAAAACATCCTGGCAAATAATTCAAACTGGTTGCTTGATTGGTTCAAAAAAAACTTCAAAGAGCAAAACGGTCCGAGGGTTTGACCAAAAGAACCTTTGGTAAGTTAGCAGAGAAGGAATGAAAGACACTGAAAACGCAAGTACAGATGCCCAAGAGTTTCAGCTGCAGTCGTTCTCAGAAGTTCAGAAAAAGAGCTGCGAAGCATAAGGAATTAAAAAACCGGCCTAAATAAGCAGACACCATGGCAACACTACTACGGCGTGTTCCAATCAGCTAACAATTTCGTTAAAAATTAATCAGTCTATTGTGAAAATGTGAATTAATTTTGTTGCATGAACCGAGTGGAAATTACTGATCATGCGTCTTGAAATCAAATCTACGATTTACAGGTGCAGAAAGATGATAATTAAAAGCTCAAATTCAAATTTTTTTTTAATATGGCGCAAAAAAAATTGTAAGGCAGAAAAAAAGCCTTCTACGAAAAGGCTGAGCTGGACAAAAAGAGTAGAAAAAGAGCAAACTGAGGCCATAAGCTGCGAAAAACTTATAGAGTTCGCAACCACCTGCGTCAAAAAGGGTAAGATAACATTTCCCGAAGTCAGTCCTAACAAGACAAACCAGCTTGCGAGCCGAATGAATTTATCTAGCTGCGCTCGAAAACCGAATTTATTCTTGACTGAAAACTATTCGAGTTTGAGATTAATTTGATTGAATAAAAAAAATGAACTCAAAACCCAAAAAAAATTGAGTTTTTTTTTAGAAATTATAGTAGAATATTTTAGTGGACGTGGAATTTATTATGAAGTGGGAACTAAAATTTCTATTCTTCCTCTACCGCCATACAATGACTTTGTACGATAATAGATTAATTGGACGTTGAAACAATTATCTAACTGTTTTGAATGATGTTAACTACGTTCCAATTGTTCAAAACTAAATTCTTACTCGAAATGGGTTTGACGATAATTTTCTGAGCATTGAAAATTAGATGTTTATGATTTTTTAAAATTCCTGAGATTCAATTGTTCAAACAGGCTGTAATGAAATGTACATTACTGAGATTTTCCAATTAGCGGATGAAAAACTCGTCTTGATATTCTCACTGAAATTTGTGAGGACCAACGAACCAAATTGTTCCTCGTTTTGAACCAAGTTTTTTTTTTTGATTGATAGTAGTTATCGCATTATTTCTAATGGAATGCCTACTTTCGCTTAAAAAACTTTTCATGACGTGAACTTCCGAAATGGCCTTCTAATTGCTAGAAATAGTTAGCTAAAGAATTTCATAGAAATTTACATTTGATTATAACGACAGCTAAAATCAGAAAAAAAGAAAAAAATCGATACTAATTATAAAAAAAGAATACCAGCTGGCGTTAGTTGCCGTGCGAAAAGGGTGTCGGAAAAATGAAAACAAAAAGAAAATATAATCTCCATAAATGTGCTCCAACGTGAAGTAAACGCAATAAACAACGGATGTTCCACAATAAAAATAAAAATTTGGGATTCAAATGCACTTGAAGTGAACCAAAGAGAGCAGATAGTGAAAAAAAAAATTAGATTAAAAATAATTTTCAGGAAAACATGATATTATCTCATTACTAACCCGAATTTCGCCATATTTTTTCTAACTAAAAAGTCCGAAATATGTTTTCTCCTCCTTTTTTTTCCTGATATACTCAAAAAAGATCTATGCTTGGAACTAGCAACCTTAACAATATTATATGAATTAACGAGAAGCATAAAATAAGAAGAACAAATCAAAATCGCCACAAACAACCGCGCTATAAAAAATTTGCGCAAGAGTGACTTCAAGAGGTGAGCGAAAAGAATGGAGCAAGAAAGGAGTCTCCAAGAAAAAGTCATAGTTTTTCGGCCGTCAAGATGATATCTATATGCATGGACAGCTCTGGGATTCCGACACCCGAGAAAAACCAGCGGACCCGAATGGACCTGCGAGGCGGAAATGAAAATAATCGAAAGCAACCGCCACAGGACTCACCGCCCACCAAAAGAATCCCTTCCAGAAATTCAAGAGGTTTCTGAATTGACTTTGCCGACGAATTTTCAGAAAAGAACCGTAAAACCTTTCGTAGAACGTATCAATGCAGAAAATAGTTAATAGCCTTTTTTTTAATAACCGACAGTTAATGCACCGAGCAAGAGATTTTTAAGAGGTCAATGGTTTTGAATTTGAAGGGACCTTCCGATGTCTTTCATTTTTCTTTTCTCCAAAAAACATCAGTGTACTTTCTAACCGAATTCCCATAAAAAGATTTTTTAATGCACTTAAGTTACCCTAATTAAAAAAAAGGAGCTGCTATTTTAACCCCTATGCTTCTCCGAACGTTAAAACATTTTCTGATGGGACATTCCAGTTTACAGAGTCTTCACAGCAGAATGTCATAATGAAATCGAGTTCAGAACTCGCAATGAGAAAAAAAATAATGAAAAAAAAAATCGTCTGCGCAAGCTTCGCAAACTATTTACTTGGTAAAAAATGCGTTTATGCATGCCACACGCCCATTAGGCTCGAGCGCATGTGCCAAATTAGAGATTGATGAAAACTTGAGCTTTAAATCCAGAAAATGTCAATTTTCTATGACAGAAACCTCTAAAGTTCAAATGGAGAAATTTTGAAAATGACCTAAAGTGATTTGAACAGGTGAAATAGTTGTATCAGAGTGAAATAAATATTCAAATGTTCAATAGTTTTTTTCAGAAAGGTTTCTTCATTTTTTTGGCGCGCTCTCCGCAAAAAAATATTTTTTTATATACTATTCAGCTAAATAATTCTTTTTCACGCATAATGCAGGATAAAAAAAGCTTTTCTTGCTTTTTATCAGAGTTGTAATAATGTCTCAAGATTTTTTTGCAATTTTTGAACCATCACTCTATTCAGAAAAAAAAACCTCTTTAGAAGTTACAAGCGTGATAATAGTAATGGTTGATTCAAACTAGAGAAAAAAACATTTATCGTGGTTAATAAAGTCGGCAAATGAGAAGAAAGAAGACACGCGACTAGGAGCCTGAAGGTCGGGAAAAAAGAGGCAAATGACTGAAAGAATCTTTTTCTTGCGAAGTAAACACCCACGAGGAAAACTGTTTTTCGGCGAACTTTCCATTTGAAAACTACTTTAAAAACATAGAAGCCCAATATTGAGCATCAATGAAATAGGTCTTAATTTTTCAGAAAATAAAAAAATGAAGGAAAAAGAAACCGGCGTTTGATCTTCCAACTTGAACTTCATCGTTTAAACGAAAAAATTCATTTTACAAAGCATTAATGAGAATCGACACAAAAAAGATGGACAAAGAACAAAGGTTTCGAAATGTTGCCAGAAGAATTTTTTCTGCAAAAGTTGAGGCAAGCTGTGAAGGACAAGAAGTCGCCGTGAGAGCAGCGAAGACGGAAGGAAAAGAGGAGGGCAAAACTGAAACAGAGGAAAAGATGAAGTCCACACAAGAACTTCCTTAGGAGAAAATAAGCAATTGGCTCGACGGCGCCATATTGTGCTGCGAGAAATTAATCGACCTCATGTCTTCGGACTTTCCCTGCACCTCTCATCATTTCTCCGGCGCCTGTTAATCACTTGGTTAATGGCCGGTGCCCATAGGCGATTCATCAACTCCCACAAAACCCGCCGGCTTCGATTCCACCGAGGAGGCAAGCAAGCAAAATAGCGTGTCGAGCAACGTTATAACACAAAAATTGCGACTGCGAAACCTAAGGTTACGAGGCAATCCGAGAATTAAAACGCCAAAAAAAAAAAGAATTGCGAACCTCGACAAAAGGCCGACCGAAAAATGAAGATGACAAAGCAATTCCTAGTTATTAAAAGCTTCTTGTAAGAATCCTTCATACATCAAGTTGACTTACGCCTGAAATTGTGACTTGAAGTTTACAGATAATTAAAATTTCTTAGACTTCACATTTTCGTAATAGGAAAAAACTGTTACGAGTTTCCGTTATGAAAAGAAAAAAGATCGAAGAATAGACAAGTTCGTCCTGAAGGAACGCGAAATTCCGTCGCAGCAGCTGCAATTGGGATGCTTCAAGCAGATACGAAAAACATCTCAAATGCGTCGCCCAGATTTGGTTTGACAAGCCCGAAAAACTCTCGAAATTTAACACTAAAATCTTGTTGGCCAGAATTTAGTTCGTAAACTTGCTCGTTCCATTTTTCTTTTTTTTTTTGCAGCCACTTTACACGCAAAAACTGGCTTTTATATCGAAACATGATGAGCTAATTTGAAATTTACATAAATTTAAATTTAGTTTGTTGAAGAAGAAATCGTGAAACAGAATGAACTCAAAATTTTCGTTTCAGAACGGCTCAGTTTTACTTTGACATAACAAGGGAAAATAAAATCAACTCAATCTAGGGAATTGAGAAAGAAGGTGGCCCGAGGACAAGAAAAAAAAAAGAATCGCAACTAACAAGTCAATCCCTTTCTTTAACTTTCATTATTTGGTTAATCAATAACTATTTTATATTGTAAATGAAATAAATAATATTATTTTTTTGTTTAGAATGATTTCAAATTTTCAAATTTCCGCGCTTCCAAGTCTGGTAATTTTTCGAATTGTAACTCCTAAAAAATAGCCCGCTTTTAAAGACGATTCATAACTCGATAAACATTATAATGAGTTTTAAAATAGAAGCGATGGAATAAAAATCTTTGAGAAAAAAAAACAAGATGAAAATGATGCGTTCCTACTCAAGACGGCATGAAGAAAAGAAAAAGAAACAGATATGCAACTCCCAAGTGAGTTAATTTCGAAGAAATCGTGGAAGGACCACAAGGACAAAAAAAACTAAACAACGTGACTGATGTCTCGATCTGTTTTGAAAGCAGCGAACCTTGGACAATCATTACAAAACCAAAAGCCTGCCAATGCATTTCCAAATCCCAAGCGGCCTATCTAACATTCTGTCTCGTGTTGTGAAACAAACTTTTCGAACATGAAAATAAATAACAATGTACACCCGAAGAAATTGCGTAGACATAGTTAAATGAGCTCAAAAATTTATGTAGCTTTACTTTGAAGATCAAACTGTTTCTGAGAAGCCGAAGAGACTTTCCACAAGGCGGAAACCAAAAATATTCATAGCCAAGCCTCCAGCACAAAAAAGACACACACGCTTTACTGAATGAATTCATAAAAAGTCCATAAATCGGGCACACGCTCTACTTCTAACCGCCGATAAAAGCAGCCATTGAATGGATGATGTTGGATAATTTAGAGGACTTTTTTGATTAAAAAAGTCGAAAACGAGGCAAGCGATCTTTACTGCGGTACAAAAAACACATTGACTACATGAATAGAAGCAGAAAATAAAAACTAAGCGTAGGTTAGAAGAAGGAAACGTCCGTCAACACATTTATCATTTAAAATCCACGCGTTTTCGATTGAAAACTCTAAGTATAAAGTTTTTTCTACAAAAGTTTAGGCAAAAATCAGGCTCTTCCTATGAAAAATCATCTAAATGATAGCTTTTTATTCCAGGTTCAGCTGTCACGCCCGAAAGCGCCAATGACCCATTCGAGGTTTCGCTCCGTCGCAATTCAAGATTTGATGGCCGGCCATTTCCTTGGGGAAAACCCTTGCATGGCTCCACTCCAAACCGCAACGCAAGTTCGTTTCAAAAAATGACAAAGCTACTTGAAGACCATGTACTTGATTTTTTGAGGAACGCCTACGGGTAACATTTTCGAAATGGTCTATTGAAGCTATGTACTTAAGTGAAATTAATATTTGAACGTATAATAGAAATATTCAAGGATATAACATTTTTGGACCAAAGAAGACCTCTGAAAATTGTTTTCGTCGTTCCTTTAGAAGCTGATAAGAACAGAAGAAACCTACATACAAATTTTGGTTAGTGCGAAATGGAAGTGAGAGTAACGAAAAAAAAATTTACAAACAAAAGAATTAAAAACGAGTCAAAAAAAAAGAAGGAAGCACGCCAGAATGATTTAACCCCACATAGCGGGTACCTTTTGAAAAAAAGAATAGACAGAAAAAAGAATGGAAGTTGACGTTTGATTGGCCTCTATAATTGCCTCGAGCCGTAAATAAAACCTTCAGTCGTTAATTATTCCGAAAGAAAAGAAAGTTCTCTTGCGTAAAAGGTGAGAAACTCAATGAGAGCTGATCCCAAAAGGGTTGAGATCCGTCAAACTCGTGAAATTAACTATAACTTTCATGTAGTTCCTGTCTTAATATATGATTGTAACCAGAAAAAAACGTATTGAAATGAACAGCTGAGGAGGTTTCACCAAAGCAAAAAAATATGGAGTAATCTTCACCAAGAACCGCGAAAGCCTTGAGGCACGTTCAGTAAATGAAAGCGCCGAAGAAGCAACATGACAATTGTTCAATCCAAGTCGTGGCAGCTGACCTGGTACGCTTGCCGCAAAACAAAAATCTGAAAAAAAGAACATTCGCGGGCATTTCCAATTGAAGCCTCTTTCGCAAAACTAGACCATTCACAGTACTTTCAAGATCCGACATCTATCTCGAAGCCAACATTCCGTTTTGATGTAGCCTCACGCTGAAATAAACTCTCAAGTCTGAGAAACATTCTGTACGGTCACTTATTTCAAAAAAGGCATATCAGACGTCATTTATAGCCAAAACTGTTGCAAAATATGCTCAATCGGACAATCTTCTGAGAAAATTTCAATGTTTCGGATGAAACATCAGACTTGAAAACAGAAGGGAGAAAACTCGTGTAAAACCACGAAATTTTTTATTTGTTTGAAGCAATGAGAAAGGCATTCAAAACAAAAAATAGACTGCGCCTCAGTTAACGATTGCCTCTGGACTTGTGCAACAGCTTTCGTAGTAGCCGAGCACCTTGGAAGCAAAAAATTTTTTTGAAGATCTTTTCTTCATCAATTGAAATGTCGACCGAGATTTTTTATTCTCGGTTTCTCATCGAAGTCGTTGAGATTCAAAAATTGGCGAGCAGGAGAATAGAACGGTCACGTCATCTCATCGTCGTTAAATTTAACAAGCTTTTCTCACGCTCACCTTCCTCGAAGACGAAATAAATGGAACAAGACCAGAAAAGAAATATGGAATTCTTCAAAATTTTTTCTTGCTCATCGAGAAAAAGACAGCTTCAGTTTTTTCTACGGTTCGGCCGCGAAGCAAACGCGCAAGGCGAGAAAACGCAACTTCTCATTCCGCCTGAGCAGCAGCAAACGTGAGCTTTTTTTCCATTTTTTGAAAATTTCGTTTGAAGATTCAATTTTTTTTTCATAAGAAAGGTCTGTTTTTCAAAATCGAATTAAATGTTCAAAGTTTTTTTCTATAAGTGGGAAAGTAAAAAAACTTAATAACTCCAGCAGGGCGGATTGACTAAAAAAATTATGATAAATACGGTAAAAACTTTCAACCTTCGAAAGGTAGTGTTGGCAAAAGTTTTTTTTTTTCTCAAAAGTTACTTCTGACTTCAATTTAATAAAGACTGAGGAGGGATTGGCGGCTTTTTATATTTCATTCGCTCCCGCTGAACTTATTGAGTTATTCACTTGCCCCTGTATGGAATGAATTCGAATTTTCAATGGTATTTTGAAATGTTGTGCACATAAATGACCGACTGATACATTCAAACTTGCAATTTGCTCAAAGCTTAACTCTTCGCTCGACAACCGCCAACGCTCCCCAAAAGTGTAAGATGAGAAAATAGATAGGACCAATGTAACACCTGAAGCCAACCAAGCTCAATGGGTAAAAAACTGGGAGACTGATTGCTTCGGCAAGAAAACAACAGGAGCGATTACATGTTCCAACCAATTTGTCAGTGATTCTCGACATAACAAATCACTTTGGCTCTTTTATCGCTGGGTACCTACTGCGAAAAGAAAGAAATGAGAAAAGCCTGAGCAAAATTCGAACACAATAAACTCATTTTTTTTTCTTTTTTTCGTATCAAATTTAATCGGAAAACCTTCTCCATGGATAGGAACAACAACCCAGCTTGAAAAACCTTTTCATTGAAAAGGATTCTTTTTTAGCTCGAAAGTATGTTTTGAAGTTATGCATACTTATTTAGGTGAAGTTTATCGCGAGTTGGTTATAAAATGAACCTTAAGAAACGGTCAAAAATATCAAATAGTAGACTTGTCCACTTGTTTTGACACAAGCTTCTTTCAGGGGTAACGAGCGTTTTTGCCTACGAGAAAAAAAAAACGTCAGAACGAAAACGAAGGAAAGGCACACGGACTAACATGAAGTGGACGCTCCAAAACAAGAAGAAAAACGAATTTTTTCACAGATAAAACAGCTATCTAATCTTTCTTCTTCTTTTTTTTGGGTATAGGTAAAACGAAAAGGCAAATTATACGACGTGAAGTGGTTACTTCCGAAAGACATTCTCAAATCAATCACAGTGAAGTGATTTCTTTTTTAAAACAACCTTCAACCGAGAAATTGGTCGCGAAAAAAAGCGAAATGCTTGAAGTACACAAAATAGAGAAATTTGTCTGGTGACGAGGTTTTTTCACACTTTTCGAGAGTTCTCGAGGATTTTGGTGCTTAAAAACGTTCTAATTTGATTTCGACATATGCTCTAACAGCAAGTACTTCCCAAGCATGCGGAAAGAGAGAAGAGGAAGTGCGAAAAGCACGAATTCGCGACTTTCACCTCTTATTTGTGAGGCGAAAAGTAATATTATCCTCGCCGCAAGCCATACACAAACTAAAAATGCTAATTTGTAAAAATATTGTAAGTTTATCGAGCGAAGAACTGCTTTCTCGAAGAAAAAAAACTTTTGAAACTCTGCAAAAAGCCCTAGGCTTTGGATGCTTTTTGACTTAGCTTATCATCAAAAGTCAGAAAAAGTTGACATGCTCCTTTTTATTTGAAGCTTGTTTTGAAAAAAAAAGTCGGAATTTTCTCATTGCCATTTTCAAAATCGAAGGTATTTTCTTCCAATGTGAGTATGCCCAATAATTTAGACAAAATTCCCAAAAAGAGTCCTTGACATTGGACGCTTTTCTCCCAGTTCTCCATGAAGCCCGTCGTATCAAGTGACTCTCCAGCTTCACTCTAGATTTCATCACGTTTTTTTCAAGTATATATTTTCTCATGACCCAATGAAATTACTATAAATTTTTTTCGAAAAAATGAGCGAAAAATAAGCGAAACTAGATATTTTCTTTTCTTTTACAAAGTGATTCAAAGATTCCTCTTCGACAAACTAGTGCCGATTGAAATATAGATCATCCTGAAGGTTTCAAAATAAGTTATTTGTTCGTTTGCACCACTGAAACTGCGGCTTCTAACAGAAATTTGGGGCCTTTTGTTGAATTTATTAGGATACCATGTGAACTCGGAGCGTCGGAAATGGTTTTTCTTCTTTAGTAATTGCCAATCATCTTAACTTCTCTGAGCTTCCAAAAAGAGGTTTTAATTTCCCGCGCAAATAAAACAATAATTTATGACCTTCATGGCTGTTTTTTTTTTCCAAGCAACATGAAAACTTACATTTTCTTTTAAAACATCTAATAAAAAACCTTTCATGAGCTTTTCACCTATTGTACCGCTGAACTTGCGTTATTTACAGAGTTCGTTAAAAGTAATCTGAAAATTTCATAATTCGCCAAAAAGAAGCTATAAATAACTAACTTTCCTAAAACTTTAGTACTCTTTCGAACCGCCTGTTGACCGCCCGCATTGATTATCTCCCCATCAAAAACTTTAGGATGATCATTTACTAGAACGTTTTCCAGATAAGCGAACTGACCGTTGTAGTAAAAGCCATTCATCCTGTTGAAGGCTACGGAGGCGTCCTGGAGGTCGCGGAACATGACGTAGAGAAATCCCGGCTCAGAGTCGATGGCCAAGTGCGCCCAACTGATAACTTGTCCGTTGTTCTCGACCAACCGAAGCCGCAACACCAGCGACATGTCTAGCACGGTTGCTCTGAAGTGAAAACCTTCGTAATTCCGGAGCACATAATACGTTTAAGGATAAGACGAACAGAAAAATGTTTTCTAAAGTTCCAACGAAAAAAAAAACGAACGGATCGTTTTCTTTGAGTAAGCCCCGAATCTTCAAGCATCTAGAAGGAGCAGAGAACTTCTGGTTCCGATCGAAAGCTGAAACAGAAAATCATTGAATGAATAAATAAGTCTGTGAAAGTTTTTTTGAATAATAAGGTGCCAATGAACATTTCTTTCCGGTCACTCTTCATCATTATCTGGCTGAAATAAAATTCCAATGAATCTGGTACTATCGCAGAAGAGCCCAACACCAAAAAGTCAAGAAAATTTCTTCTAATCCAGTTTCAAGATATAATGGTGAAAGCTTTTACTTTTTGAAATTACGTGTCGCGAATTCGGGATAATATTCGATTTTTTATTTCAAGAGATAACTTCATACTCGAAAACATTGATCAAAAACATTTGATTTGGCTTAAAGGTAATATAAGTTCCATTTTGTCGCTAACCATCTTGAATGTGTTTTCCTTTACAATATCTGTTATCATCATTATGTATGAAACCCCAGTTATATTCCCTGTACAGGTGATTTTTCTAATTTTGAGGGGAAAACAGACCCCGCGACCCCCAGCCGGAAAGGACGACGTCCGCGGCGTCGCCAGAATCAACGGCTTCTTCCGAAGCAGGAACTTTACTTTCGCCGTCGATCACCGAGCGCTCTAATTCGTCGGCAGTAAAGGTGTCGTCAAGAAAAGTCTTTGTCTTCTGCCTCACGTACTCGTAGCTCTTGTGCAAGAAGTCTGAAAATAGAAATGAAAACATTTCTGAAATATGAATCTCTTATCATTAAAAGGTCGTTAAAAAATTACGATGTGGAGTTGAACTGAATCGTGAAAGAAATTCCAAACTTTTTAAAAACTTTATTTAACCTCTCACTAAATTTTTGACTCCCGGTCAAATGTATCGAAATCATAAAAAATAAGGCCATGCCAGTTATATACTGAAACCAGTCTATTATGCTACTAAAAAGTGGATTTTATATCTACACAGCTTCCAAAAAAGATGCACAGCCGTACTAGATTTTTTTGAAACAGGAAAAGTTCAGCCGATTCGGCTAAAAATGACCAATTCAGCCCAAAATAGATGATAAAAGACAGTTTGAAAACAGAAGATTTATACTGAAAAATAATCGTCTCAAATTTTCACTTCTCGAATTTCAAAACTACTAAACCTTCTTCAATTTTCGATTGTTTTTTTAAAACTATATAAATTTCCTGAGATTGATATACTAAACAACTTCTCGAAAGAAAAAAAACAAACATGATAAGGTGGCTAGAAAAAGTCCCATCGCTGGCCAGAAAGAGAAACTCCAGGTAAATATGATTCTTGCAATCTTGAAGACAACATAACTAACTGCTGAAAAAATAAAATTTTATTCTAGGAGCCGAATACTAAAATCACCAGAAAATTTTTGTAAGCTGATTGAAAGAAAATCTGTATAAAGACAGGCATAAGCTACGAACACGGCCAAAACCAGAACAAAATAACCCAATAATACCATTCGAGGTTTATCATAATTACTGCAACGTTAGAATATTATTTACGAAACAAGAAAGCAAACAAACCATGTTATAAAACGGAAAAAGATCTGCGCAACGCTGATAATCGAAAAAGTGAATAAAAGAGGACAAAAGCAGATCCATAGAAAATATTCCTGTAAAAATTTAATATTTTTTAAACAATTTTGTTTTTAACCTTGGTACGCTCACGAAGAACAGAAAGGTTCATCTGAAAATATGATATTTAGAAATTAACAAAACTCCCAGGAAACGATGCGGAGCGCATTGCTGGTTTCTGCGGAACGCGCGTAAAGTGAGCTGCGGAAAGCATTGCCTACGCATTTGCCCTGAAAAAAGGTTGTTGCGTTGCGCAAAAACGTGGCTGGCGTTGCGCAGACCTTCTAAATTCGTCCTGGCTCGTCCCGCCCCTTCGGGTTCAGGAATTTTCGCTATACAGGAATACCACTAGGCTTCTATTATTGCGATTTATCATGTAAGAACAACGTACAGTATATCTATTTTATCGAATATCATTTAACGACCACATTAAATAACAAAATCATCAACAAAAAGGATACATTCACTGGTAGACAAAAAAAATAAGATTATATTCAATTCAACTTAAAAGGCAAGGTGGATAATTGGCAAGGTGAAGCGTTGCGTACGCGACGCATATTTTCGCAAGAATTCGAGGTCAAACGCGTTTATGGAACGAATGTAGAAAAAAATTCTTAGTCTAGTAAGTTTTTTAAAAATTTTTATACCTTCATTCGTTCAACTAAACTTATTCCTTAAGGCCCTTTGAACAGCAAACTCGAACACATAGGTTTCCAGTTCGTTAACGTGTATAACATCACACTTTTGACAGCAAGCCCTACGGTTTTAACCATAAATAAATTTTCTCACGGCTCCAGATGACGCAGTTTTTTAACACTTTTAATTGAAGAGTATTATTTTTCCGTTTTATTTCTTGTGAGTTAAAAAGCTTCTTGAGAGGGAAAGGAATGTAAAAAAAACTTTTTTAATAAGAAATTCGAACTGGCGGGTTATCATACGAACTATTTATCATGCAACACGAGCGCAATCAAAGTGATGACTTGTTTTGAGATTAATTTTAGCATATAGATTTGATTAATCTATTATATCAACGAAAAGAAAACCAAGACTCTCATCGCAAAAAACATGAAGAACAAAAAAATTACCAACGTTGAACCATGCATCAATAAGTGTAAAAATTTGTACCTGGATTTTCGAAAAAGAAAAAAAGAAGAAGAAGAGAGAGAAATTACAATGAACATCAAACCTAAAAATTTTAAAGTTAACAAAAACCGGTGCGCGTGAGATGAAACGCTCCGACCGCACTCACCATGCGTACTCTTGACAAAAAGTACTCTGAAATGGAGCGAAAAGTGAAGATACACTATTTCGTCGTTTTCTCGCAGCTAGATAACAACGAAATATTGTGTGTCAGAGAAATAGTTGTGGCGCTCCATTTCAGAGTATAACTGAAAAACAATTAAAATTCCGAAAAAAGTTCAAGAGCACTTGTGGGAAAATTTCAAACGATCAAGGCCACGTGAAAGCACAGCTTCAAAAAAAGCCTATTTTCTAAGGGCCGGGAAGGTTGTACTTAATTTTCAACTTAAAAAGATTCCAGTTTTTCTAATTTAGACTAAAACACGAAGGAATTCTGAATGCTGATTAGTTTTATATTCTCTTTTGACCTTTCCATGCTATCAAAAAAAAAGCTGAATGGTTTTGATGAAAAAAAAAGTTGGAAATGAGTTTCATTGTTGTGCGTCGTTGGATTGTTGTGTGTTGGAATTTTGAGACCTTATAGTATATTTTCAACTGTGGCTTCTGTTTTAAAGATTAGGTTTTATGTGAAACAGTTGTGTTTAATGGATGGAAGACTCTCATGCAACTGATGCATGAACATATGACGGCGGGAGGAGCCCATGGAAAAGAGCAATTGCTTGCAAATCTTCGAACCTCCGTTCATTGCGAGCGTCGATCGGCTTCCCCAGTCTCAACATGTTCGGTAGTTATCAGCACCTCGCTTTAAAAAATATACGGTTTTAGGTTTCTGGGTTTGGTTTTCTTTTGTCACGCTCTCAGCAACGGAGACTATTTTTGAAGCGCGATATAAGCGGGTCAGATCAATCTTCTCTTTTTACCCCTTATTGTCAAAAACTTTTAGTGGCCGGAGGAAACGGTTGACATTACTTTTCGGAAAAATGGTACCGTTTGGGTGACCAATGTTACTATGGACAAAAGTCAGAACCACAGGGAAGACCAAATTCTTGCAGAACTAGCCCCTTTTTATTCGAGTACTTTCCAATGCATCTTTCAAGTTTTTTATTTTTATTTTTTTAAGGACCATCAGAAAAGAAAACTTTTGCGAGCGTATCGATGACCAGAACCGTTGGAGTCCACTTCAAGTATCTTCTGTCGACAAATAACATTGATACGCTTCTTTTGGTCAGTTTGTTTTTTGAAAAAATTGTTCATTATTTCAAAAGATTCGCGTCTAAAGAAACAAAACACTTTAGACAGATTTATGCTCTCAAATGAAACCGAAACTGGCAGGGGTTCTCGAAGCAAGCGGCCAGAAACCGTCCAAAGTTGTGTTCTTCGTCGGACATCCTTCGAGCGAGTTCAAATTGCCGACAGGATTCGCTTCAGGCATTGGTAAGGCATTCAATTGTTTTTCCTCTCGGAGGATCCGTTTTGAAAATAAGAGAAATCTTGTTTTAGGTTGGAAATCGTTCACAATAGTACTCAGTGGCCGAGCAAAACTGGACTTGGAGTCTCTTCATACAGAATCTCTCCGATTTGTACGTAACAAATATCGAGAAATGATTGAACTTTCAGGAATGCCTTTTTTCACTTTGTAGAGCTTTCAGACCAATTCTCTAACGATTCGGCAAGAGGGAGAAGAGACAGTTGATATACCTGCAGCCGACATTTTCGCTCTGAACTCCCCTAATTTGCACTTGCAGAAATGCCAAATCTCAGAGGACGAGACTGACATTCTAATCAAGGTTCTCTTTTGATTCCATTTTTAATCGACGGAAATAACAGAGCTGGAGAGAAGGTCGGAAGGAGATCAACAACTGGGACCTCGAACTCGCCTCCGTCGGCCCTTTTTCCGTTTCGAAAACAGTGCGGCGGACAATTCGCAAGCCTCATTCCCTTCGTGTCAACCTCACACCAACAAGATATCTTTTCACAAAAATAGAATCTTTTCGAAAATTATAAATTTTTCAAACTTTGTGTTCACATATGCATTCATTTCTCCTAGCCTGGATTTATATAACGCCGAGTTTTTTTCCGACTTTTCCAAAGGCCATGATCGCTTCATCGATCTGCTCCTTCGTGTGTGCCGCTGACAGCTGAAAGCCCGAAAAATATTCATAATTGAAAGATGAATAAGGTTCTAATGACGTTTCTAAAAGCTCACCTGAACTCTGATTCGCGCCTTTCCCTTCGGAACGACTGGATAACTGAATCCGATGACGTAAATGCCCATCTGCAACATCTCGTCAGCCATGGTTGAGGCTAGTCTGAAAAAAAAAACACGACAGGCTTTCAAGAATCGCGATTTCTTACCGTGCATCTCCGAGCAAAACGGGACATATTGGATGCGTTTCGTTCCCAAGAACTGAATAGCCCAGCTTCCCCATTTCAGACCTAAAAAAACTGCTGAAAACTTTCAAAATATTAGGATTAACCTAAAATGAGAAACGTTTGCTTGAAGAGATCCCACAAACGAAGAGTCGTTCATGAGCATATCCAGCACCTAAAAACAACCCAAATTTGTTTCAGCGAAAAGTTCAACTTTGATGCTGCTGCCAACAATGCTCGGTGCCAAAGAGTTTGAGAACAAGTAGGGTCGAGATCTTTGTCTGAGGAGGTCTATCAATGGCTTCGGGCCTCAAAAAACAGATTCAAGAGAGAACTTCTACAGCTCTACCTGTTGTGTAACCGCCCATAGAGCCGCCCAAAGCCTTGCCAAGCGTTGAATTTACAATGTCGACTTTTTTTGTAAGACCTCCAAAAAACTTTAATGCTTTGAAACAGAAGTTTAATTCACCCAAGGCTTCTTCTGTTCCTCGGCCAGTCTTACCAAAAAAACCAGTGGCGTGGCATTCATCCAAGAATAAAATTGCATCGTATCTTCAATGATTTTGAATGAAATAGCTCCGCGAGAAAGGGAAATAGCATCAGCTCCTGATCACAAACATCCACGAACTTCTCGGCAAGTGCAGAAATCTCTTTGAGTGGGGCGACGTCTCCGTCCATCGAGAAGACGCCGTCCGTGACGATGACTCTGTGACGAGCGTCGCCGGCTTCCTTCAGCTTCGCTTCGAGATCGCTGACGTCCATGTGCTTGAACCGCATTCGACGCGCCTTGCTCAAGCGGATGCCGTCGATGATCGACGCATGGTTCAGTTCATCCGAGATTATCGCGTCCTCTTCTCCTGAAAAACGAATCCCGTCTCGGAGACATTCAGAGAAAATGTCTTCTGAAAATAAAATGCCCGTACCCGCCAAAACTTCAAAGATGCCGCCGTTGGCGTCGAAACAGGCTGCGTAGAGGATCGCATCTTCCATGCCGTGAAACTGAATTATTCTCTCGAATTGCCTTGAAATCAAAGTGTGAGGAATTTCGATGTGTTTCATATAGAACGTTTCAAACTATGAAGTAAAATGCTTGATTTCTCTCATGATTTATAAAAGTTTTTCTTCTACCTGTCGGATGCCAAGCTATTATTCTTGAACTTTCTGAAAATTTTCTCGAATTTCGGTGATTGAATTGGTGATGCAAAAATTCCGTGTTCAAAATTTGCGATTGGAAGCTTCAACGACCTTTTCATGTTCTCAAAGCATGAACTTTTGTTTAGTTTGCGATTTTCTAGGTCTCTGTCCAGTTCCTCAATAAGGGCTTTAGCGATTTTCCTAAAATTTTTGAGAAAAAGGAAAAAGAGGTCTTCTTGTTCATTAACTTTTGTCAATTTCGAACCAACCTGGGCGATTTTTTGCTCTAAAGTTTTGTGGATGTCTGTGGTTCCGCAAATGAAGCGGACCGAGGAGAGACCGGCTCCATGCGACTTCAGAGCAGCTACTCCTGCCGCGATCACCTCAAAACTTCTCATGGATGAATTTTCTGATCAGATGTTCTACTTCTGGGTGGCTACTCAATCCCAAATAGTTGTTCGCACAGAAGTTGAGGACCTTATTGTCTGACCCTTCGACCTGAACTTTTCTTTTTTGATTAAAAAAAATTCGGAAGTGTACCTTAACAAGTACTCCTTGCTTCCCTTCAATAATTCTTTCTGTCTTGAATGTACCACCTTCCTGAAAATGTTTACCTTGAGCGTACCTTGGAATATACATATAAAATGTTTAATTATTTCAAAAACCTTGATATTGGCGAGTTCACGTTTGAAGTGAGAATCAACGCTTCGGGACACGGCCCGTTGGATTCGGCTGCAGATCATTTGAAAAGTGAAGACGTCAAAGGAAAGAAATCAGTGAAAAGAAATCGATTACAACGGCGGCGTGTTTCGTTGAATCGAAGAAATTTCTTGAGAACAAATTTGGAAGATTTCTACTAATGTGCCTAATGTTGGACTCGCCCCGCTCGAACGCAATTTTTATCGAAAGATCTTTTGACTTGAAGACAAAAATAATTTCAATAAGGGTATATATATTTAGTGTGAATTGTAAAATGAGCTTTTCTTTTTAACTATAAGATCTATCATTTCTTTTTAACTATAAGACATATATATATATATATACTCATAAGCAGATTGTATCTCTCCAGCTCATGCAATCCTATATGATATAGGCTGGTATCTTTCAAAAACCCCGAGAACATCAGCTATGAATCAAAACTTGGGTGCCTATGGACCATAAAACACCGAAATAGTGAAAAAAAACATCGAAATAGGGAAATTCTCAAACCATAGCCTACTATGGTTGAAGAATTTCACTATTCTGGTTTTTTTGTGTCTGTTAAAAACAAGATATTCTTACATTCTCTGCTCAAAAAGTGTTATATTTTCAATTTGTTGGCATCTCGATGAAACTGGCCAAAATCACGCCGTTTTTTGAGAGCTCTGCGTTGGGATTATGAGAGAAATCGTTAAATAACTTTTCGGCCGCATTACCACCATGAATCCTCTCTCGCTCTCGTTTATTCTTGTTACATTTTTGTCGATTGAGTTCTGTCGAACCGAAAATTTTGTAAGTCCTCTTAGAAAACAATGAAAATTTCTAAAATTGCAGCCAAAACTCAACATCTACGAGACGGTACGAAATGTGAAAGACTGCCTCGATGAAATCGACGTATCTTTAGTAAAAAAAAAACCTTGATTGAAAAAAATTTGACTTTCCCTACACTTTCTCGTTTTAGTTATTTTTGCCATAGATGTAATCCGATAGGCGGCACCGCTATTCGGACGGAAATGATAAAGACCCTCGAAATGAAATCTGCTATCAGAGGAGTTACACCAGAAACAACTTACATTTTTCAAAAAGACGCCTTAGGTTGCGTCTTGAAAAGTATGGTTTCATGTTTCAAATTTCGATAATAAAACTTTCTTCGGAAGTGTAATTTCTTGAGCTAAAAATATTTTGATAAGACTATTTTCCAGAAAATCTTTTACAGCACAAAGAAAAGAACCCGTGTGAAGATGAAACTGGAGACCAGCGAGAAAAATGCGCAGCTGAATTCGCAAAGGTAATTCCTTCTTATCAAATTTCAAAACTATTTTCAGTTTCAGAACACGTTTCCTCGGATAAAAAGTTGTATCGATCGTAAAGTTCAACTGCAACGACAGAAAAGCGAACTTTGAAAGCGTATATGAATGCTGATACTGGAGCCTTTCCACGTTAATTATTCTATAAGTACCGAAAAGTTTCAAATTTGTTATAATAGGAGTGAAATTTTCTTGTCATATTGTTATAAATCGTGAGCAATTCAATCGCATATGAACATTCAGGTAAAAAAATTTTTCTACTGTTGTACCTCATTTTTTTGTTCAAAACTTATTACTTCAATAAAAAGAATGTTTTTAAGATAAATTATTTAGCAGGGCGGCATAGCTCACCAATCTCTGCTATCGGCCTTTGGAAAGCCGGCACCGTAACTCTTCCTACGACCTCTCTTGTACCTGATGTTCTACGAGCGAAATTCACAACTTCTCTGCCTAAGCCTCAGCTCCTGCCGCCGTTTAAACACGGTCAAATCAATGAAAGTCGATTGCACATGTATTCTTACATTGAGGATGCAATAAACAGCATATCAGAGATATATAGTTTTAGAAATATCCTATGAACGTCTTTTGAAAATTTAAAAGATGCCGTTGAAATGGAGAATCACCTTTTCTGCTCTTTTGAATGTGGCAAAAAAAATGATAAATTTCCGACTTCTTCTACATCAACATTTTGCCTCACTATAAAACCTGTTCTCATTTTGCCACTTATTCCGTCCACAGTAAACAATTTAAATGGTCGAATTTGGCAGATTGAAAAAGGGGACTGCGGAGGCAAGAAAAAACAAAAGTGACCTTTTCAAATAGAAAAAAGGAGAGGTTTGCCACTAGGGCGAATGCGGAGGAAAGGGAAAAACACTACAATTCCACATATTTTCCTGTTTATTGTGAGACCTATGTTACTCCTCTCTGCAGTCATCCTACTCGAGACGAAAATAAGACGTGCTCCGGACATTTCTGAGCATCTCTAGGGATCACTTAAGAAGGCTGATGCTAATAAAGGGGTCACTAGAAATGCCCCGACAAGTCCGATTCGTGTTACCAATCTCTGAGTAGGCTATTTGAAAAAGAAAAAATAATGCTCATGAGAAATAAGGGTTCAAACGTTGTCTTTTCGAGATAAGTTTTTATCAATTTTGAGAAATCAGTTCATGAAGTTATTCATATTGGATACGTTTGCTTAAAATATTTAAATCATAAGAAATTCGAGTTATAAAAGCGTCTCCGGGTTTTTCAGATCATTCGATAGTGAATGAAAATAAAAACATTTAGTTTATTAACATTAAATTTTCCTTGGAATCTGACTAGAATCGAAACAACCTAGTGTTTTTAGACGTCAAGTGATAACGAACAGTGGAGAGGTTTCGAAAAATTCGAACATGAGAGGTGCTATCGAAGATAAAAACTCAGACCACTTTTCTAAGAATCTTAACCTCGACGAAATTCTCTGCTGGTATTGCTTTTCTTTCTTTTTTGTTACCCGGGCATTTTTCGTTTCTTCTTTTTTAAAACGGAACAAACTTTCAAAAGGAAGGCTTTAGGTTAAATTTCTCGTCAGTGCGTACGCACGCGCGTCAAAAAAAAAAAGCTACTTTTGCTTCAGGATGAAAATGGTTCTAAGGATCAAAATCGGAGATATTTTTCAAGATATTGCTATAAAAACGAAAACGTGTAAAACACTTTTTTTTTTTTTGGTGGTGGACAGTCGATTGTAGAGTTCACCAAACCGATCATTCAACCATTTCAATTGATCAAACTATTGACATGTCACTGTTCAACCAAATTTTTAACATGTCATTTTTTTGAGAGATCGTTTATTAGATCAGTTTTTTTGATCTCTTACATTAATGATCAATCATTGGATTTTAACGTTTTGATATATCGACATTTCGGCCAATATATTCAATACAACACTTCGATCGATCATTTTTTTCGACCAATATTTTTCAATACAACATTTCGATCAATCATTTTTTTGACCAATATTTTTCAATACAACCTTTCGATCAATCATTTTTTTCGACCAATATTTTTCAATACAACCTTTCGATCAATCATTTTTTTCGACCAATATTTTTCAATACAACCTTTCGATCAATCATTTTTTTCGACCAATATTTTTCAATACAACCTTTCGATCAATCATTTTTTTCGACCAATTTTTTTGAGCATAAAATTTTTGATCGATCGAAATTCCGAGCGATCGATTTTTCAAAACAGATCGCTCACACGGGGAAAGTTTTCGGAGTACTAGTGAAAAAGGTGAAAATATTTAATTTTTTTCGACAAATTAAAGTTTTGCATTTTTTTCTTGAACTTATTTGTTATAGTCTATATAGCATTGTAGAAATTTTTGCTTTTAGTACCAGTGAACACAGAGAAACAGAAAAACGATGATGATATTTCGTTACGAAAAATCAAAGAAGAAATTATGATGAAGATTTGAAAGAGAAGCGGTTTTTAAACAGTAGTTTTAAACATACTTTTTAACAAAAATTCATTTCGATCAATCATTTTTTCGACCAAATTTCCAATAAAAAATTTCGATCAATCATTTTTTCGACCAATAATTTCAAAACAACATTTCGATCAATCATTTTTTCGACCAATATTTTCAAGACAACATTTCGATCAATCATTATTTCGACCAATATTTTCAAGACAACATTTCGATCAATCATTTTTTCGACCAATATTTTCAATACAACATTTCGATCAATCGAAAACTGAACGATCGATTCGAAATGATCTCTCATTTAAATGAAATGTTGACATGTCGAAAAAACGAGAGATCATAATCATGAGACATGTTAATCGTTCGGTAGCAAGAAATGTTAATCAATCATATTTTTGGTAACATGTCATGAAAATATTGGTTGAACGTTTGGTCGAACGATCGGTTTGGTGAACTCTAGTCGATTGCACATGTAGCTTGAAGTTTCTCTTCAAAAATTCGCAATTTTTTTTCCAGTGAAATCTAACTTAGATATAAAGAATAAAAATGGAGAGGTCTTCCTAAAGGATAATGCAAAATACCTCTAGTGGGCAATCGATAAGTTCATGTGAGAATCACTTTGAACAGTCGATTACATCAGACTAAAACAACAAAATAAATGATTTGATTTGATTTGAACAGGTCGTTGTTGTTTTCTTGTTCATCGACATTGAACTCGAAAAAGTGGGATTCAGTGGCGCGCGCTTGTCTCAAAGGCTTTTTTTTTGCCTCTTCACAAAAATAATTTCAAAAAATTTTCTCCATCAAGAAGTTATAATTTTTAACCCTTTACAATCAATTAAACGGATTTCCTGTTATGGCTCAATTAAATTTTTCTGTATTTATATTCGTGTGAAACAATTTTTTCTCTTTATGCATGTTTTTTTGTTTTATAAAAATTAAGCGAGGGTAGCTTGCGATGATCTGAAATTTCACGTTATTTTTATACGCGTAGTTTTCTAACTGCTATGAAAGCATTGTTTAATACTGATATTATGTACTGTCTAGATTGTTTTTGCTACACAATGCTACACAAATTGTTTTTCCGCTGTTACTGGTTACCGGTTTCTGTTCGTTGCGCCTCCTTTTTATTAACGCTTTTTTTATATAATTATTTTTTTATACACTTGACTGCAGAAAGAGGATTGTCGATGAGAATGACAAAAAAAGAATTAAAAAAACAAGAATGTTCTTGCATTTGTCAGCATTTTCGAGTTTATTTTTCGTACTCGTTCCTCCCTCCTCATACGCCCACTTTATGTTCAGTCCTTGACAAAAAACTTTTCTTCTGTGTGTGCGGTAGCCGTTTTCTTCCTCTCTCTCCTTAGGAAAAAAATTGAAGATAAAAGCTAACGATTTACTTTGCTCTCTGTTAACAAAAGCGCGAAGGTGTCGGTTTACAAGCGTCGCTATTGATGAGTTGCCCATCGACCTGTAAACAAACACTCGCGAGTAACGTTTCATGAAAGACTGCTTCCAACATTGATCGAAACTTTAACTTGAGTTGCGAGATTGCTCACCACCCGTTTTCGTTCATATTTTTACGAATGTCATAGAATGAGAAAATTCTTGCAGTGACATATTCGACGAAGATGTCAGGCGACGCACAGGCAGACATCGGCTTGATCGGCTTGGCTGTCATGGGCCAGAACTTAATTCTCAACATGAACGATCATGGTTTCACGGTACGTCCTCGTTCACGCAGATTTAAATTGAAACAAATGTTTCAGGTTTGTGTTTTCAATCGCACAGTGTCGAAAATCGCAGATTTTTTGAATAACGAAGCCAAGGGAACCAAGATCGTTGGCGCTAAAAGTATTGAAGACATGTGCAGGTTGGTCGATTGCTTTAGTTTTTAATAAGATCGACGAGAAAATTGACAAAATAATTTGATTGCTTTGAGGCGAAGTAAACTGTGTAATTTCTGATCATTATATCTTTTCGAAGGCCGGGCGCGCCGTAGCGCAACAGGTTGTGTGCTTTTCTACGGTCCACAGGGTCACAAGTTCGATCATCGACCCAACCAAGGGGTTTAAGAAATGTTGGTAGTGGGAAAACACGGCTTCATAATCCCCAGCCGTCACACATAATGACGGATATGTCACTGGAACCAGTCCACTGATATCAGGGTAGGACCTCGGCTAAACGACTTGGGGCGCCGATGCCGCTCAAGCGGTACAAAGGCGTGAGAAGAAGAAGAAGAATATCTTTTCAAAGACCAACAAGAGTGTTTTAAAGAAAATGAAGATCATTCAAGATATTAGACAATTCAGTAGAAACGTGCTCTAAATACTGAAAGGGATTTCCGACGGAATACCAACACAACTTGGGGTTCAGACAGCTGAAGCGACCGCGACGCATCATGCTGCTGGTTCAGGCCGGCGCGGCCGTCGACGCCATGATCGACGCCATTATTCCGCACCTCGAGGCTGGCGACATCATCATCGACGGCGGAAATTCCGATTTCAACCATTCCAACGTCAGTTGCAAAATATTTGATCATATTCTTGAAAGGCAATGTGTATTTTTAATAGGGATGTTCAAGGCATCTTCATGTCATTTTAAATTGCTCTTTTATAAAAAAAGGCATTATGATTTCATATTAACAACAAAGAAGTCATTTCAGAGACGAGCTGAGCAATTGCAGTCTAAGGGACTTTTGTTCGTCGGCTGCGGAGTTTCAGGCGGCGAAGACGGTTCGTTTCATTCTTGGTTTTGTTTCTGGACGGCTGAAGGCAGAGAAATAGTTGATCCGTCCACTGAAATTCTCTTTTCCGTTCAGAAAAAGGTGAACACAAACCGGAAGGTGTGGAACTATTGAATTGGTCGGAACTGTAATACCGCTTAGGGATTGGCTTGTTGATAACGTTGAGCCTTGAGAATAAAGTGTTCGAGAATAGAGGGGAACGAAGTCTTGCTAGCTCACCAGAAGCTGCAATAGACGGCTCTGTGATCCGAAGGAGACGGTCCGCGGATGGAGTCGTAGGAACTCGGTTGCATCCATTCCGTGTTGCGCGACCAGTACAGCACTCTGTCCTGAACGAAATACTTGATTTCGCCATCAGCCAATGATGACCGTGTAGGAAGGAATTCTTTTCGGCACATATTCATCGCTTTCGACTATAAATTTGTGCGTGGGTGGGAACCTTATCGGCGCCTCTGCAAACTCTTTGAAAGCGATCCCTGAAGTGGAACGTTTGGAATGAATCTCTGACAGAGGCTTCACCTTTGCTGCGGAATATTTGCAGCTCGTCTTTTTCCATGAGGCTGTCATGCAACTCCGAAGATAAACAACGGTCTTTTTGCCAATCTATTGCTGGATCGCTGTTGAAACGAAAGTTGAGGTCCCCAGTCCACAGAACCACCTAAATCGGTCATTAGATTTTCGTTCAAACGGAAATTGTCACGTCTGCTGAGAAAAGTCCTTCGCTCCCGTGAAACTTTTTTAAGGTAGGGAATCGTAGGGCTTTGGAAATCTTTTGGTAGTCTTGTACCCGTTGTCCAGAAGTGGCGTCTGAATCATGTTTTTCTTAATAACTCTATTTCAACCTTGAAATAAATACGGGATAAGTGGGCTCCAAGGACTACAATCCACCGTTGATACAATCGAAAACAGATCGCGATGGCGCCTTTTGTCCTCACTGGTTTTGCTAGCGTCGCTGAGGGAACGAATGTCACTTGTGGCTCTGAATGAGAATTTTCGAAACTTATTTTTTACCAAATGGAGAAGGTAATAATGCAGTTTTTAATTTTTATTTTTGGACTTTTCTGCAGATGGCGTGAATTCATTATGTTTGTTTTTCGTTAAAAGTTGAAATTACTGCTTAAATTTTTCGAGACATATTAAAAGGTACGTTTACTAGATTAATCACAGAATCCAACCTATAGCGAAACGAAGATGCTGTCGGCGGATGAAAATCATGACCATCTGGGTCCAGGCACGATGTGAAAAGTAAAGACTGTGGGTTCGAAGCGCTGGTCCAAGAATTTTCAGCGAATCTTCATGGAACGTTCTGCAACTCGACTGCATTTTCGATCATAAAAGAGGGTTCACTTGGAGGAAGGCGGGATCTCTTGCAAAGCGATCGTTACGAGGTCTCCACGAGTCTCATCTTCCATCATAGTTTTGAGAGCCTTCGCAAGATGGTCAAGCGTTCTCACGTTCTGCAAACAGCTCAGAGTTATCTGTGATCAATTAGATTCCGCGCTTTTTCGTTGATATTCCACGTCACACAACAGATTTGGAGTCGTCTGTCGCACATCTTCGCGATGTTTTCGTATGAAGCGATTGGAACGTTGCCGAATCCTTTTATTGGAATTCTAGGGGAAAAAAGTGTCGAAAACGAGTTTTCTAAGTAATTACCCGATCGTGTGCGAATCGTATATGTATGTCCAGTTGTGGTCGCTAACTTGTGTGTCTGGAAAATTTTTTTGTTCGAAACGCGATCTGGGTTTTGGGAAATGAGACACCTTTCATAGATGGATACTTGAGTTTTTTTTTCTATAGCTCTTGAACCTTTTCATCTCACTATGCGCATTTCTTAGACATAATTTGTTATAACTCCTCTAAACTGGCTAACTAAACCCCTTATGGGAAAATTTCGACAGCGTTGCAACTTTTATAATTGAAGCTGACCGTGAGAAAACTACTTGAAAGAAAAAAAAAAGAAAAAGACAGACTCACATTGGTTAGAAGACGGCTGGTTTTGCTGCTGAAGCTTCCATGCCGCTGGCTGAGACAGAGAACGCATCCAAGGAGCTGATGTCCGACTAGCAAGTCGTGGAGCTCTTTCTGACGACGTCGCGGATTCCGACGACGTCTCCAACGATCCTTTTGAGCCGACATCTTCTGCGATATCGTCGCTCCTCTGTCCTGACATGAGTAGTGTCAAGTGCCGCGTTTAAGATTCTTCATCATGCTTTTCTCTGCCGTTCTCCGTGAGTGGGTTTCGGCGGCGAGAATTACTGGCGCAGGCCAAAGTGCCTTGACGATGGTTGCTATGCACGCAGTTTGCGATAGGCCGTAGAAACTACTTTGTGCTATATGCCTCTAATTTCTTTCTATCTTTATCACACTTTCTTGTTTTTTTTTTCCGTCGCTGCATTCATTTTCTCTCTTTTTAACCGCCGAGTGAGATATATGCGACGGAAAGCGAAGAAAAAGACGTTATAATAATACATACTTTAATTTATAAGCTTATAAAACTAGGTTTAAGTGTTAGGAGAAACAGGAAAGCTGGAAAAAAGTCCAGGTATACTTTCATTAAAAGTAAGTCAGCAAATTCATTAAATTGTTGTTTTCATAAAATAGCAGCAAATAGTCGAAGTAACATTAACTCACGATCGAAATTGCCGTCGGTGCGACTGCGACGGAACGGGATGAACATCGTAGAATGCAAATGAGAATTGTGAGAGCTGCCATTTTTTTTTTTCGCGTCCTTTGTTTCGTTGGATCTCTCTTTGTATTGCGATTTTTTGTGTGGCGAGCATGCCCCTTTATCTATTCGTCCATTACAAGGTTTTTTCGAACAAACGTTTTCATTTTGTGGTAATTCAACTGTGAGAAATTTTTAGAGAGCTATTACCTGTCAAGCTGATAATCATTAGTGAAGGTTCATTTCGTCTTAATCATGTGATTGTTTGCTTTTTACCAAAAAATGTTTATCTCTAAATAGGATTTATAAATAAGACCAGACATAATTTTTTTTTCTTGCAATCAACTTGGTTTTGAACAATGCCGTTGAGTTCAGTTCTACTGCGAGTTTAGACCATTATATAGAGATAAATTTTTTATGAATAATTCTACAGGAGCTCGCCATGGACCGTCTCTTATGCCCGGAGGTCATCCCAAGGCTTGGCCTCACATCAAGGATATTTTCCAGTCGATCGCCGCGAAAAGTGAGGGCGAAGCTTGCTGCGAATGGGTATGAAAAATCTTCGCAAGATGACTGAAGATTGAAGTGTTAGGTGGGAAATGCTGGCTCCGGACACTTTGTGAAGATGGTGCACAATGGAATTGAGTACGGCGACATGCAGCTCATCGCTGAGGCTTATCATCTGCTCGCCAAGGGAGTCGGACTCAACCATGATCAGATGGCCGAGGTGCTCGAAAAACCTATAATTCATAATTTGCATTTGGTTGGCCAGGTAATGGAAGAGTGGAACAAGGGAGAACTCGACTCTTTCCTCATTGAAATCACTGCCAACATCCTCAAGTTCCGCGACGAGAAAGGCGAGCCTGTCGTGCCGAAAATCCGCGACGCCGCAGGACAGGTACATCATCTGAACGACTTCGAGATAGCGCAGTTTTCAGAAAGGGACCGGCAAATGGACGTGTTTGGCTGGCCTAGACTTCGGCATCCCTGTCACTCTCATTGGTACTTTTTGAACTTTGGATAATTATTTTCCACTTTGCGTTTCAATTTTCGTACCAAAGAAATATAGTACACTCAGCGCTGACTTGAGCCAATATGAAGTATCTGAAAGAGTAGCGAAAGAGGATGTTTAGACGTCTTCAAAAGTCGTTTTCCTGACTAGGGAACTACTCGGACTCGGGTACGCGGATCGAGTTCAAACTTTGGTGACTCATAGACCCGGGTAAGAGTACTTAAAAACAAGAGAGATTATCTGCTAAACCCCATAGGCTTCTGAGAAAAAGCTTTTTGAAAATATGAAAATTAGGCCTGAAATTTTTCAGAATACTGTTTTTTACCTTATTTTATATTTTACTACAATCGTCTTGAATGATCCGGCTATGATAAACTCTAAAAAACTTTTTTCCAGCCAAAAGAAGGAGGAAAGCAAAAATATAATAATTTTCAAGCTTAAATTGTTCATTTTCAAAAATCTTTTTCTCAGAAGCCTATGGGGTTTATCAGATAATCTCTCTTGTTTCCAAGTTCTCACCCGGGTCTATAAGCCACCAAAGTTTCAACTCGAAACGCGTACCCGAGTCCGAGTAGTTCCCTAGTGAGGCTTTCATTGAATAAAGTGTATCCAAAGAGAGTGAAATCTGTGAAAGTCAACCCTATCAAAGTTTTTTGATTTTTAACGAAAAAAAAAACTGCGTTTTTCCGTTTTCTGTTTTTGAGGTCTTTTTAATATCCCTGCTTCATTTTAAAAAACCTAAGAAAATTTAAGAGAAAGGGATCAATTATGTTTCAATGAAATAGTACGAAAGTTAAAATTCAGTTTTTAGACTTTATTTCAAAATTACTAATAACATCAACGATCAAATACCGGCATCAAAAAATGTCACGTTTCACGGTACATAGGATATAAAGCTGTAAAAATTCAAATTATCATAATGGAAAATTACTTAGAACGAACCGAAATCAAAAGTTATTACCCAACGAAATTAGTATAGCGAGCGTGTGTTCAAACTTTTTAAATCTTGTTTTTCTTTTCTTGTGTATCGAATTGGTTAATTCGAAAGGAACTCGATGTTCCCAATCATTCGAGTTGGATTATACTATCTAACTGGGATAAGATTTTCTGCTGACTTCAAATTAAAGTTAGCCGTTGGTTCATCGGGTCTTTCCAGGAGAAGCTGTGTTTGCTCGTTGCCTTTCTGCTCTGAAGGACGAACGCGTCGTCGCCTCGAAAAAGCTTCCACGGCCTTCCGTCAACGCCGATTCTGTCATCCAGAACAAACGCGACTTCGTCAAGAAGATCAGCAAGGTGGATAGCTCGATTGAAGGATTCATTTCGAAGCACGTTTCAGGCTCTCTACGCAGCAAAGATTGTCAGCTACGCTCAAGGATTCATGCTGCTGTCCGAGGTTTTCTGTAAGAGTGTTCGTTCTCACTGAGTTTGCGAATTGAGGCGAGCACACAGTACAAGTGGTCTCTCAACTTCGGCGGCATCGCCCTGATGTGGCGCGGTGGTTGCATCATCCGTTCCCGGTAGTTTCTCTTGGTTCCGAAAAGTTTTCTATCTGTCCCATTTTTGATTGTAAGTAAACTACACAAGTTATTCTGCGGAGAAGAATAATAGAAACATGAACTTGCCGAGAAAATATCATAATTTTTTTTCTCATTTCCAAAGCCTTTTGTTTAAGAAAAAAAGAGTGGAGATCAATAAAAAGCGTAAAATAAATAGAGTAAAGTAGGTGATTTATTGGACTCAAAAACTACGATTTTATTAAACTCCTCTTGGGCGTCTTCCGCCGGACTAAACTAATCTTTCCGCTACTTTCTCAGGTTTTTTTCTTTCATTTTTCTTAGAATATCCAGTAAGAAGCTTTTGAAAATCAATTGTTTTAAAAATCGAACTTTTGTGCCAATTTTTGAAAAATTACAGTTTTCTAAGAAACAAGGAAGTCTCGGCAATCATTGCAACTTTCTGGAGTAGACGCGATATAATTCTAAAGACAATCGGAAACCGTTCTTTTTCAGTTTCCTGGGCGATATCAAGCGAGCTTTCGACAAAACTCCTGACCTCAAGAATTTGTTGCTCGACGACTTTTTCGTCAAGGCCATGACTGATTGTCATGTTCGTTTTCTTTTATTTCATTTCATTTTAAACATTTTTAGAGCCTATGTCGTCATTTTCACAAAAAATATTCATATAAGAAAGAAAAAAAAAACTCAACAAATCAACCATGCGAGATTAAAATTTTTGTTCAAAATTAGTATTTCGCTATTTTTTGCTTGATATTTATTTTGCAGCCTCTCACTGTCTTTGTGTTTTGATTTAATCGCTCTTTTTTGGGGAAAGTGTTGCCGAGAGGTTGTTTACAATTGCCACAGTCCCTCTATCAATAATCACGTTTCTGAAAGTTGAGAAAAAAGACGAATATGTTAAGAATCATTCCAAAAATCACTGCAGGTAGTTTTTATTTCTCCAAAAAAGGCTTCGCATCGCCACAAAACTTGTTTCTTTGAAGTGTGACCACATTTCCTTTTTTTTTCAAATTTGCGATCAGAAAAGTTTTTGTTCTGTCAGTTCTTGGCAGATTGACAGTGATGGATGTTCTGTGAAACCAAGGCGGAAAAAATCTTCGAAAATCTAAAATGGAGAATAAAGTTCTCCAATTCACTCTATTAATCGAAGTATAATTTTATCCTTGACGTTTTTTTATTGAGTTTTGAATGGCGGAACAGTTTTTGAGCGTAAGAGCAAGAAAAAAATAGAGGAAAACAATAGGCGAACTTTCTAGGAGTCCTGGCGGGATGTAGTCGCAGCTGCGACGCGGCTGGGCATTCCAGTGCCGGCCCTTTCTTCAGCCCTCGCCTTCTACGACGGATACTCCAGCGATGTACGTTTTTTTGGACGCATTCGATATCCAAACGGGAAGTCCACTAGAATTTTCTTCTATCCTGAAATTCGTTGAGACAAGATTGAAGAATAATCCATTGACACTGCGAAGAGCAACTCTTTTTGAGCGGAGAAATAGTTGCCCACGTTAACTTATGCAATAACGTGGCAATGTGCGGTTTCATAGAAGTAGAAAAAGAAGACAAAAAGAGCCTAAGCTGAGAAGGCGATTCGATGGATGGGAGTAACGGAAAGCGAAGAGAAACTTTTTTTGCGCAGACCCTCAAAATAGTTAGATTCAAATCCGCCTTCCAACTTTCTTGACATATCTAAAACATAGACATATAGACTAAAACATAGACTAAGACATATCATTTTTGACATATCTAAAACAATGAGAAGTTGGTCATTCATCGGAATAGTTTTCTTATTTTTGTATCGTTTTCGATATTTCAAAAATGGATTTTATCTTCTTTTTTTTTAAACCTTGACGAAAAGAAGAAATAACCTATTCACAATGAATTTTCTTCGGAATTGAGCGATCCGATGTTCTCTTCACCGATTTCGTTAAACGGGAATGGTTCAACTGTCGAAGTAACGCGGTTTTCTTCTCTCAATTAATCTTGATAGTGGCCATTTGCTGTCAGTAGCTGTCGTTCTGAGTTTGGTGGCGGTCGCCGCTGATCACTGACGTCGTCCGACAAGTTGCGCCGAACGGACGGCGCGATTTTGTCTTTTTCAGCCAGACTATCCATAATTTATGGGCGATCGTTAAAAGAAGACGCTCTTTTCCTATTAGAAAGTTTTGGATCGCCTTCTCCCGAGAACATATAAAACTTGATTTCATTCATGGAAATCACAATGAATGGGTAATAAATAATAAACTGCTGAACCTATGAAATAATCGTAGATCGTATGATAATTTATATGATTCTATAAGATCCTTAAATGAGTCTAAAGCTTAGAATCCTGATTTTTCCCAAGAAGTTTTTACGATGTCAACTATATTTGCGTGCGAAGACTGTAAGGACTGTTCGTGATCCATTTACAGATTTTTTTTCCCAGTTACGAGCCGTGAATTTTCACGAATACGACTTTCAATATTTTGGTTTTACCTCCATAAGTTTTTCCTACTACAGGTTCTGCCCGCGAACTTGATCCAAGCCCAGCGCGACTACTTCGGAGCTCACACCTACGAACTCGTGGACAAGGTTGGCTCCTGGGTCCACACCAACTGGACGGGCCATGGCGGTCGCGTTACCAGCAACGCCTACAATGCTTAATCATCTTTTCTTTCTTTCATTTAATTTCCTTTAGAATATGGCCTTCTCAAATGCTTCAGGAACGGGCATCGGAAGAGACCGATTTTTAACTTTTAAAATCCTTTCGCGAATAATTTCCGAAAGTTTTTTAGCTTGCTTCTTTCTTTTCCGGGCCTGCATTCATCAGAAGCATTTTCGAACGGATAGTTTCCTTCTTATCACTTAGTTCGAGCTCATTTTGGAGCGCGGAGAATGCTCTGACTCTTCTCAAAATCTCGTTAAGCATTTTAAATCCATTAATCGTCTGTGATCACTTTTATCAACTAACTAAACTAATTAGACAATAGCTTAGTCATACTAACGTGTTTATTTTATATCGTGATAGTATCTCTAAAAGAAACAGTATTTTCGATGCGATTTCGACTTTTTCAGAATATTTGCTTCTTTTACTGTGTACAATGAAGCTTTTATTCGTGTGTTTTTCAGCGCAACTATTGGCATTCAGTTTGAGCCGTTTTTACTAAATACTTGCTCGATTTGTTCAGTTTAGAGATGCAAAAATTTTCGTCGTGCTCAAAAATCTCCAATCGTTTATTATCCTCGGTGGTCGGCAATCAACCCGTGTCGCGTTATTGTGCGACGCTGCACAGTACTCAATAAGTATGGCAAAGTGGAGCATTATTCAAAAATAACAGTAAACATGAAGAATAGTTGTCGACGTGAAGAGATTAACAGAAAAAAAGACGATGGAGAAAGAAACTGACAATGAGCCAAAAAGCAGGAGCGACAATTAAAGCTGGAAGGATTGGCGGTATTTTAACGAGCTCTGAAAATTCAATCGAATTCGGGACCTTAATTACAGATTTAGTTTACACGTCCAAACAATTGAAAAATCAAAAAGCTCGGTCGAGGAGGAGTTTCAGAAAACAGGAATGGAACACATAAATTACATCTCACACTCCTGGTCAGTTCCGCAAATGAGAACAATGAAAGCGAATTCCCCGAACTGAGGAATGGGTCAAAAGTTATGGAACTCTACTCTCGTTTCAAAAATGTTCTAGTAGCTTCATCAGCTAATTCAGTCGAGAGAAAGTAGTGAGATTGTAGAGACGCGAGCAATAGTACAGCACGAAGTGTGCTCGTTCGAATGGGAGTCAGTTGGGACCTAAGGGTCTGGTCTACTCGGTGAGGTCGGGAGAGCTGATGCTCCGTCGGAGCCGCTTTTCGCGGTCGGCTTCCGCGTGCCGCATCGAGCTGCGCACCTTGCGTTCCCACTCCGACTCCTGGGCCGTTTTCCGGCTCTCTTCCTGCTTTTCTGTCTTCTCTTTCTTTCCAGCCTTCTCGTCCAAAGTCTCTACTGTCTTTTCCGACGCCGTGTCTTCGTCGTTGATGTTGTGCGTGTAAGCGAACCTGAAAGGAGTTTTTTGAACGATCTGAAGACTCTTCACAGAAGTTGATCTGGTGAACTGAAGAGAAAGAAAAACGAACTGGTCGTGGATGCCGACTTTGCTGATGACGTTCTCGAGCTCTTCGGCCACAGTGCTGACGTTGGTCTTGATCTTCTGGGACCAGCGCTGAGCGCGATTCATCTTTTTCTCGTCGTTCTCGCCCAGTTCCGCCACGATTTCTGTAGCAGGGTACCCATTAGTTCATTTCATTTCCGCTTTGATATTTGTTTTCAGTGTTACTACTGCTTATCTACCGAACACGTCAGCCGAGAAAACAGTATCGAGTGGAACTTGATAGTAAGTACACGGACCTTGGCTGTCATCGACGTTGGCCCTCCTTGCCCACAGGTAGAGTCGAACGATCGGAGACCGCTGGCCTGGCTTCCGTGGCAGAACGACGAAGAGCATCAGCTGGATGAAGGCGAGAAGCGATCCGACCCCGTTTGGTGTCTGAAATCGCCAGGGTTTCAGCCTTCTTTCTTCTTGCATCGAAGATTTTGATAAGAACGAGGGAACTCACGATGAGGTAGAAGTCGTGAACCAGAAGTCCATAGAGGAACCACTCAGAGGAGACTAGGAAATTGGCGATACACAGCGGAAGAGGCAACGTCGACGTCGCACACCGACGAATGACAACTCTCTGAAACAAGGACGGTTGGGTTGAGCCTAGAGGCCAAAGACTCACGAGTCCGGCGAGCGGAGCGGCGAAGTCGGCGATGTTGAGCGTGAGGCAGATGATTCCAAGTGGATGGAAGACCTTCATCCCGAAGAAGTGCACCGAAAGCACGAGCGACGTGCAAATCGCAGCCACTCCGAGCACTTTGATCGTGATCCACAGCTGAAGTCCATTCATGGCTCAGGCAGCTCAATCTTCAGAACTACCTTCTTTTTGGTCATAATCCAGTAGAAGACGGTGTAAGAAGTGTAGAGGATGACTTGGCATCCTGTCACCCATTTAACAGTTTGATCGTTTTTCAACCATCCGTACGTCATCCAACAGCATCCACTGAAAGAAGTAACTTGAGTTTTTTTGCTCAAAAATGAGTTTGAAAAGAACTTACCCCACGATGCCCATGAGGAACGGAGCGCCTGAGATCTCATCCGTGTCTTTTCGCTTCCATATCTGCCGACAGATGGGTCTGAAACCGTTTGTGAACCACAGAGGCCTTTGACTTCCACTTACATGCCGCAGAAGAAGAGGCCTACAGTGGTGAAAAAGGCCAAAATTGACAACAAATTTAGGAACGAGAACCCTTGCGTGAAGATTTCAAACATCTGAAATCATCCTTTTTGCTTTGAATTCAAGAAGATCTGAACAAAAATACGAAGGAATTCGAAAAAAAGAAATGATTGCAAGGTTGGGACGGAGACAGTGATATACACCAACAAGCGAAGCCACGCCCACGACCGAAGACGCCGCCTCGATTTCGGTCCGGCTGCCTTTTGAGTACCGCAGAAAAGAGTATTGTTCAAATCGTGATGGAACACTATTTTTCAGACGCTGATAGGATCAAAAAAAAAGTGGAAAATGCCTTGAAATGGACTACGGTCTACTATTTTGAAGGACCTTCTGAGGAAGTAAATGAGTGAAAATCAAGAAAAGAAAAAATTTTTTTTGCAAAAGAAGGAATGAAAAGGCGGCAGAACTTTCAAGTTGATTGAAAGCGTGAAAAAATAAGCTTGGCTAGGGATATTCGTTTCTTTTCCTCCAAAAGAAGATGTTTAGAGATGCTTGTTAAAACAAGATTTTCACAGTAGCCTCTGTCTTTGAAAAAATGGCTGCTGAGAATGTCTCGGAGGATGAAAGCAGATGATGAGAGCTATGAGGAGAGCTGAGAAAAATAACAGGAACGTTTTTCGGAGAAGAGATGGAATGGCATCGGAACGGGCTCGGACGACGTTGTTATAGGCAGAAAACTGTCGCCTCCGCCCACTCTTTCCTTGGCTCCGCCTCTTTGCGCGACCGTTCTTCTTCCCGATCGACGGCGTGATACTTTGGCAAATTGGAGTAGAATAAGTTGAACGGCTTGAGGCCACACATGGAAGCGGCTGGAAGCCGTTCACGTGCGTCGGAGGCGACGTCGATGACGCGGCGAAGACAATTCGTCGAAGGCGGTCACGCTTTTTTCGGGCTGCTGTAACTCGGCTTTGCCCTCGGAAGCAAAATTTAGCCTCCTCTATACTTTTTTCTGGCTTTTTACACACACTCGTGGGGTCTGTCTGTGGGGCAGCATTCTTACGCAATTATTCGAGAATCCTCGTCCCGATTCCAAAACAAATTTCAGGTTGTTAATTTTTTCACGATATCAGCCAAATCGCAGCAGTAAAACTTTTTCAGTCAGTTATTTCCCTTCGGTGAAGAGAAAAAAACACAAGAAGCCTTTTCCGATTTCATGAAAATTTCAAGCGAATTGCTGAAACAAAGAAGACATGAGATATTCGAAATTGGAATGCTTTTGATTAATTAAATCAGGGAAAAATATATTTTTCACACATATTTCAAAGACTAGAAAAAAAAGGTTCTCAAAATAACTAAAAACCTGTTTCAAAACTTTTTAAGGAACTGAATGGAATGATTTCTCAGACGACTTGACATCTTCCTAACTTCCTCGATTTCGGGATGAGTCGATATGAATGTGGAAAGGCAAAAAAGGAGACGCTAAGCACGGCGTGATAACCAAGTGGGAAGAACATCTCGGAACGACATCGCTTAGTTCTTCTGGTTCCCCAACACAAGCCGCACCAAACTTCCAGAGAGAAGATCTTACTGTGTTTTTCGTTCAGACTTAGTCGAAAAAATAGGAAAACGATAAGGGAAAAGAGTGAGCAGAACAGTTAGATTGTTCGAAGTCGCGGAAAACTAGCCATGATCGTTTTCCAAATTTTAATTCCATTATAAAAGCTGAGCGCTTGAGAACAGATGGATAAGCTAAAGGAAAAAAGAAAACTCAGCGGTTTTCGCCGTATTTGCTGTCAATTTGCCTTCTTTCTGCCTTTTTTGTGACAATTAAGTAAACAAATAATTTACTTTCAAATTTTCTCTTCCTTTGCGCTCTGTTGTCAAAAGGCGAGGTGTCAACTTGTAGAATGCATTTCGTTACACAGTATACCCACTATTAATTTCATTTTGACTGGATGAAACCCGTTTCGAGTTGGACGCTCAGTGGCCGGAGGACACGTGCTAGGTGCACATACAGTATCTCGGACTGTTGAGGAAAAAAGAAGGGCCTACTCGAATTCCCGTGCCCCTGATAGCGCGAAATGGAGAAGACAGGGAAAAAGAATCTTCTGATCAAACTTTCTTCGTTCCCAAACGCCGTCTTCCTCTCTGTCATCAATTTTCTCCGATGTCTGTGTCGTCGGTTCGGTATTTGAATACTTCCTCTCGGACTTGGAGAGTTTAATGACAAACGACGGTTGCGCTACGCTTATCAATGACGTTTCCATCAAAACAGCAGTAAATCAATCGTCGAAAAATAGCTTCAGCTTTCTTGAGAAAACAGCTCTTTTTGGATCTTTATACTTATAAGAAAAATCTTGTTTCTCATGTAGTTTACTTCAACCTACTCAAAGAACCGTATTATGTACACGAATCGAAAACTGTCAAACAATTTTAAGAAATTTCGAAAAAACGAGCTAACTTCTTAAAATATTTTCCAAGTCTTATTAGAACGATTAATAATTTCATTCGAATCGCGGCTTGAATTCTAATTGCTATTTCCCGCCGAAAATCACTCCGCGTCCTTCGGATGGCATTACGGTAGCCGCGCAACCTCAAGTTGACTATAAGAGATCGAATTGCTTGTGTGACGCAAGCTAGAGGAAATCATTGATTATCATGGGAGAAAATTTGACCCATCAGAAACCACGAGACTATCTTCACGACATTCCAGCCGCTTCGAATAGCCGCTTTTTGAGACACTAGCGATACGACGTTCATTGGACCGACGGAGAAGAGGTGCGCAGTGTCCGCGGTGCACGACGTCGCCAAACAAAAGCAAACGGCCGAAACTTTCATTACGTCTCGGAAATGATAAGACTATCATTTTCGATAATGGGACACAGGTGCGGATGACCGTTTTGACCCTACGGAGGAAGAAAACACGAAGGTTTTCGGCGAGCCTCTGGCTATCGATTGTTCTGATCACTTGAAGTGAGCCATTCGAAAGTTCATGGACTGATAAAAGGTCATTTTTCCATAAATTTTATTTTATTTTTTCATTTTCTATCCAGAACATGACCTTCAAGTTTTCTTCAGAGAAAAAGAGAAAAATCTTTGAAAAGTCGCATAAACTTGAGAGAAAAATAAAGAATGCACAGATTTCCTGCAATGACCTTCCATCGCACGAGTTTTCTTTCCTACTGCACATAATTTGAAGGGTTTTGAAAAAAAGGTTGGCATATCAGATACATGTTTCGTGCTATAAAATCAGGAACCCACAGAAAGGTGAGACTGGTTAGAATTCTAGCGAATGCGTTTTAGTGTTTTGACAGTGAAAAATGTTCGATATTTTCCTTTTTCTTGAATTGAATAGTCTCATGAAGGGACAAACGGTCTGCCGCGAAGACTCCAGTTTCACTTATCGAGCCCGCGGGATCTCGGGTCCTCTTTTGTCCATCTGACGCCATCGTCACAGCCTCTCGCCGCCATAATTACAGTTTTCTGAGAGATTCTCAATTTACAAAGCCGGCCTTATGTCTATTGTTGGATCTTACCCTCGTGGGTCAACTTAGAAAAAAAAGGTTTCTCTTTTTTTTTTCTTGTTATTTCTGAAATGATGGTTCCCTCCTTCTCTCGATTTTTTTTTAATTTGGAATTTCAAAACTTTAATCTAAATCTAAAGTCTTAGAAGAAGCAAGTTAAAACAACTTCTTTGGTCCTTCAAAGCAGGGATATTTGAAACAAGCTGTGCTGAAAAAATATTTTTTTTCTTTTCCTTTATAAATTTTTTTTTCTCAATGTTGGCCTTTGGACCAGGTGTTCTCCTAGAAATAAAGCATTGAAATTTCGATGGTTAGAACTTCAGAATTTCAGTTCTTAGGCGAATGTGGATAGACTGGCGAATAGGGATAGACTCTTTTTCTACGAAAAAAGGATCTCAAAAATATTTCTAAAAGAGGCCGGAAGATCTTTCGAGCAGTTACTTTGCTCTTTTCTTCATTTGACCTGGGTCTTTCTTCAATTTTTTTCCTTAGCTCTAGCCATTTTTTCGACTTTTATCTGACTTGTTTTTTTTGAGTTTATATTCAGCAAAAAAGGAAGTTTTTCAGAAAAAAAAACCTTTTTTATGTTGTTTTAGAAAGTTGCTATTAAAAAAAAAAAAAAAATGTTTGTCAAGTGGTTTGCCATTGATGGCGTTCTGTAAACGATTTTTTTTTTCTAGGTTTTATTTAATTTGAGGGTAAAATTTGAGGGTAAACATGGGCAAAATCACGTGAACGGTTGCATGTTTCTCTTGGGGCAAATTATTGCGGTAATCGTTATTAAAACAATGAGAAATGGGGAGACGTCATCGGCGAAGAGACGCCGATTGTTTCTCTCGGCTGTTTTCGGGTGATCCGACGGAAGTTTATCGAACGCCGATTTGACGACGTCAGCTTGTGTCCACCTCGTCAAGAATCGATGTGTTTGTTCATATCGTTTCTACGTGCGAATCACACGAAGCTGAAAACTTTCATGTTTTTTACTGAAATTCTATGAAATCATTTCAATGTTCAAAAATCATCGGATATCCTACTAGAGTAAAAACGGAAGAATTAAACTTGAAGCTGAAAATTTGGAAATAAAACAATCTGATTCGTTTTCCCACATAAATCGTTCAATCCCAGCTTAAGAACAATCCAAGAAAAATTGAAGCCTCTCTTTTACGCACTCGTTCTGCCAAAGAAACACGAACAGTTTCCTCTGAAATAATTTTTTTGAATATTTTTCTTGATGAACTATTTTTGATTTCTGACCTCAGAAATCAGAAAAGGCTCAGGAAAAGAAAAATAGGAAAAATTATGGTAATTTGACGATCGGATAGAGTGGCCTGTATTAGTAGACCTATCCTAAAAATAGAAAAATAGCCACCTTTTGTGAGCTCATAACATTGCGACCAACAAAAAATAATCCGTTTCTTTTGGAACAAGAAAAAAAAAATTAAGTCGACAAAAAAGGAAAAGAGAATTAGAAATAGGCTTGGCCTGAGCTTTTTTGACTGTTTTTATGTTAGGCCAGCCAGGAAAAAAGAGAAATATCATCTTGGTTAATAAGCAGTAATCGTGGGGCCGGACATCTGAGCATTTCGATCGGTCAGTCCGCGAGAGCAATTTCCTTTTTCGCCTTTTCCTGAGCTAGACCATTTTTTGAAAGGGTTTATTCAGGCTAAAATATTCTTCTTGAGAACTACACAAGATCTATATTGAAAAAACTAATTTCGTGAAAAAAAATTAGTTAAAAAGCGCTGATATGAGCTGATTTTACAAACTAAGTCAACTTTCAAGACTTGCTGGCGCTGGCCAAGATTTCCTTTTCCAAATAAATTGATTATCGAAATTGCGTTTTTCTGCAAAATCGCTAAATTTCTTATACAAAAAAAACTATACCGTAAGAGCCTAGCATGAAACTGTATAAAATGGAGATATTGGGAAGCAAACCAGTTCGAAATAGTATATGGAATAAGTACCTCAATAAGCATTCAATTGGTTACACCGCAGGATGCACCGCAATGTTCTTTAGAGTAAAAATCCCGTCTGTTGTATGCACAATTTCAAGTTACCGTGTACTTTAATGAGCGCGTGGAAACTCAAGTAAAACATGGTGATGATTGTGAAATTCACGAGTTTTTGTTACTTAATCTCGAAAAAAGGATGTTTTGTCGCCAATTTAGATAGTTGAATGAATTGAAAGAATGTCTATTACGACATTGGTTTAGTTAATCTAAATGTATTCTGATTCGCCACAGAATCATTTCAAAACTCATGGCAACGATAGCAAAACTCCTTTCTCGCTTGAAAATGAATATGATCTTCAAAAGTTGAAAAGTAAAATGAAATCGAAAAAATGAAGCTAATGTTTTTAATTTCAATTTTTTTCTGATCTTGCGCAAGCAAACTTTGAAACCAGCTTTTGTGTTCTTCAGATTGAAGCTATTTCTGTTGAAAGAAAACGATGAACAGCCAAAGAAATAACTAGAACCGGAAGTTCCAAGCTAAAAATATTCCCAAGCCATTGTTTTCAACTGACAGATTAGCTGCAAAGTCAAAGCGGAGTGTAACTAACGAGAAATGAAACACAGTTTTAGGGATTTCACGGTTAAACGCTCTTATCAGAGATCCTCTCAACTCACCAGGGAACGTTTTTTACCCCCCGGTCGAACTTTTGCTGAAACTTTGCTGAAGTGTACTTTAGGACCCCCTGATTGCAGATCAAGAAAAAAATGTCTCGCAATGAATTTTGTTTCCGAGTTATGGAGCTTCAAAGTGTGCAAAATACGCAAGTTAGGCCAAAAAAGCGCTATTTCGGGCTTTTGAAGTGTCCTAACTCAAAAACGAGATCTATTGCGAGAAATTTTCTTTTTGTTCTGGAATTAGGAGGTCTTAAAGTACACTTCAGCAAAGTTTCAGAAAAAGTTCAACCGGGGGTAAAAAACGTTCCCTAGTGAGAGCTCCAAGGGGTTTATGAGATGTTGAAAAACTACTTTATAATGATGACCGTCACAAAAAAGGACGGAAATTTTTCTAGAGCCAGTCCACTGATTATCACTGGTATCGGGATAGGACCTCGACTAATCGACTTGGGGCGCCGACGCCGCTTGAGTCATAGAAAGACGTAAGGAGAAGAAGAAGATTTTTGCTTCTTTTCACAAGTCGCTCTATGAGATTTTCCTTTTTTTTATAAAGCCTTTTTTTTTTCTTCACATCTGAAAATAAAAAGACAAACTTTTTTTTTGCATGGGAATGCTTCCTCTCATAGGGTTCATAGGTTTTAATAGTTCTTGAAAATAATCGACTAGCACCTCCCCTGTAGGAGCCGCTAACTAAAACTCTTGAAGGGACTTCATTTGCAGGGACCCCTATAAGGTTTGATAAAGTTGTCCCTAGAGGGGCTCTCCAAGGGCCTCTCACTTGCCCTTATAAAGACCACTTGGGAGTTCCGAAGTTATAGCTGATCCCCGGCTGGCTTGAGCCATCGAAAAAGGGTCCTGACACGATAATGCACGAGACAGCGCCTGTCTCGTGGAGAGCGCAGACAGGACACGCCCCCTTAGCGTCTCAAGCTGGCCGTGAATCAGCTATAGCTGATGTTGTTTTCATAATCGAAATCTCCCAGCAATTTTCTGGATGAATTGAACGATAATGACATGTTATATTATCATTACTTTAGTTAACTCAAACCTGACTGCAATAAACCAGAAAGAGTTCAAAAACCTTCTGTCCGTTCTGAGTTTTGAATGTAGCGCCGCTGGAAATCAAGTCAAAAGTTAGAAGGCAATTTCAATATCCCGCCAGGATCTTCTTATTCCAAGAGGTAAACCTATCGTTTTTTCCATTCTTTCCTGAACAGGATAAAATAATAGTTTTGATCATTGAACGTAAAATTTAAAAAATCACTCTCAAATCAAAAATGAGGAAAATGTTCTTTTTATTCGTTCCCCTCGCATCTGCGGAGAAATAAAAGCCGATAGATAGGGACCGCAGGCCAATTTCCAAAGTCAGTGATATAAAGTTGAAACCTATATGAAAAGAAAGCTGATGGCAATCGAGAGCTAACTGCAAAAAAACAGAAAATATGAAAAAAATGAAAAAAAGTTATAAGCAAAAAAAGTGGCGAAATCAGGGGGAACCATTTTTTTGTGTAGAAACTTTCGTCAGGGTCGCAGGAAAAGGGGCGTGTTTATAGATGCCGCGCGCTCCTTGCTGTGCGTTAATTCACGCAGGAGACGTTTTCGAAAACATATTTATTTGAGTTTTTTTAGAAGTTTTTAAATGAAATATTAGAGTTTTCATATTGAATATTGCTCTTTTTCAATATCAGCCTACTCTTCAAGCACTCACGCTGCTGAAATGCGAGTTTTGAACAAGGTTTCAATGCATTTCGTAAAAAAAGAAAATAACCGACAAAATAGCCTTTGCGAAGGACGAACAGCATTAAACCGAATTGAAAATGTAACAGTCTACTAAGAAATTTACTGAAAAAAATATGTAAATAATCACCAAGTCCTTTTTTTCAGAGAGTTTTTTTAAGGGCGAAAAGCGTTTTTTTACTTTTGATTTTTCTACTTCTTTTTATTTTTTTCTAAAGTTTGTGCGTCTACATGGAGTGTACGTAAACAATTTTTTAGAATTCTTTACTTGACATTCTGAACAAATTCAAAAAAAGTTGAGTAAAAGCGAAATTTAATACTTTTCTCGCTGCTATAATGGATATAATGATATAGGAAAAAGATTCCAATTATGAAATGAGTGAAAAGCAACTATAAAGCCACAATAAAATGAGAAAACTTGAATAGAATACATAAACAGTTTAAAAAAAACCTTCTTCACGCTTTCGAAAAATTTCGTGGCCTTCGCGATGTCTGCAGATTTCCAGCGACGCGCAGTTTTAAAAATAACTTTCGAGCGTTTAAATTAACCATACTTTTCGGGCCATCCTAGGAATTTTTTTATTTTTTGATATGTTGTAGAGAAATGTCTAATGTTTGATATTATGAAATAAAAAAACTTGCCCAGAACGCTTTGGGCCGTTTTCAAAGCGTTACAAAAAAACGGAAATTTTAAGCTTTCATATAAACTATATAATCGATGAAAAAAACTTAGTTTTTCTATTTTTTTAAAATTTGCAAACAACTGCAAACAACCGTTTAAAAAAATATAATCAGTAATTATCGATTGCGTTTTTTTCGAAAATAAGGAATTTCGAAAATCGTGATTTTTTCAAATTGCGTTATTTTTTTGAGGCCAACCATAGAATTTTTTTATTTTTTTGCCAGAATATGCGTTTTTTTAGTTGCTTTATGATGTTCAAGAATAAAAAAAGTTGCCCAGAAACTTTCAAGAAAAAAACAGGGATTTTTTTATCCGTTTTTCGGCCAAAAATGCGTTTTAAAAACTGTCGTCGTACATTCTTATTTCTTATTTTTCAGTATTTTCTTCTATGTAGGATTGTTAAGCATAGCCGATTGTATGTTTCCCCCAACTTTTTCCCGAATCGGTACAAGAAAACTATTTTAAAATATAAAAAAGAACCAAAGTGCAACGAAAATGACGAAGTTTTTTGAACAGCGAAGTGGGCGTGGCTCTGCGGTCCCTACCGATAGAAGCTTGAAAAATAAGCGGCTTGAAAGATTGAAGACCAGGCGCTTTCCATCTCACACTGATCAAATTATCTTCAAGAAAATAAAAACCGAGAATGTTTCAATCGAAAAATTCAAAAATGACTATTGCTCAGACTTGCTCTTTTATGCCGTGTTCAAAGTAATTTCCGCGAAATGCAGAATTATCTCTGACTCTCCAAAATTAAGTTATCTTTTTTATTTCTCCGACGGCTATTTTGCATTTCGCGGAATTAATTTGAACACGGCATTAAAAAATTCATAAATTTTTTTTGAGACATTGTATACGCAGAACTGAAAATTATTGAAAAAAGTGCGATATTTGGTTCGAAAACAAAACTTATAGAGGCCGTGTACACGAAACTGGTTGACAATTCATGAAAAAGTTGCAAAAAGCTCAAAATTGCGATCAAATCTGAGAGGGCTTGGACCAAAAAAAAAAAACTTTTTTTGTATTTTCTAATTTAAGAGACAAAACGTCAAAAATTCGTCATTTTTCGAGCTTTTGTGTCTCGAAGTTTTCACAGAGAGTGTAAATGAGGGAGTTAGTGGTATAAAATGTTTCAATTCAATTTATTCAGTCTTCAGAGTAAGATGAAGAAAATCTCTGCTGAATCATGGTATAATCGAAGAGTTAGTCGTCGGCACGGGTTACGGTCCACAATCGCTGTCCAATAAGTCCCGGAGTGACAGCTAGCGTTGGGAAATAATGTGGGCCCGTTGGTAGTACCAACGAATTAACTGCTTCACCATGTTGGAACTGTACAGTGCCCAGCTTGTCCAGGGCTGACGGGCGTCGGAATATTATCCCATGAGATGAGACCGACCAGTCGACGTGATGAAATGAGATAATAATAAAATGTGTTATTTAGAAAAATTATGTGATGGAATTTATGTGATGAGATTAAAAAGTTCGCCATTGCGACGATTGTGGGCCAACTCGACCATCACCCCCGGATTACCGCACAGCTCCGATTTTTCCTCGAGAAAAAGCTCAATCTTACTAGTTAGAAGCTTCCACTACGGAAGAAATGTACCGTCAAAGGATGCAGCTTTTTGAACTCTTCCTTTTACTGCTCAAAATCACCCTGAAATTTGCAAAAAAAAAATTTATTGGTCCATTGGACAAGTATTTCAACGAGAACACGTAACTTGACAATCAAAGAATTTTGAAAACAAGGCTATTTACACAAACAAAAGCAACCGGTCATGCAAGAAGTAGTTACATTAATATCACTTTAAAAAAGATATAATTATAGCAAGAGGTACAAAAAATATCTACTTTAAGAAATGCTAAGGAATGAAAATGCGATGTTTCAACAATTAAATATCTACAAGGTGATGCTAAATATGCGAAACAACAAACTGAAGAGATATAATTTACAGTTACCTAACAAGTTTATTTGTCACAATCTTTTTTATCTACAAATGAAGAGAGAAGCCCGTTCAATAAGTTCAACTACGAAAAAAATAAAGCTCGATTTCGAGAAAGGCAGAAGGAATCAACTCCAGAAAGCTGGTATTGCAAGGGTGGTTTCTAGACATCAAGGACTTTGACGGGATCGTGGACGCTTCCGGCGCGACTTCGGTAGGACGGCGGGTTGCTGGAAGCGCCGAAACTGTCGGCGCGCGACTCGTCCTGATGGGTTTCAGTGGAATTGGTAAACTGCGGAGGCGGCGGGATCACGACGGACGCCTCGACGGCCTTGTCCTTCTTGATCGACGTCGGATGGTAGTTGCTCGGTGATCCGGACGGTTTCTCGTCTTTTGATCCTGGAAACTTTTAACTTGGGTCTATTGAGAACTTTTTAAAGCTACTCTCAAAAAAAAAACGCAAAAACAAGTTTTTTCTGCAGACAGTTTTTCAACACTTCATTAAACTTTCCTTCTTTTGTGTTAAGAGCCCTTAGCTAAAAATTTTGAAGCAGTCTTAATTTGTTTAATTCATCGGAAATAACGATTATTCTCATCCTTAAAACTCGTCCAACCTGCTCTGAGGCTGTGATTGAACAAAACTATAGATATATTGAAAGCTAACCTTTCTCGAGATCATCAAACTGACGGCCGGTGAACCAAGCAGCGAGCCGTTCGAGAGGCGACCGGTCGCCTTCTTTCATGGGGAAAACAATGAAGAGCAGAAGCTGGATGATAGCCAAAGCCATGCCGATACCATTGGGCGCCTGAAACATTTCGAGAATGATATTACCATAATTCTGAACGAACCATGATGTAGGGATCATGGACCAGGTTTCCGTAAAGGAACCACTGGGAAGAGACCAAAAAGTTGGCGATACACAGGGGCAAAGGCAGGGTCGAACAGTTTCTCTGCTTGAGCACAACTCCCTGAAAACGGCCGCATTGATTCAGTGGCGAAGGTTTCGAGCCTACAAGGCCGGCGAGTGGAGCTCCGAAGTTGATGATGTTGAAAGTCATGCAGAGGATGCCGAGATAGTCGAGGTCCGGTCGGTAGGCGATCCAGATGACCATCGCCGCGATGCTGAGAATCACCGCCGACAATTTGATCGCGAAAGCCGTCTGAACACAAATCCTACGTCTACAATCAATTCATCTTTTCGTGAATTTAGTTTTGAAACGCGTTTTTAGACCATAATATATTCTGGTGATAAACAGTTGCTTCAAGGTCCTGAGTCTTCTATAGAAATTGATTTTAAAGTGTCTCTTTAACTGCTCTACAATTACCTCTTCCAGAAAAAAAAAAAACAGAAAAATTCTACTCGAACAATTTTTTCTGACCGTGGAACTGCCAAAATTCGAAAAATTGCTCGATTCGAGATAATTGGGCCATTGCGACAACCGCGGGAATCCGCACGACTGCACTTGTCGCGCAAAAGAACGCCTCACTCAGAAAACGATTGCACTGAATCACCTTGGGTTTGGCGAAGTAGAGGTAGAAAAGACAGTAGATGAGGAAAAACGAGGCTCCGACCACGTTCACCGTAATCATGGTGTTATCGCCTTTCAGCAACCCGTACCGTAACCAGAACGACGCTCTGAAATACAATTTCTCAGTTTTCATCCATCTTGGGATTCTTCTCTTTTCAAGTTCAATCCTGAATTTTACTTTGAAAATATAATTGTTCTGCCCATCCTTCTCCTTCGCATAGAAAATTTGTCGATCTTCTAGGGTTTCCCTTTACTGGAACAATTACGCAGAACTTCAAAAGATGGACAAAATGTTTCTTTCTTGCTATTTGAATCAATGTACAAATAAACCCGTTTTCCTTTAAAGTAATAATCGAAAAAATTCCTATGAGAGAGCCAAACAATCTCAAATGACATGTGGGTTTTGAACTTCTTTTTCACCTACCGAGTTGAAAGCAATAAACAGAAAATTTTTTCAACTCTTTGAAAACCAAAGTTCACATCGTTTAAGAGCTATCACGCTGTTCAAAAACATAGTTATTTTTAACGACCTTTAGGTAATTCTTGGCGAAGCCACTTAAAGTTGGGGAACCAAAAAGTTATCCCTTAACTTTGCGAAATATTCTATTCGAAAAAAATTTAAATTATGCAGAAAGAAATTATATGATTGTACAAGTAAAATTGGTTATTACTTTGATTTTTCTGCCTACAGCCTCAGGTTTCAGGAAACGCCCATAGTGACATCATGATAAAATTGGCGAATCTTTAGTGGACACATAGATGTTCATTTCGAAATCAATGACGACCTGACGTCTGACGGTAAGAGATCCTGTTCTTGTGTAAGAAAATAACTGTTGTCAACAATTTACAGCCGCTCATTGTACTATGGAAACTACAAGTAACCAGTTGAATCAGTAAACTATAAACTGAAAAAACTTCGGTTGTAAAATTTAATGTACTCAATAAAAATATCAAATAATTTCAAGTTTTTTTCCTGATTCGTGAAGAGATACAGTTTTTTCTGAAAAATTTTCCACAAATTAAAGCGAGAAGCTCTGTTAATCATATATTATCGTGAAAATGCTTACTCAGAAAAAAAAAACCTAAAAAATCATTTCATATGCAATGCATCAAGTCTTTTGTTGATTAGGTCCCTTATCGAGATGATCATTTCGTCAAGTTTACAATGATCAAAACTGAAAAGGACTATCTTTTCTAAACACCTATGTTGATTCTTTCCAAAATCAAAACTAACAGCCTTTTCAACAAAATGAGTATAGCATTTTCTTATAATAAAACAAAAAATAATTTCGATAAATAACTTTAGAAGTTACTGAAATGTTCCTACAAGGCTCCTCAAGGTTTTAAGTCAAATTTTTCCCTTATTCAGAAAATCAAGCAGCGGTTGGTTTTCAAAAAAAAAATTCTGGGAAGCTGTTCTATTCTAGGTAGGACCCGCCTTGTGAGACTTGTCAACTTCGAAAATTCTTCTTTTTTCCCTCTCTTATTTCTAAAAAAAAAAGTCTCTGTAGAATGAGAGATGGTGAGTGGTCGAAACAAGTTTTTCAAACCCAATAAACATCCCGATTGACAATTCGTCAATGTTGGATCGCAAATTTAGAGAAGTATCTTTTTTTTCTTTCGGCGCGCTGTCGAGACGAATGAAAGAGAGCCTCAGCTGATAGAAACGACCCCCGGTAGAATGGAGACAAAAAACTCGAATTGGTACGTAACGCGATGACCCCGGAGTGATAAATGGACCAACTACAGGTTCCCGCCTTAAAAACAGCTCTAACCGCAGTTCTTTCAACGTCTTCGTTGAGCAGAGTTCGAGCAAGTGCAACCAGACTTGGTAGTTTTTATTTTATTCATTTCCTTGGAATAAAAAAGCCACTAATGAAACAAATCGGTTGCGTAGTTGATTTGGTATGCGCGGCGAAATAAATATGAAAAGTAAATCAGAAAGGCCTAGTCGCTACACAAAAAAAAGCTTGGATCAAATAGGAAGCACATCTCAAACTAAGTTCAAACACAGCATTATTTTTTTTTCAATACATAAAAGTTTACTGAATGGAATTTGAAGGAAAAAAAGGTTCAGACATTATATGTTTTGAATTTTTTTGAAATGTTTTTGATTTATCTTTTTTTCTGAACAAAAATGATCTTTAAAAAGATAGAACAATCTGCCCCGATAATCCTCTTTTTTAAAACAGATCGAAAGATCTTCCTGCACTAATCGAGAGAAACTGTAGTTCTAGTCTTTGGCTCAGCCGGCTGTTTTCGAAGTTTTTGGCGGTGATAAGCTTTTCGCCCTTAATTTCAACAAAACAGCCGAAAAACTAACCCTAGTAGACCCATGAGGAAAGGAACTCCGCTGATGTCCTTGGTCGAGAGGCGTCGTTTGATCGTCAGACATATCGGGCTGCAAAATCAATGATTATAGAAAGATCTCTGAATTTGTCAAAAGGCTCTGCAATTATTTAGAACTCAATCAAATCTTCAAATTATGCCCTTACATTCCGCAGAAGAAAAGGGCGATAGTCGTGACTATTGCACTATAAGAAAGGTACTGGAGAACTATTTGCAAGTCCATCTGAAAAAAAAATTTAAGAACGTTTCATTGGAATAAGGATGTTCTGAAAACGCGAAGCAAAACTGAAAATTTTGCAACAACTTGAAGCAGACTTCAATCACAAAACGCTGGATGTGAAAAATAGGATAATGTTGACTCAATTAATTAACAAAAGAAGGCTTCTGAAACGATGAGAAGGACAGCAGCGAAAAAGCCTACAGTAACCTATCATTTTTCATGCGCAGGTGAATCGAGAACAGTCATTTAATGAGAAGAAATTTCTGATATACTTTGAACCATCAATTGAAACTTTTTGAGTCGAGAGAAAAAATGGTAGATGGGTGATAATGAAAACGAATGGAACTGTTCACTATTTAGAGCGAAGAGGTGCCTCAGGGGCTAGGAAAGGCGGAGCCTGAATCGTTCGTTTCATTCAACCCACACTTTTTGTGAGAGGCGGACCGAGATTCCAACATTATTACAACACTGTTTATATTTTCAACAAATGAAACTGGTGTTATGAGTGATTGAAAGTACATTAATCGGTTGAAAGTCTTGTTTTTATAGTAATTTTTGAGCCAAAAACAATCTTCGGAATGTTTCGATGTGTTCTTTGAGTTTCGCAGCGTGCACATACAGTTTTCATACCAAAAAAAAAAACTGATAAGGAATAATGCGGAATAGGACGAAGAATTATAAATAGGAAACATTCATAGTGTAGAAGAAATATTTTTCGAACTTTCTTAGAAAATACTCACGAATACTGAGAGAATCCGAAAGTCACACAATCTTGAAAATAAAAAAGGATAAATGAATCTAAGTAACTCGATGAAACATGAAAAATGTGAATGGAAGCGAAACATATCTTACGGTGACGTCATTATTCGTCATTTCGGATATCTTGAACAACAACATAATAAATGACGTGTTTTTTTTTTATAATCACCAAGCATAAATCCAAATACTTTGGAAAAACTTGTTTCGTTCTAATTTCTGTGCACCTAATTCGAAAAGTTGTTGGAAAGAGTTAGGAAAAAAAGTTTCTTTAAGTTTTAAAGTGAGCAGCTAGCTTCGAAAAACTTCTAATTTGAAAAAAATTATGAAGTTGGAGGTAAGTTCGATTAACTGCGGAAACCTATTCTCGTCAGAATGTTCAGGAGTACTCCGGAGTTGCAGCTGAATAGAGCGACTAAATTAACAACCGAAAATTCAAAGCTATTCGTTCAATCTGCTGTTTTGTACGCATTGAAGCCCTTACAATAAGAGTGACGCGCAAAATTGGAAAAAATATACTTTTATATTTATTCAATATTCGAATAGTGAATATTCACTTGTACGTGTTCATCGGAAAAATCGAAGCATGTTTCAAAACGCAGAATTGTGCTCACTTGCATACCAAAAAAGCTCCAAAATTGTAAATTTCTCGTTTTTGCGTATTTGAGCGAGTTTCCTATTGTTCAATGAACACATAATCAGAAACAGAAGCTAAAAATTTGGTGTTAATCTTATATAATGATAAATTTTTCATAATATAAGAGTTTTACCTATTCCAGATTGACTCGGATTTACCCTTGAAGTTTTAAAGCTTGCGCTTTTTATCGTTGCCGCGCGAGCTTTTTTTTATTTTTCAAGGACGGTTTATGATTCGAAAAAAGGAGAAGAAAGAAAGCTCAATGCAGTGGTTCCGTCGGAAGAAATGGTTAGTTTGAAAAAAAAACTTTCGAGTTGTGGAAAAAAATCGTCGCGTCGAGTTCTAGAACTAGATTGATTCCTAAGTGTAGAGGTGAAAAACGTTATATAGTCAAATGAAACGAGCAAAAAAAAATGTTTTGTGCTCAACGCGAGACTTGAGCTTTGATGCTTTATAGGCACAAATGTGCACGTCGTATAAAAAACACGGGATGGCGAGCTCTTCCGCGCGGACAACTAGCCTTTTGTTTGCGGTAATTTCTTTCCATTCGTAAGATAACATTTCAAAATTGCTTTTTTCTTCCAGTTTGAATTCACTGAAATATAACGCGTGAGCAGCGAGAAATTATGTTTAAAAATCTTTTTCTGAGAAGGAGAAATTTGGTGTTTCTAAAACAATTGATCATCACATCTGACCATAATAAAAAAAAATGAAAATTTATTTTAAAATTTATTCCAATAAACTTTTAAAAAACGTCTCGAAAAATTAACTGGATAAATTATAAGCGATTTGGCAGTCCTTTTGAGCTGAATGGACCGGCTCCGCCCAATCCGCAGCGTAGCCAGTTTTTCATGACATCACTATACAAACACTAGGTGTTCTTTTCAGAACAACAAGCATTTTATTTTTTCGCACTTGGCGCCAGTTTTACAATATTGGTACGGCAATATGAAGTATTCAATTTTGAGTTCAGAATGGTGGTTTACAAGTTGTAACTTTATAAATATTCTATTCTCACTTCGTTCATGGGGGTTTTTCTTCTTCATTCAGTATAAAAACTGGCTGATCTGAGCGATGAGACGAACTATATACGGAACTCGTGCCTACGAAAGATTCTGACAAGTACAAGATAATTGCTCAAGAATGTAGACGTTCTCTCAAACGTCGAAGGCATTTCTTCGAAATCACTTATCACTAATACCACGTGGTTCGTTACAATAAAAAAAAAACAAGTCACGTAGACTAGGAATCAGGTTCACAACACCACGTGGGTCTATCTTCTGAAGGGTGTACCGACTGTCTTTAGTATAGACGAAAATTAAGTGTTCTTCGAATAGACGATATTTTCTGTTTAGCACTTACAGTAATTTTTAACCTATTCTCGGGAATCTGAGTTAGTGCATGAACCAAATTCAATGTGAATAATTGCGCAGATTGCGAAAACCATGATCTTCACCGCAAAGCTATGTCACAAATTTTAAAATAAATTTGGAGGAAATTTAGCTGACTTTTCTTAAATTTATTTTACGTAAAACTTTGAAAAGAAAAACAGCATGTACAGAAGGAAGGCTAGGATGAGATATGATAATAACTGACTAACTAATAAGAAAAATGGCGGGGCAACGGACGTTATAAATACAAGTCATTTTCTAATAAAGAAGGTCACACCCAACAAAGCGCCATTATGTTACTCTATTGAGTACTATGTTTTGTCGACATGAAAAAGAAAAAAAGCTTGATCAAAAACCTGTTTTTTTCCAAGATTTCATCGCCACTTTCAGAAATGATACTTGTGGTCGGTTTTCAAAAATGGAATGCAAGATTTTTCAGTGAAAAAAACATAAAAACATTAACCTGGCTTTTAAAAAGCCATGAATTGAAATTTTCTATATTTTTTTAAAAAGTTACATTGTAATTTTTTTCTGGCTTAAAGTGAGAAAGTTTAGATTAAATAGTCATTTCCAGCCCAGTTTCCGAAAAAATTTCGGTTTAGACTCTAGAGGCGAATGATCATCAAGAAGGTAAACGGGTTTTCGACGTCTCAATAAATAGAGCAAATGTCACGGTCATATGGAGTTTTCAATTTTCAATAAATGTTTGTTTTTCAGTTTTTTATACTTGATTAAGATTATATTTGAGCTTTTCTATCTTTCCAAAAGTGAGTGACAAAATGGTTAGTTGGATTTCGAATGCATACCAGTTTGAAAAAAAAAAAAGTACAGTTTCTGTCTTTGAAATAACGAAACGCTAGTTGGCCAATTTTTTCGCTCCGATACTTTGCCTTGTGTGCTCCACGACGTTTCAAAACATTTGTGTTCCTTCGCCAGCGATCAAAAACCTAAAGATTCAATGACGTGCCCACAACAAAAACAAAAACAGCGCTTGCAGGCTCCTTTCGAAAATCCTTCCAAGAGTAATTTGCAGCCGAGAAATGACCTGTTTATCTATTATTGACTCTCTGGTTTGAAATCGATTCGTGAGTTTAACACGGTTCCATTCTCGAAAGGGATCAAAAACCTAAAAAGAAAGGTTGTCCGATAACTCGATCAACACAAATATTAGGGAGAAGCTGCGGCGTGTGGCAAGGAACCCAGGGTTTTCCAGCTGCAATGCCTTTTTTTTTTCGGTTCAGCGAAGAACGACGAAAACAAGGCGCTGCCCTCGCTGAGCAAAACAAGCCGCAGGAGTGTCCTCTCAGAGAATTTTCTAGAAAATTCCTGTCATAGAATTTTTAGGGGTCTCTGGAAGCTTTCATGGTCGTGTAAAATTTTTTTTTTCGTTGTAGTTAAAAAAAAAGGAGCATAACATATAAAATTTTATAGCTGTTTTTTGAACAGAAAAAAAGTTTGGATTCATTCATAATTTCTAAACATTTTTGCAAATGGATAAAAATTAACACCAAAGTTGTCAATACTTTTTGAAAGAACTCACTAAACAATTTTTTCATACTTTTCCATTACAATGATTCATGCGATGAGATGCGACATTTTTTTTTCTAGGGACGATGAACGAGTGTTGCTAATTCATTCTGGAATGAGTTTTGGCTCGATAATGAGCTCGCATTTGCAAGATCACAAATGGTTGTTTGAAAATTGGTTGCAATCATATGAGTCGCTCATAAAAATTAGCAGTTACGGCCGAGAAAATTTTCATGAGCACCGAAATAAAATGCGAAAAAAAAGAGAAGAAACTAGAACTAGAACGATGAATATACAATTTTTTTAATTCAGGAAAATTTCACTTTGGAGAATCAGCAATACGTAAATTTCAAATCAAATACGTAACAGTTTTGTTGCTATAGTAGGCTCTTCAAAAACAGCTTTCAGAAGTAGGAAAAAAAAGGGGAAAGAACAGCTGTGCGGCGACTTTTAAAAAGCGCCAGCGGCCAGTCCTCTCGTCGTCTGCTGTCTTCTCTCTATCCGTCATGCGAAAAAGTTCTCGGGCTTCACGTCGACTTCCTGCTGTCGTTTTTCTCCTGAGCTTTATCGCTTCAAACTTTTCATGAAGTTTGTCAATTCAATAAAAACTCTGTTAAATTAAAACGAAAAAGTTTGAAAGAAGAAAGTTTTGATTCGCCGAGGTAACTTCATTGAGTGTGCAAGAAACTCATTGAAGTTTCTATTTATTTCATCAATCTTTGTCATTTTTGTGAACGACCTATAAAAAAAGCAAGTGACCGATCAAGAATAAAAAAACTATTTTTGTACAATATTCAAACACATGATGTTTGTCCAAGTTTGTTGTAACCTTTTAGTTTTGGGATGGGATTCTTGATTAATGAGGTAGAGAATCGAGGAATACGAAGGTTTAATCTCGTTTTTCAGAAACTTCCGTGTGTCAAAGAAATTCAAAATCGAAAAAAAAAAATCGATGGCCTTGATAACCGTGTCACTTTTCATTGCCAAAAATGGAGAAGACGTCAGGCGACCTTTCGAGGGAGTCTTCCGACCCAACGACGACTTTGCCTTCGAGCAGACCGACTGAGAACTGGGAGGACAAGGATCTCGAAGACACGTGAAGAAGAAGGCAGTCGCTCACGTGCCTCCAACGATTTGGTTTATGCTCTTTCCCTCGTTCGAGCTCTCCGTTTGAGGTCAAAGGGTACAAGGATGATCCTGAAGCTTGATAAAAGACCGAGTTGATTTCTTAAACAGTCGTTATTACGTGGCTTTCCTCTGACAAGTCAGGTCATTTAGTGAGAAGCTTATTTTTTTTTTTACAATTTGCTCTTACTTTGTTTTTTACACCTTTGTTATATACAAGGCATCGAACCACCTGAGCGGCGTCGGCGACATAAGTCAACGAGACAAGTTTTATCATGACATCAGTGATAAACAGTGTACAACTTATCCAAGACTTTTATTTCACAGAAATTAACTTTTCAATAAAGCTCTTTTCAACAGAACGAGCCTCGTTCAATGAAAATGTCCTTTCTCGATTTTTGGGTTTATAGGCTATAAATTTAGCTCCTTTTTGTCGTGGGCTTTTCGAACAAGAAAAGAGCAAATAGAAGAAAAGTTACGGGAAACGAAAGGTTACTGGTCAAGGGGCGTATGCTAATCGGTGGTCGTTTATTAGCTACCGGGACTATCTCTATGGTTCCTGGATACAACCGGTTAGGTACCTGAAATTTGCGATTGCTACCGGCTAGCGAATAGGTGGTTTATTCAAAACCAGTTTTTTTTGTTAACCTATCCAAATCTTCCAAGATCTTATTGGCTAACGCTGAAATAAAACTATAGTCTGTTCAGATTTTGAATTTCAAGTCGTCGCTCAAGCTCCGCCCCTATTGGTGCGATAAACCAATCAGAGAGCGAGCCATCCACAGAGTGTTTTTGAATGACGTCATTGCACTTGACATTAAAAATCTGAACAGACTATATATGGGAAGCATTGTCAGGCTTCCCGGTAGCAATCGCAAATGTCAGGTACCTATCCGGTATATCCAGGTACCATAGAGATAGTACCCGGTCTCTAATAAACAACCACCGACTAGCATCCGTCTTTGAAGTAGATACCCGGTAGCGTTTTTTTTTTTTGAAAATAGTACTAGCAATAAAGTTAAACTTGGTTAGAGGAAACTTAGATGGTGTTCCCAACTTGGTATTTGCAATGCCTTTCATTAGTAAATTCACATTACACGTATGAAATTTGCGCACCTGCCAGAGAAATTGTGTGTTAAGCCAAAATGAGAGACTTTTCTCACCATTCGAAAATATAGAATCGACGTTTATTCATCTTCAAAATGTTGTTTATCAATCAATATCAGAGCACACGTCGTCTGTTTTTTGTTTTGTTTCTGACCCTCGTTCTGTATGTTATATCAAAGAGGTCGCCTAATGACTACCTGTACTCTCTTCCTGCTCAGGTTATTTGAAATCGATATTTAGAGCCACCTGTTGCTTTTAGGTGTGGAGCTCGCAAATAAAAAGAGATTTTGAAGCGACATTCGATTGTCTTCAAAAAGGCGTCGACCAACTTTCAAACTTTAAACAGGTTAGGAGTATGATACTTTTGAATATTTCTTAAATAGATTATTATGTGATATAGGAATATAAGCTTTTGTTTTAACAAAATTAATTAAATGCTCAATCCCGTAGGTTTTCGATTATAGTGCTTTCAAAATGCCTCCCTGAGAGAAAAAAACCATTTATCTTTTTATGATAACTAAGAACAAATGTGTGAAAATGTTCCAAAAAAAGTTTCAAAAGGTGAGAGTTTCTGGTGTGGTCCAACATCGGAGCAATCGCTGGGAACTGTCGGAGGGCGTCTCCATTTTCAAACCTCGAGATTCTTGAACTCCCTTCTGCGAACGGCTTGAGACTGCACGTCAAGTCCAGCGACGTCCGTTCAAAAAAACGATAAAAAGACATCTGAAGTCTTTAGAAATCTCAAGTGGTGCTTCTCTCTCTGGGAATCGGGGGTGATGTTTCTGCAGAGAAAAAGTTTTACCAGGTTTCTGAAATTCCTCGAAACCAACTCTATTTTTCGCATTCACGAGTTTTGATGAGCGACCGCAAGTTTTCGGCGCGGATCCCATTTCAGAGGAAAACCGCAAACTTTTCACTGATTTCGGAATTTTTGTGCCTGTCAGTGTTGGCGACGCCGTCTCCTTAGAAGATGCCAAAAAAGTCATCGACGGTGGTTTTTTTTGAGTATTGCTTTCCCGTCGATCTTAATGTTTGCAGACAAGAAAGAAGATTCGATGATTGTGGAGATTGACTTGAAGACGTTCCTTGACGGCTTCATGCGGAGGCCTTTGGTTGACAACGTCTGGGTCAACAACAACGAGTGGAATGTCGCCAAGTACTTTGTCGGGGAACCTTTGTTCTCCACAGCCGTCTGCCAGGCCGATTTTTCAGGTTTTTCTGAGTTTTTTGTCACAGAAACTGGCTCGCAAATTTTTTTCACACAAAGGTTTTTTTCTCTAAATTCTAGAACCCACCACGTATTCTTCAGCTGATGGAAAGTTGCTCAAGTTTGAAAGAAATGTTTATATATATAAACGTGTTTACATATTTTCAAAATTTTTGTTCATTTTTGTCTTAAAGTCTACTTTATAATTGATTCAGCTGCATACACATCCACTGAAAAATCACCTAAATGAAACGTCCAAATTTGTGCGTGGAATCGTTTCCGACAAAAGATTTTGTGAGCTTTCCGACCATTTTATGGATCTGGATCTGGTTTTCAGTAATTCTTCGAGCTCAGATGAACGGGTCAACACTTTCCTTGCTCTTGGTCAACGTGGTAAACCAGCGATGTATTGAGAAATATTTGAAATTTAAAGAGGAATAAAGTTTTCCATTCAAAAAGGTCAATCAACTACAGTTGAAAGAACAAACTATTTAAAAATAAAGTTATTTGAAAACGATTTTTGAGAATCCATTGAATTAACTTGCCTAACTTTTAACTCTGTGTTATTATATGTAATGACAAGCTGCAAGGTTCAGTTAAACTATGGAAGTTTGCAACGGATTCGATCAAACAAGTCTGAAATTTCGACAGGAATTTTTTTTACAAACAGCTGTCCATACAGAACTGAAGGGGGAAAGAATGTCGGGCACAAGTCAAGGAGAAGCGAGTCATGCGGTCGCGCAGCTCGGCGCCCTACATCTTTTCTTTGTTCCTGGCTATTCTCTTTTTCGTCTTCATCAGGCAGTATCGGGTATGAAAATCTTCTCTTAAAGTCATAGTAATGCTGCTTTATTTGTTTATCGGACAACTATTAATTTGGTATTTTTCCAGTTACATGTTTCTTTGCCTTGGATTCCAAGGTCGCCAGCAGCCGCCAACTTTTCCATTTGGCACGACTGTCTGGCAAAAAACATTTCAGCCTACGAGAAGGATCCTAAAGGGGTTTTTTTTTCCATTTATAAGATATTTGTAATTTCAGAAAAGTTTGCGTGTCTTTGGGAGGGCTAACCACCAAAGTTTTAGTTGTGGGGCAACCTGTGGCGAGGAATCAAAAAGTGCGAGCTGCTTCCCGGAATGAAGAACCTTCCAATCGAGGACTTTCGCAACGGCGACGAGACCAAGCGACACATTTTGCCGCTAGATGTGAGTTTGGAGTGTTTTTCACAGTGTACACTGAGTGACTGAAGAACTCACCATGTACCATCATCACCTTGGGCGTCGGACATGACACCAAAGCTGAAGAAGCGCTCGTCGAGGTTACAACCACAAATTTGCCTTTTGAATGTTTTTTTGCTAGAAGTTGTCCAGTGACAGCGAGTTTTTTTCGGCGCCGACCCTGTTCAAGAAATCAACGAGGAGCTCTACACAAAGTTTGGCAAATTCTTTCATTTTGCCGTTGGAGCCACGCCAGGTCTCACTGCGTCTAGCGTCTTGATTGGAAGTACTAAAGACCTTGCGCGAAAAAGAAAAAAAGAAAAACAACGGTTTTAGACAAATATGGGTTCAAAACAGTCGTCACGATCGATTTAATCTACTTTCTCAAACGTCTAGTACAGAAAGAGGTAGTTTTGAATTAATAAAAAAATCATTCATTTCATTCAAGAAAAGCTTTTCATAGAAATAAATAAGAGTTCAATTAATCTTTTTCTTTTTGTTGTTGTTGTTTTAGTCATAGATGTAATCGACTACGCGATGAACAAGAAATTTCGAAGCTAAAACGAACAACCAAACTAGAAGTCCAAGCGTGTAGTTGATCAAGTTGAATGCATGGTCTTTCTTTGTCTCGTTCTTCTGCGCGTGATACATCCAGTTGCCCCTTGACGAGCTCAGGACATACATAGTGATAATGTGCTCGAACCCGGAGACCGTTCTCCAGGTGCAAGTATCGCGACCACTTTGAATAAAGAACTTGCACGTCACTGGCACAAAAAGTGGGATGAGTGAACAAAATAAATGAAACCTGATTCTTGAGAACTGAAATGTGAAAAAAAAGTGTAGAAAGAAGCTGGCTTATTTTTCCGAAACTTTATGAATATGTACATTTTTTTTTCCAATTTATCTTATCTATTTTTCAGTTCATCGACGATCTTTGGATGGACGCTGAAGGTGCAGAATTCGATCTGATGCCTTTTTTCTATCGGGATGGAGAGCTCGATAGAAAAGGAATCGTCTTGTGTCAATTTAACATTGAGGCAAGTCTCAAATTCTTCCAAATTTTTTTTTTTCCTTTTTAAATTCTTCCAATTTTCCAGATACATCAACCGGATGAGAATCGAAAACGCATTTTTCACGAGTTTATATTCCGTATTGTACAAGACAAGCGATACGCAGTTTTCAGGTGAACGTTCTGAAAGTGAGCCAAAAGAAATGTTTTTTTTTTCTTTCAGGCCTGTTCAAGGAAGACACATGCGACTTGTTCTCGTCAATTATGACGATCCACAATGTGTTTCAAAATACATTTATTCGGGTTGACATAGAGGAAAAAGCTCTTTGAAATATAGATTAGAATAAAAAAGTTTTACATCTGCGAGTTTTGTCAAAAAACTTGAAAAAAAAAAAAGTTTTAAAAAATTCCCTAAAAAAAAAAGTGAAAAGAAACAAAAGATTTGAACATTAGCTGCTTTCTCGTTTTGCCCACTCTTCGGGCCTCAGGATTCTGTAACCCAGGCTACCGAGAAGAAGCAACTCAGAAATTCGTCTCAGCTCCCCAGAACTGCTTATTTTCACCTTCTTCTTCTTCTTCTTCATCAGTTATTGAGCCAGGTTAAATGACTGACAGAATTTGCGGTTGCAACGTCGTCACAGCTGCTGGAGTCGTGACCAGCCTTCAGGTCGGCCCAAATAAGGGCTTTGTCACTTGAGAATTTCCAGTTGGTTGTTCTCGCGTTGACGCTGTCTAGCACCGGCCTGGTCTTGGACCGGTACCACTTTTGGGAGACGACCTACAGTCGCACAACTATCAATGCTACGGCTCAGACAATCAATGTCAGTTGTTCTCGAAAGTTATAAAGGAAAAAAACATGGATTGTGCAGAACGGCAGTCTCCGTGCCGAGCCAAGTGTTTGGTCCTTGACATGGGTCGAGCTCGGCATGGCTTGGTGATAAGCTTTATTGAAATTTTAACCATCTTGAAAGTTTAGGTATGTTGGATTCGGCTCTTTCTGGCTGTTCACTATACTGATACTCGCTCTCTCATTCAAATATTACCGACCAGTATTCGTGGTTCCTAATTTCACGGCTCTACTAGTTGGATGTATCATGAACCTTATTGGGTTCGGTGAGACTGAGGGGGAAAATCTTTGGCAAAGCTTTTGGGTTGAGGAGTTTTCTTGGCGAGTGTCCTCGACGTCTCGAAGGACTACCGCGTGAAGGAGTACGAGGACGTGATGGCCGTCTACATAATGGGACTGCTGCTTTTCGCCTTCCTGTGTTGCATTTTCTTCATGATCTTCATTTCCAAGTACCACTCTTTCCTACGAATGCGCTACGGACATCAAGTCCCAAAGGTGATACTTTTTTTCTTTTGCATTCATTGATGCATAATTTGAATTGAAAATTGAAACTTTAATACCAAATCTACCTGGTTCATGACTTTTTTTTTTGGTGCGTCCCGACTCTGTGGTTCTTGGGTATAAAAAGAGTTTTGAAAAAAAGGCATCATCTTTATATACATATATTTTTTTATGCAAACTAGTGTTTGTTCAACGAAAACCACTCTTTTTTTCTGCAGTTTGTAGTGTATATATTTGTAAGATAAATATATACTCAAAGGAGTGTTAAAGATCGTTCTACACTATACAACATATATATATATATATATATATATATATATATATATATATATATATATATATATATATGTATAAGCAGGGGTGTGGGGACGGCAGTCCCCACCATCGAGTTTGTATGGAAAAAAAAAATGATAGACTCGTTTTAAAAGAAGACTTTCACTTCTTTCAACATTGCTGATTCATGGAATAAATAAAGAGTTTACCAACTATTTTGAGAAAAAAAAAAACTTTCATTGCCATTCTGGGGAAAACTCGAAAAATGAAAAAGTTTCTGTGTGAAACTTTTTTGAAGGTTTATGCAAACTAGTGTTTGTTCAACGAAAACCACTCTTTTCTGCAGTTTGTACAATCGCGCGCAAGGACCGGATACCACGACGAAGCTTACTGAGGTCGACGGGTCTGCTTCCACTTCTTCATCGTTTCCGTTTCTCAAACTTTCAAGATGAACAATGATCATACTAAGTTGAAGTGAAAAAAATAAATATACGAAAAAAACTTTGTAGTTCAATAAACCCATTCAAAAAGACTGTAAACAAAAAGAAAAAAAGTCCAAAACAAGCTCGGAAAAGCTTTTCCAACCCCCCACTCCCCTGCAAACAAAGAATTGTTATCAGGCTCACTCGTTAATCGATTGTGCACCAAATGCTCTTGATATTCTCAGGTTTTCGTCAACTCTCAAAACTCTTCAAATACTCCTTTGGTTTCAGTTTTGTTGGCCTTGCCTTTAGTGGCTTCCCAAGTTCCGACAGCTTCCATTTCCTCTCATGTTCTTGATATTTCTGGGGGTCATCCAGCGGCCGGAGTTCAAATTTTGGCCTACGTTCAGCAAGATGATTCCTGGCTGAAGATCGGAGAAGAGTATTGAGTTGCAGAAAGCCTGCTGACCTTTTTTTTGACCGGGTTCAGGTTCACCCAACCTAGCGGTCGCGTTGACTGGGTCTCGCCAAACTACACTCTGGTCCCGGCCGTCTATCGCCTCATCTTTCTTACTAAGCCTTACTACGAGTCGAGAGGCGTCAGTACCTTCTATCCGTACATTGAGGTCAGATCTTGGCTTTTATTTTTCCTCATTAGATTCATCACAGTTGGGACTTTGAAATGGAATGCTGTTGTTAAAAAAAAAAAACAATTTCACCATTTTACAATGTTTCAAGCTTCAAGGTCAATTTTCGAGAAAAAAATTTTCTGACACAAGCTAGTGGAGAAAGGTTACAAAAAAAAAATCAATGAAAAGTCTTTTATATGTCTCTTGGTTAGAGAAATCAAAACATAGACACCGCACGGCGAGAATCTATACTCGATATCTTTTGCGGCGTATCCGAATTCTCATGCTGATGAGGGTAGCCCATCCGTGCAAAAACGGGGTTCAAGCGGGTGCTCAAACCCGTATAAGCACAGCTGGTAAAACTTTTGGCAACTTTTATCCTAGCCGAGGCACCGTTTTAGCCCAGTAGGGTCACCGATTTTTTCAAAGTAAACACAGCGGGGTAGCCTATTTTGACACCCGTTGTTCCCCTGCACAACTGGGACTTAAAAAGATAAGAAAAGACTGCAATGGCAGATTTAAAAGTAACAAAGTAGCGCTGGCAAGTCAAAACATATCTACGTTGTAGACCACCTCTCAAAACGATCCTTCTTCCACCACCTTCATGGTGGTTCTAATTTTAAAGAAAGTTATCGAGTTTTATATATAAAAATCAGATCAAATTTTTAGATAATCTTTGAGATCAAAGACGCGACGCAGCATTACCACGTGCCGCTCACTTTGAGCCCTTGGGGCTATTCCACCTATCGCGGATCCTGATCCATCTTTCTTCCCCTTTCAATAAACGTTCCGTCCTGCTTTCTGTATACAATCGAAAGTAATGCACAGCAATCTACAACATTCCGGTACCTTCAAAGTAATGGCTTTTCGGCGCCACAAGAAGAAGAAGAAGAAGAAAAAAACCTCAGTCGTTGGTGTATATATATTTCAGACGATAGAGATGTAATCTATCTCCATCCAAAAGATGAAGAAGATTGTCTGCCTTTTTGTCGGCGGCGTTTTTGCGGTTTCTGCGCAGATCACCCCACTGCCAAAGTCCGAAATCACCCCGCTTCCTGTCGATAAAACTGACCCCGCTCTCAAAGGTTGCTTCATTACTTGTATCTCATCTTCTCGAATGAAACTCGTTTCTCCGGCGGACTTTTTTCAGGAAAACATGTCCATTAGAAACTTTCGAATGGTCCTTTAGGGTCACAACTTTTCAGCCAAAATTGGCCACATTATAACACTACGCTCTAGGGCGTGGGTTTTTCAAAACTTTTGGACTGCAAAATGAAAGCGAAACTTGGCTCAAAAGTGTTTTGCTATCGTGAAATCAGATTCCATTTGAAAATGTCTTTTTTTTCATAAATTAAAGAGTTCCGTCGGATCGACTCTAACAAAGATGACTCGCTGACATTCACAGAGTTCCTACTGGCCGACCGATCTTTCATCGAGTTACAGTCTCGCAGGTTTCACGCGCTCGATGCAAATGGTATGAATTCGTTATTGAAACAGACCTATTAGAAATTTTTTTTGTGGAAAGAGGACAATTAAAGTAGACATCTTGTTGCAGCTGATAGTGTGATTTCGCGCAAAGAGTACGAAGATTACCACAAGAAATCTGAGAAACGCCAGTCGCATTCAGACTTTTTCAACCGTTTCGTAAGATTCTCTCGCCTTTTTTACTGTTCAGAATACTGTTCAGAACCGTCGAGATCTGTTCGATGCTCCTTTTTTTGGCAACGATTTCTCGTCTCGGCAGCTGTCAGCGGAGCCTTTGGATTTAGATGGTTCCAGAGAGGAGGTTTCCTTGGTTTTGCGGCCACAACCCAAGATTTTCCACCGTTTTTTCTTTGCCTGATTTTTTTTTTGTGTTTTGAAACCCTAATAAGAGAATAAACAAGCTGAACGTATCGTTTTTCAGTTGCAAGAGAAACAACTAGAGAATGCGGCAGCTGTCCTTGCAACATCAACGCCTAAGGCGGTCATTGGAACGACCAGATAACAATAACAAATTACTTTATGGATCAAGAAATGTTTGGAAAGAAAGAAAGTAATGAATGATTTTAACCCAAACGTTTATCGTGAGTAAAATGATCGAAACAGAAACAAGAGAAGGCGGAACTTTTTTTTTGATAGTTTTTAATAGGAAAAAAAGATAATGGCGTAAGGCACGGTAAACGTTTACTATATAAACTATTTCTAATGAAGAAAGAAGAATCAAAATAATTTATTCTCAAGTTTATTGAGTCTTCATAGAATATTCTCTGTTGAATCATGGAATGAATGAAGAAGAGTTTATCACCGGTTGGCGGAATCGCGTTGACCGAGAATGGCTCGTATAAACTGTGTGCCACGACTTGAAATTTCACGGAACGACATTCCGCTATGCCGCTGCGCGCCTTTTCGAACCTTGGTCGCGCCAATAATTTTTTTTTTTCTTTTTTATTAAGGGACTCTACTTTCATGGGCTCCCACAGTAATGACAATCAATTGAAAGGGTGACCTAGATTCGAAAGACGCTTCGCGAACACACGCAGCGGAACAGCGGAATGTCGTTCCGTGAAATTTCAAATCGTGGCACACACACAGACTATATAGATCATCGTTATATTCAGTTCATTTGGTTTTCAATCTTGGACCTCGGTAACGCAAACCGGATGTTTCTGAGCATTTCAAGTAATCACTTAATAGTGCTGACGCCGCTAAAGGGATCACTAGAAATGCTCAGAAACGTCCGCGGTGCTTCCGGTTTGCATTACCGAGCTCCGAGATAGAGGTCTCCTGTCTTCGAGAAGGAAAAAAAAAGATAACTGCACTAAGAATAACTGACGAGATAAATGCGAGCTCGGTGGCGGTACATTGACTATAACTCGCAAAAATGTCGCTTTTTTCTAGGCGCGATCCAGCATTTCTCTCGGCGCGACCTCGCATTTTTCACGGCGCCATCTCGCATTTATCTTGCATTTCGGAAATTTTTAAATTGCGAGAGAAATGCGAGCTCGCGCCTAGAAAAACGCGAGCTCGCGCCCAGAAAAATGCGAGACCGGCGCGAGAAAAAAAGCGAAATGTTTGCGAGCTCGTCAATATACCGCCAGTGTCTCGCGTTTATCTGGGCAGTTTTATTCTTAGTGTGGGGAAATTTGAAGAAAATTTACTTGAGCAATATTTTATCCAAGTTTACACAGGCCCTGTGAGTTTGATATTTGCTTGAACTGCTCTTTTGTTTCAAGTATCGAGAGAAATTATCAGATGAGGAAGGATAATAATCTTTTTTTTTTCGCACAGAAGCCTAACGTAGAAGCGTCAAAAAGGCGATGAAAAAGTGTTGACGCATCACTCAGCGGCTTTAGACAACAATATATTCCAAACAACAACAAGCAAAACAGCCTCGGCAAAAAAGGGCCGAATTTAGAGAAAAAAAAACGTCCCGCCTCTTCTCTCCTTTGACACTCAAACGCTTCTGCAACTGCCCGCGTTCCTTCACGCAGACGATTCTTCGCCGAATCCGACAGCGGAGAATTTTTTTTTTTTTCTTCTCGTCGGGAAAACCCGCGAGACGACTGATAATCGCTTCGGTGTTCTCTAATCTCAGTGCCGTTTCCGCCGAGAAAGAATGGCGGCGAAGACTTCGATAGATCCGCCGCTGTTTGTACAGTTTCTGAACGTCGCGTTCCGCAATATCGGCTACTACGTCGCCGACAACGACAAGGCCGTTCTCATCGTCAGTTTTTCTTTTTTCTCTTTTTCTCAAAACTTTATTTTTTTTTTTTACTGCCTTCTCTGTTCAAAAGACTGCTCAGATTCTAGTAGCGCCTAATCTCTACGCCCCGATTATTGCGAGTACAAAAAGTTACATGACCTTCTTTAATAATTGTAAAGCTTTATAAAGGTTCAAGACTGCGCATGGTTCTTGCTGACCTAAGCTGCTAAGCAAGTGTTATTGAAAGTTTGGTATAATCCGACGTTACCAAAATGTTCGATTTTCAGCATAAAAGTATAACCATTCGATCCGTCTCGTCGAGATACGTACGAATATCATAAAATTATTTGGCGCTGACCACTTAAAAAAAATTTAAGATGACATTTATTAGTTTTCAATCAAGTAATTATTCTGAGGAATAAAAGTGTTTGCTTTTTCTTTTCATGCATTACTTGAGAAAATAGGCTTAGTTTTAAGACTTCACACGGAGGCGAAGCGCGCATAGCGCGAAGCCGACTGTGGCTCGCTTCGAAAGAACTGAGCCACAGTGAACAATTCGTCAAATAAATGAAACAGCTGACATAAAAAAACATGTAGTTTCAAAACGTGGGCACTAAAAACACTATCAGGTAGCTATAAACGATTTGCAACTTGATACGAGTAGCAAAAAAATCTGTAAAAATATTTTTTTCCCCAAAGAAAGAAAAAAAATATTAAAGGAGCATACTGTGCGTAAGCGTGGGCTCCGACGCGGTCGGTTATTTTTACTGTGATTTCTCATTTTTTTTTTTCTTATTTTGCATTGTTTTTTCAAATAATTTTCAATTTTTTTTCTTATTTTAAAAGATTTTTTCTTCTCATGGCGTAGTAGCGATAGTTGAACCGAATCAGCGTCGAAAAATGCAGCGAAATTTTTGACATTTTTGGAGTTTTTTTTTCTGGTTTTTGCACACCATAAAGTTATTTCTCCTTACTAGCGCCCAATAATTTTATGATATCCGTATGTATCTCAATGAGACGGATCGAATGGTTATACTTTCATGCTGAAAATCAAACATGTTGGTAACGTCGGATTATTCCTTTGTATCATCTCATTTACATTTTAAAGTTTTTTTTTTATTACTACAACTTCATTTTTACCCTTTTTCAAGCTCTAGGAAATTATTTCATATATGTTCAAGCTTTTTGAAGGCCTTTTTTTTCGTATTCTCCGAAAGCGTTGGTACTAATTTTCTGGTTTTTTTTATCCGAACCTCTTTTTTTTTATGTTCCCGGATACAACTTGATATCTCAAAGTTCCGACGCCATTTCAAGGCCGCTCTATAAAAAATAATTGAGACCAAACCCCCAGTTCACATGCCAGAAGGAAAGTGAATAGAAAATGAATCGAGTTTATACCATCTTATCAAACTGTTTGACCTGATTTTGACTTTAATCTTTCGAAGGAATCTTTTTAAAGGGGGGCAAGTGGATAATTTGGCTAAAGCGGTTTTTGGGCGTGACTGCTTTCATTTTCATATGCTCTCTGATAATTTTTTGGCGTTTTCAATCTTTAAAAACTAGGACTAGCTCTATTGCAGTTGAAGCGCAAATTTTTTTTAAAATAAAAAACGAAATTTCAATGACTATCGCTTCAAGTAGATAATCAATCCTGTCTTGCTTTACAGAAGAAGACATTCTCAATAGATATACAATCTTTGATCTAACTCGAAACCCACATGCCCCTTCAATGAAAAAAACGTAGTTTTTCTCTGACCCGGTTTGACCAACCGAGAATGAGTGATCTGGTTGCCCCGCAATAAAGAGAAGAAAAAATCGGCGCGTCGAAAGGTTTGTCATCGAAATGTTTGCAACAAGCAAAAGAATAAACGGCCTTGGCGTCATGTTTCTCCTATTGCAGCTATAATCCAAGTTTAGATTGGGTATTCATGAAATAAATTCAAAGTATCGTGGTGGTTTCACTATCATATTGATCGGTGTGAAGAGGTTACCTGTTCATGAAAAAAAAATAGCATTGACAGGTAGTCTTGTCGAGACTAGTGAGTAACTGCTCGAGACTAGTGAGTAAAAAGTTGTGTATAAAATTGTATATAAAATTGTACTTGAAAAAAATTACATTTTTTTGTACATATACAATTTTTTTATAAATACAATTTTATGTACAACTTTTTATAAATACAATTTTTTTCAAGTACAATTTTTTTCAAGTACCATTTTTTTAAAGTAGTACCATTTTTTTCGAGTACACTTTTTTTCAATTAAAATTTTATATAAAGGTATATCGTACATGTACGGCAGGGGTGTGGGGACGACAGTCCCCACCATCGAGTTTGTATAGAAAAAAAAACAACATGATAGACTCATTTTCGAAGAAAACCATAATTTTCCAATTTACGGTCAAGAGGCTTGCAAGTTTTCTGAAAATTTCTTTCAGTGCCTTAAAATATAACTGAAAAACGGTTTGATTTGCCAAAGTAGTCTTTCTATATTCTAATTTTTTTGCGCGGCAAGATGCGTCGTAGTTGTAAAATTGCGTCACTCTATATGCAAAATGTAATTTTTCGAGAGAAAATATATATATATAATCAGTGTTTCTTATTTTTTTAAAAAAAACTGTTTCGTTCATGATATTGGATAATTTTTATTTTTTTGTCTAGTTGAAAAAAACACAGTTTTCTGACATGTCGCTTGAAGCTCCCATCGTGTAGCTCAAAATATTTTGAAATTTTTACAGATAACGCTGTTGATCAGTTTGATTTTTTCCTCAAAAATCGCATTCACCAAACAGGAAGATGATATTAAGACGGGTAAGGTTCTTTTTTGAACTCCCTCTCAAAGCAATTTTTTTTTTCACAGGATATACACCTTATGGTGCCAGATCGCTCACAGAGATTAGCTATTTTTCAAACTTCTTTTCATCTTCTGGGGAGCCGATTGCAGTTTTTCTATTTATTGTAGCAAAAGTGAGCGAATTTTAGCTTTTGTTTTTGATGGTCTATTTAAGGACAACTCGAGCATGGCTGAAAGAGAAAAGTTGCAAGAAGTGGTGAACATTCTGGACTACGTTGGCTCCAATTTGACTCACAAGGGACATGCATTTTATGATATCTGCACCGACTTTTGTCAAATAAATGAGCCTATCCGTCATTTCACGGTAATTATCCTTTTTTTTTAAAAACTGTTTTATATTTCTCAGAACGGTTTGACTATGGAAAGCGCATTGTCGGATAACTTGGATGCTCAACCTTCGAGATTCGGACTCACCTTTCCGTTGATGCAGGTGGGTTTTGGCATTTTTGGTACGCCGCGCAAAAACGAAATTGAATGCAGTTGAAAAAAAAAAAAAAAGTTATTCTTGTTGATTTGACCCAAAGTTTGATTGTGTTACGTCGAAAATTTCACAGATGATCTTACATGCATGCGTTAAAGGAGAACTATTATTTTAGGATTTTTCTTCTTTTTCTGAAGATCTAGGATGAAGACATTTCGAATTGTCTATATCTGCGCAAGTTTTTAGGTTCTAAAGTATATAATTCTAAAATTTTCAACTTATTGGCTGCAGCCGGATTTTCTACTAGACGCGATTTTTGAAAACTCAAATTGCAAAACAAACGTTTGTGAATGCAAGAGCCTTTATTTAAACCTTCGGACAATCATTGCCAAAACTTTATAAACTGTGATTATCTATTGTACACGCCTGTTTAGGGTCGTATTACGGTAGTTTGGATAGGTTTTTGGGTAATAAAATGAAAACTTGTGTTTCTTTTTGTGGCGTAACTTACCTTGTATCCCTGAGAAATAGGTCCTAAACAAATTGCAAAAAAAGAAAGAGAAAATTTAAAAAATTTCCTGGCTCCGAAACTGACGGCGCAATATTGATCGGCCGCCCTAGTACTGTCTCAAAGATGCGTGTGTATACCCTATCTGGTGAAGTCACTCGTGAGGGTGGCCTAAAACCGATTCGTAACTGTATTTATTCTTTTCACCTTGTGGATGAATAAATTATTATTATTATTATTCCAAAATGTTTTTCAACTTTCCTGAATACTCTTTGAGAACTACGAGCTGGTTGATTTCAGATTCTTGGCAAAGAACTCGATCTGAGTCCAAACTTGTTCGGAGTCAGAACTCGAAAAGATGATTCCATTGAGTACGCCAAGATTGTGATGCTGCACTTCCGAGCCAACTCTCCGCAAAACTGGACCAAAGAAGACGTTGCCGAGTACGAGCGTTCCATAAGCCATTTCTTCCACAAGTTTTCCTTCTGCAGCAAAACCATGAAAATGCAACTATTTGCAGAAAGTATCCGTCCGGTCGGCTCAACGTCTACGCCATGTCGCTCACCTTCACTGGAGACGAAATCGTTCGAACCGGTACAGTTTTATACTTGAATAGAAAGTTTTTTTTTTAAGTTTTCGTTTCGATTTCTTAACTTTTTTCCAGGACTGACTATTTTCCCGTTTATTGCTGTTGGTTTCCTAATCATGACGGCTTTTTCAATTGTCACCGTTTACTTCAGCTGCAAAAGAGCAAACCAGGTTTTCTTGACCTCCTTTCTCACATAGGGAATTTTTTTTTCACTTTGGGTGGCGGTTTTAAATCAGGACGAACGTAGCATTTGCACATTCAAATCTCTAATACTTTAAATGGTGTTGCCGAGCGAAAAGTTCCAGTTTCGGTGAAATTTTTTTTTTTTTTTCCTGCGAGGTAAAAGTTATTTTTACGCAATAGCAAGGAAAGTGTATTTGGTTGAGAATTTCCCGAGTAAAAAGATTTCTTTTTTTTTTCACTTTTCTCGATGATAATGAAAGCGTCAACTTGCGAAAATTCTTTTTTTTTCAAGAAAGGACGTCTCAAAGTTGAAGAAGAAGAAGATCATTTTGCATCGAATTTAGTCGTGGCCTTAAATTAATAGTTTTGAAGAAGAAGAAGAAGAAGAAGTCCTAAAAAACAAACTGAAAAAAAAAGAATTTTTTTAGAAATCGTCATAAAGGTGTTGAGCCTGCTCATTCACTATTTTGACCCGAAAAAGTTAGAGGCTAAATAATAATAATAATAATGAAATCCGAGAAAAAACTAATTGAAGAAATTTCTACATTTCGCCGCCTGAGGAACCTATAAAAACGGGCGTTATTTTTGCTGGTGTTCAAATATTCGAGCATCTTATTTCAAACATGATTTCTTTTTTTTTTTGAAAACTCTACAGAAAAGCTAAAAACCGAAATGGCTAAAGTATCTTCACCACAAATTGTTTGAAAGCCTTTTGACAAAAGTTTTTTTCTTGAGTGGTCCATGAACAAAGTGACCCAAGCGGTGCTTGGCTGCGTGTGTCCGATGCTCGCGACGTCTTCGGCCCTCGGTCTTCTTTTCTGGTGCGGCTTCCGGTTCGGCACGATCCTCTGTGTCACTCCTTTCCTCATTCTCGCCATTGGTTCGTTTTCTGTCGGTTTTTTTCTCCATTCGCCTTTTTGAAGGTGTTGATGACGCCTATCTTCAAATCCATGCTTGTTTGCGACTTTCTGACGAGCCGAACACACTGACCAAAAGAGAAAAGTGAGAAGATGTCCAGAACAATCATTGAATCATCCTCTGATTCTCAGAATTTCTTCGATGCTCGTCGAAGTGGGTCCGTCAATCGCCATCACGTCCATGACGAATCTTTTTGCCTTTCTCGTCGGAATCTACACTCCGACGCCTGAAATTTCCCTGTTTTGTGCTGGTAACGCCGTTGCGATAGTTTTCGACTTTGTCTATCAGGTTTGTGTGGCGAGTTTAGAGCTTTCCCAAGTCCCTCTCCACAGATAACCATGTACACGGCAATACTTTCTCTGACAGAAAACGCTCAAATGCGACGGGATTCGAGCCTCAAACGAACGGCGAAACCGCTTGCACCACCAAAGCCAGAGGTTTTGATGTTTTGTCGGAGAGTGTTTTCAGCCGATTTTCCTCTTGAGATGTACGAAAGTTTTCTCGATGGCTATTCGCAATGGATTGCCAATCCTTTTACGCACATTGCTCTCTTCTCCGTTTTCTGTGTATATCTTCTGGTGACGATCCGTGGCGCTCTCGGCATCCGAATTCTGCTTTCGCCTGACAAACTCGTCATTGCCGACTCCCCGCTTCTTCAGGTTTGCCTTGTCTCAGCTACCATTCGATAAAAAATTTTCAGATCAACTACCTGCGAGATCAGTTCGTCCTACCAAACTATACGACCGTCAACATTTTGGTTCAAAACGTGGGTTTCTCGTTTCAATTCTTCTTCAAAAGAGGAGAAAAAAAAAGAAAGAGTTGAAATGTTTCAAATTGTGACAAACAATATAGAAAAAGGATATATTAGCGCTAAAAAATCTATTAATTTTTTCATTCGATACATGGTTGTGAACGATTTGAACGTTGTTATTATTTTAAGGAAAATTTTTCCCTTTTATCGTTCATTTTTGCAGCCTGGTAACCTCTCGGATCCTGAAAGGTTGAAGAGCGTTTACTCGCTGATCGAATCTTATGAAAATTATCCAGAATGCCTTGGTCCCAAATTTAGTCACTTTTTTGCTAGGTCGGTGGATCCAAAACCCGGCTTATTCTAATTTCTCTATCAAATTCCAGAGACTATGAATCTTTTGAGGCTACATCGGAAGAAGAACTAGAGTCGGAAATCGAAAGGAAAGATTTGAATGCAACTAGTCTGTCGAAAGTAGACGGGTTCTCAAAGACTTCGATGCACAGTTTTTTGTCCTGGCCCGAGTTTCAGCATTGGAACGGATTCGTCAAGTTTGATGAGGATGGCAGGCGAGTAAAAGTTCTTGCCTTTGACCTTACAGAAAGAGGAAATCTAGAGCCAATGAAAGTTTTGCAGAATCTCTCGTTTCTGGGCAACCGTGTCTTATCACGGAGCCGACTTTGGCGATTTTCAGGTCAGGAAAACTCTCTTACACAGGTTCAGTGTCAATTCTTTTTTTTTTCCAAACTATATATATGCCGAATAACAGATGGCGAGATACTGCAGACGCTTTTCCGGCCCTCAACGTTTCAATATTCGACGACTATGCTCCTTTTGTTGATCAGGTATCCTTAAGCGAATTCAAAGTCGAAAATAAAATAGACGGTTATGAACTTTTCTGTCATCTCTAGCTGGAGACGATTCTGCCTGCGACCTTGTCGACTTCTCTGTGCACGCTGGCCTGCATGGCCGTCGTCTGTTTCCTCTTCATGCAAAACGTCTTCACCGTGTTTGTCGCCACTCTCGCCATCACATCCATTTGCATCGGCGTCTTTGGATTTCTGGCAATGTGGTCGATCGACCTCGACCCCATCTCCATGGCCACCACCATTATGAGCATCGGGTTCAGCGTCGACTTTCCAGCTCACATAACCTTCCACTACTTTCGCGAAGGCCTACACGATCCTCAGAGTCCGCCTTCCAAACGCGTTGCACGGTTCCAACCTTTTCACTGTCAGAGTTTCAAGGGACTGCTTCAGGGCTTTGGCGGCGATCGGCTATCCGTTGCTTCAATGCGGCATCTCGACTATCCTGTTTGTCGTGTGTCTGCTTTTTGTGACGACCTACATGAGCGAAGTTTTCGTCAAGACGATGGTGCTCGTCGTTTCTCTGGGGCTGATCCACGGGCTCGTCGTCGTGCCTGCCTTCCTGTGCGCCTTCACGGCCATTCACAAGTCTGTCTTCCCTGATCCGATGGTTCCATCGCAGGTTTGTCGTCAGAAAAAAAAAAATTGTGATTAGAAATTATTAATTTTTGAAATTCAAAAAAGTATGACTAGTAAAACTTTTTTTGTACGAATAATCTACAAAGACTTTTTTTCCATCACAAAAAAATTTTTTTCAGTCTTTTTTTCTTCCTTGGGAAAAATTTTTTTCGTGGCGAGTGTCACCGAGTAGCAGCGAGGGCAAAAATATCTGCCTGAAATCAAATTTTTGTTGCTGTTTTTGATCATCTGATCTCTTGTTGACCTATTGAGCTGCAATTCTGTCTTTCAACTTTTTTTCTTTTTTTCGCTTTGATTTTTTCTCACGGAAACTGAAAAAAAACACAGGTATAAATTTAAATTGAAAAAAATAAAAACTCGTTTTCGTTGCGTCCGATTTCACGGCTCTCCTTGTCATAGTGATCAGCAATGTGAGAATTTTATTCTCTCGCTTCCAATTTTTTTTTTTCACAAAAACTGAAAAAAACTACAGGTTGAGTGGGAGATACCGTAGTAAGCTCTTTATATGAATACCGCATCGTGTCAAGAAAAATTAACAACAAAAAAATATTCGAAAAAAATATATCGAGAAAGAATTGCGGTGAAGACGACGACATCAAGACGTAAGTTTATTCTCAATCAATGCGTTCTGAAGTGTCAAGGACTGCGTACATCTATCCAACTGATCTTCCTGAATCGCCAACAGTGTCATATAGAGTGTCATGATACGAACCATAAACTCTGTTGAACGAATTTGGATCGCCAGAAATACGGCGATTACAATTGTCGACAGAAGGAAAACGGCGGAAAGGACGGCGAAAAGTAATACATACATACGGTATGCCCTGAAAAATGCAAAAATCAATAGTTGAATCAGTTTTGTTGTACAAGGTAGTTGAACCTGTGTTAGATTTCAAGAGTACGACTGACTTCTAACTGAGCTCCATACGCTACCGAGACCAAGCTTTTTGAAATTTTGCACAGCGAGAAAAAAATTTTTTTTTTTGCAATAACGTGATTTGGTTAATGAGTTCTTTCTTGGTACTTCATGAGCGTTGTTTTTTTTTAAAGAGTTTTCAGTATTTTGAGTATTGTTTAGACCCGACTTCTAATTTTTTTTTTCTAGTAATTTTCTAGTAAGAATGTTTCGGAGTGTTCAGTGAAAAGTATGTTTGGATAGAGGCCTTAAAAAGGTGACACATTTCTAATTATGACCAAACTAACCGAATTCGTAATTGTTCAGCGCTCATGTCCGGCCTGGCTGGAGGGATTCCATTGTAAGATGTGCCGCGAGTAAAGTTTTCGAGACTCGCAGTCATTATCAGATTAATTTATAAATTTGAAATAAAAGTGAAGAGAAGCTTTTGCGGAAAGGTGCACTAGGATTTTGTTTCCTCTTTCAACTTGCCCGAATCTTGCCTTTGTCGAATTCGACATTTGCATAATACCCTATGGTGGGCTGGAAAGGTCTGACTTTTTGTTTCATAACATTGTTTCGAACGTGTTTACTGCATAGTTACATAATAACAAGTTTTGTTCAAAGGAAAACGTAGTCATAAAAATAGAGTCGCCGATGTGATGTCTGCAACAGATTGATTAATCTTTTGATTTTTTGAAGGCTGACAAACATTGCTCGCAAAAAACTCCATAGTACCCATTAGGACAGTCGCAGACTCCGTAGGCCGGGGTGGCCCCGTTTTGGCAGACTGGCTGGTTGCAGGAAGGTCCCGAATAGCCAGTCTGACAGATGCATTGTCCAAAAGCGTCGAAGGATCCGTGGACGCATTCTGTCGATTCCAATAATGATATTAAGGATTAAAATTTCATGAGATAGCGTGCAAAATTCGGAAAAAAAGTTTTGGTCTTTTTTCCATAATTCAAAAAAATTTTGATTTTTTTATTTATATGTTCGGGTTGGAGCTTAAATGACCGACTTGCTCCACTTTGCTTGTTGAAGAAGAATGTCCTCTGGAACATGTTTCCATTGCCGTCAAGACCGTAAACGATGAACTTTTCGAAAGAGCTTGACCACTGTAACATCGGCGCTTAGAGGGAAAGAAAGATCACGTTCAAGAATTTTACATGATGAGAAACTTAACAGCCGACTGGCACATACATGGGCAAGTACAAAACTCAACCTAGGAGGAGGGGATGGCTTACAAAAATTTAGCAAAACAACGGAAAAATGTAATATTCAATCTCAGGGACGTAGTATTTGACACAATAAAAACGGCTTTTAAAAATGGTCTGCCCACGAATGAGCTCTCTGTACCTTGCATTAAATTTCCTTAAAAATGAATATTCTTCAAACGATTTAACATGTTCCTCGGGGTTCTCACGATCAGTTCGATATCTTTCCCGGTTCACTCGGACTGGTCCTTACTGACTTTTTTTTAAAAAAAAATTCCAATCTGGAAGATTATATGCTCTAGAAATGTTTGAAGTGTGTCAGGAGATCGAGAAATTTAAGTATGCTGGCGTCGCGACCAGGTGATATTTAAAGTTTCGAGGTGTTTCAAGAGTAATAGTACGAAGATAACCGACCGCAATGATCGGCGTGACGAATTGACTTGCACATGCCAAGGGATCTCTTTGGTTCACAGTCACGTTGACAGAAAGTGTGTTCGTTGACCAGGGCTCTTGCAAGTCTGTATTGTAGGCCTCCAGGTATTTCACCTGTGAGAAATTATCATCGAAAATGATTCAAAACTGAATCTTACCGAAGCACCGTAGTTAATGCTGTCAAAGTCGTAGCTCTCAGTTATTCGGAAAGTGATGTAAGATTTAAGTGCGCCGTCTTAACGCAATACATTTTCTGATATTTTTCAAAAAAAAAAATCTGTTCTCACTTGTTCCGACCGTTGGTTCACGATGCACGTAGTCCATATGAGGATCCGAAGTGAAGCCCGGAACGACGTGCAGCGTGGAGATGGAGCGCGCCTGAATCGTGACAATCATGTTCCAACAGAAGAAAAAGGTTGTATTTTTGAATTAAGACTGACTCGAAAAGGAACATATTTTAGTCTGTTTCATTCATTTTGTAAATGGGTAGATATATATTTTTATATTATAACCTGTATGTTACAGCTGGAGGCCGAGGTTTTCAGAGTCACAGTCCATTTTCCAACACGCTGGGTACTTACATCTGAAACCGTTCCCTTTTAAAAATGCCGTTGAAGAATATCACTTGCCAATACTGTACATTTTTGTATTCACGTCATTGAGAACTAGATTTCCCCGATTGATTGTAGTTTGTTGCCCTGAAATTTTTCTCTCAATATTTGAATGAACAGTTTTATTGAAAATAAAATTTTTTTTTTGGTCAAAATCTTTTTAAAAAAATCATAAAAAAAATTCATAAAGCTAACTCTCTGAAACGTTCTAAGAGGTACACTCTACCTCCACCGTATTTTCGATTCAAAGTCAGTTACCAGCAGGGTTTGTGAACGTTGCCTGCACGTTATTGCCTTTAGCCAGAACAACGAGCTTCGTAGTGTTAGACTCGACAAAGAAAGAGAAGGTCTGCGCCGTTGAGCAGTCCTATTTATCAAGAAAAGTTGTAGCAAGGCGAGTTCCAACCGAAACCTTGGCTCCAAAGTCAAGAAGAAGGGCGTTCTCCTTGAGCATCTGAGCCAATATTGCCGGGAGCTAGAAAAACCACTGTGGGGCGGTATCATCATCGAAACAGCCTACCGAAGTGAACAAAGAGCTCTGGATAGGAATGACACGACCGTTAGATTGACGAGAGGCGGCGATCAAGTAGTTCGTGGAGCCCGTCGGCGGCAACGGCGCAGTGCTGTTCGGATAAATGACGTTGACTTGGGTGCCGTAGCGCTGTCTCAAGAGATCGACCACTGAAGACGTTTTGGGAGACGTTGCCGAGAAAACGAAGATGATCGCCGGCCTCTCCAGAGTTCCCGCGAACGCCTTCAGAACTCCATCGTAGGATGCGGTTGCCGTGGGCGTATTCAAGCCTTTGGGAAGGTTCTGCAATCAGTTCAATCATGTCTGATAAACAAGGTTTTTCTGGTTTTTTTTTTTCGAGAATCGTAAGAAAGAGCCTGGAAGAGCAGTCGAAAAAAAAGGTCGTCAAAGGCCATCAAGAATAGTGCAAAAAAAAATCCTACTAACTCTCTTTATATAACTCGTAAAATGTTCTCATTTTGTAAGTTAATTTAGGAAGATTATGAAAAAAAAAATAACGTTTTGATGGAGAATTTCAACTTTTCCTTGGAAGTGATAGTTTTCTCGCTCGATTTTATGACCCAAATGAAGTTGATTCTTACCGCAATCGCGTTGTTAAAAACGTCTGGATGCGCCGTGCTTGCAATTACGGACGCTCCTGAACTAATTGGTTTGTGAAAAAAGTCACGACAGAAAAGGAAGAAAATATTCAAGAAATCACCCGTTTCATCGAAAGTTACAAGGGTGTACTGCTTTGGCGCAAGAGAGTTGTACGTATTAGAGACGAAGGTCGGAATCACCGTTTGTAAGTAAATGATCGGCAGCAACATTGCTCTGCTGTTCACTTCCAAGACGAAAGTTATCTGCAAAAAAGGTTATCTCGAATGTTCTATCGGTATGAACCTGCTGGAAATCAAGCTGAGTCAGATCGTGTGTTTCTACAAAGTTCCAGTCGTAGCAGCTGGCTGAAAGAAGTGGGAATGAGGCTTTCTTGAGGGAAGCGAAAAACTAACTCAGTTGGCAGAGGCTGCCTGTGAAGTTGGACTGACACAAGCATTGGAAGTTGCTGGGAGTGCCGCCGTTCTGACAAGGCGGAATTTCACAGTAGTTGCCTGTGTATCCGTTGATGCATTGACAGCCGTTTACTGAAAATTCGGACGTTTCATGTTTGGCGTCGGGAGTTTACTGTAAAGGCCGCCATTCAAGCATTGGTGTTCAGAAATGTAGCAAAAAGCTCGTTGGGTCCGTTGAACAGTGACTTCAGCGGTTTTGATAGTCGCCTGGAATGACCTATAGATGAATCAAAGCCCAGTCTACTCACAGTTATGGTAAAGGATTCGCCAGCGGCGGCACACACAAATGGTGAGTCAAAGTAGTACTCGTACTTGCAGGAGGCTAGTCTCCGAGTCCCGCTTGCCCTTAGATTTTCCTTCTTTTTTTTTTCATAAAATGGGCAGCAGTCAACTGGTAGACAGTAGCTCCGGTATCATCGGTTGTGGAAAGTTGAGTCGTAGGGTCAGATTGCAATGCTGAAGAAATGTGAAGAACCGGCGACGCTTTGGACGCTGTCAAACACATTTTCAATCCCCTAGTTTCGCAATTTCCAACCGAAAATCAAACTGGAGACGACTTTGTCTTTGGTAGGATCAGGTGAGAATCCGACGTAGACGGAGAGTTGGCTTTTCTCGTCGACTCGGACCCAACATTTTCCAGAAGTGCCATCCGCCGCCTTGATGGTCAAAGTGTATCTGTGAGTTAGACGATTGTTTCTCTGAAACTGTAATGCAAGCCTACCCGAGAACACTTGCAGCGGTAGGCTTGATTTGATAACTAGCGAAAAACGGAACGGCATGAGCGTCAGGAGTCAAAGTTTGAATAACGTTTGAATCTCCGTTCGTCAAGGTTGCGGTGAAGTTTTGCACCGTAGCTGAAAAACAAATTGGCTTTTTGGGGCTTTTCCAGAGCCCTACGAGAATTGACGACAGCGTAGACGGCCGTCGAGGGATCCGACACGAAGAATCGAAGTTTCGTTTCCTGGCTGCAGTCGGCGACGTACTTGTACTCGATGACTTCTGTGTGGTGGTGCGAATTGCCGTAGGATGCGATGAACTGAAACCAATCAATAAAAAACCGTTTTGTGGAAAAGACCAACATTGAGAATCGGATCGCGATCAGAAACGTATTTCAAGCAGAGATTGATAAAGTTTCCTGAACCGAAATAATTGAAGAAAAAAGGCATTTTCCCGTCAAGGGACCTCCAGACTGGCGAGCAAACTCTTCATAAAGTGTATAGTTGCCGGTGCAATAGTCGCTTATGTTGAAAGGTGGTATCAAAACGATGGAAACTTCGATCTGACGCTCCACTGCACTTCTCCTTAAAATCCAAAAGGTTTAGTTTGCTAAATTTTTCAATCTTTGGAACTTTTTTTTTAAATGTGAGTGAGTATTTGATGAAAGAAAAAACATAATTTATTTCAAGAGCTAAATTTTCTCAGAAGCTTTCTCAAAAAAAAATAAGCGTCGAAACCCAATATAAACATTCGTTCACTTATCCTTGAGAAAAATGAAAAGTGATCACTAACAGAAAAAGAGGAGGAAGAAATTTAACACACGTTCTCCGAGATTTTCGATTAACCGTTGGTACAAAAATTTCATCTTTGTTCCTGAGAGCTCTCCTTGCTATCATAGATAGTGAACAACCTCTTAAATATTTAGAACCAGGTTTTATTAGGCTCCGCCCACTTTCAGGCTTACTGTATAAAAAAACACCGTAAAAAAACCAAACTTTTTTTCCTAGTGGATCAAATTGGTCCAAACAAATTTTAAAAACAAAAATATGTTCTCATTTGAACATTTATAGTTATAGAACTGACCCAGGGAAAAAAATTTTTCTTCCAGAAGAAAAAAATTAAAGTTTTTTCGAAAAAAATGACGATTTTCGCAGTCTTTGAGTCATAACTAGTACTAGAACCCCCGAATGCCTGGATTTTTATTTTTTCAATCGACGCGTTAGGGTCTCGTGAGTAGAGGAAAAATGCCTAGAAACTCTGAATCCGGGTGATCCAGTTGACCTCCATCTCGAAGAACGCGGCCAACTTGAAAATCGCAAAACCTTTGAAAATTTCTAACTTTTGTGAAAGCCGGATTCCGTCTTGTTTCTTATTTTCGTTCAACATAACACAGCTTGCTGCAAAATTGCAGCTCAAAAGTAGCGAGCTGGAACCCTTTGAAAAAAAATTTCTGACGTTTTTCTAATTTTTCGTTTTTTCGGCATTTTCAAACTTTCCGCTCTAACTAGTACCCAGGCTCTGTTTCCGGGTGATCCAGTTGACCTCCAAGCAACCAAAGCGGTCGACCTCGAATTCGAGCAAAATTTAAAAAATTTTCCAAACCGTTTTTTGCTTCCTAACCAGTAGTTCTCATCATCTGGAGGGTTTTCAGTGTAGTTTCCACCAATTGCTAGCGTCAATTTTTTTATGTTTAGCTCATTTTTTTGTTTTTTGTCAGAATTTTTTTAAAATTTTTCGACGGGAGGCAGCCCCAGCAATACCCCTGTCTGTCGAATAATCTGGAATTCCCTGGTATTATGCCTAAAAGAAAGTTCCAACTTACGTAAAGACACTACTTACGAAAAATAGTGACTACTATTTTGTGAAAAGTAAGAATCTTGTTTATCGATATCAATTTTTTGACTTTTTTTTTTGAGCTTTCCAAGATAAATCATTTTTTTGGATTTCGCATGGAAAAAATGTTCAAGTTCTCCTATTTTCGAGATTGAACAGATTTTCTCATACAGAAAAAAAGACAAAACTATTTCAACCGAAAAGAATCAAAAAAATTTTAAAAAACTTTTTGTCCAAAATAATTTGATCAGCGTTTCAGTCCAGTTGATAAATTGAAAGGAATCAGATAAAAACTTACGCCACAGAAAGATGAGTAAGTCTCTTCTAGATTCTTGCAAAAAAAAAAATTCAGAAAGCGATATATTGATCATGCCTAACAAGATTCTTACTTTTCACAAAATAGTAGTCGCTATTTTTCGTAAGTAGTGTCTTTACGTAAGTTGGAACTTTCTTTTAGGCATAATACCAGGGAATTCCAGATTATTCGACAGACAGGGGTATTGCTGGGGCTGCCTCCCGTCGAAAATTTTAAAAATTCTGACAAAAACAAAAATGAGCTAAACATAAAAATTGACGCTAGCAATTGGTGGAAACTACACTGAAAACCCTCCAGATGATGAGAACTACTGGTTAGGAAGCAAAAAACGGTTTGGAAAATTTTTTAAATTTTGCTCGAATTCGAGGTCGACCGCTTTGGTTGCTTGGAGGTCAACTGGATCACCCGGAAACAGAGCCTGGGTACTAGTTAGAGCGGAAAGTTTGAAAATGCCGAAAAAACGAAAAATTAGAAAAACGTCAGAAATTTTTTTTCAAAGGGTTCCAGCTCGCTACTTTTGAGCTGCAATTTTGCAGCAAGCTGTGTTATGTTGAACGAAAATAAGAAACAAGACGGAATCCGGCTTTCACAAAAGTTAGAAATTTTCAAAGGTTTTGCGATTTTCAAGTTGGCCGCGTTCTTCGAGATGGAGGTCAACTGGATCACCCGGATTCAGAGTTTCTAGGCATTTTTCCTCTACTCACGAGACCCTAACGCGTCGATTGAAAAAATAAAAATCCAGGCATTCGGGGGTTCTAGTACTAGTTATGACTCAAAGACTGCGAAAATCGTCATTTTTCGAAAGACTTTAATTTTTTTCTTCTGGAAGAAAATTTTTCCCGGGTCAGTTCTATAACTATAAATGTTCAAATGAGAACATATTTTGTTTTAAAATTTGTTTGGACCAATTTGATCCACTAGGAAAAAAGTTTGGTTTTTTACGGTGTTTTTTATACAGTAAGCCTGAAAGTGGGCGGAGCCTAATAAAACCTGGTTCTAAATATTTAAGAGGTTGTTCACTATCTATGATAGCAAGGAGAGCTTTCAGGAACAAAGATGAAATTTTTGTACCAAAATTTTTTGCATTTGTTCGATTTTCTGGGAGAACGCGTGTTAACACTAAGAATAACTGCCGAGATAAACGCGAGACACTGGCGGTACATTGACGAGCTCGCAAACATCTCGCTTTTTTTCTCGCGCCGGTCTCGCATTTTTCTGGGCGCGAGCTCGCATTTTTCTAGGCGCGAGCTCGCATTTCTCTCGCAATTTGAAAATTTCCGAAGTGCGAGATATATGCGAGATCGCGCCAAGAAAAATGCGAGGTCGCGCCGAGAGAAATGCGAGATCGCGCCTTGAAAAAAGCGAGATGTTTGCGAGCTCGTCAATGTACCGCCACCGACCTCGCTTTTATCTCGTCAGTTATTCTTAGTGAAGGCCTTGACTGGATTAACAGTTTTCTTTTTTTTTTTTCATTCTAGAAAATCAGAGCATTTATTTTATATTGATTGAAAGAAAAGTTTCAAGTTCGATCGGGCTTTGAACCTACAAGAGGTCGTTGTAGTCGGCGTAATCGGCTGCCACGTCGGTTTGGGCGGTCGTGAAGAAGAAAATGGAAGATTTGTCGTGGTCGATAGAGCGCATAGTCGTCTGGAGGGCCAAAAGTCCTGGCGGAGACATGTCCAGCGGAGAAAATCTAGAAATCGATACCGATTGGGTAAAAATTCGCCGCTTCTTACGAGTAGCCGATGTTGACAGGCAAAGTCGCGGCGAGGAAGTTGCTCGCGTTGTTGTACTTGTTGCTCACAACTAACGGAGAAGATGTCCCTATAAAAATAATTCAAAAAACGTTCTCTGAGAAAATCGATAAGCTTCACATCTGGAAAGTTCAGTGAAAAACAAGAAAAAAGTTCGAATTTGGGCCCGTTCTCGAAGGTAGTATTCAATTGCTAAACTTGAAACTTGAATATATATATATGAAGACCTTTTTCAAATTCTCAACGTCTTAAATAATATTCAAAAAATAGTATTGAGGCCACCTGGGGTCTCCTTTTAAGTGAAAGTCAAAAACTGCAAAAACTTGCAGTTATGGTACCGACGTGTTCTGGCATTTCTAATAGCACATGTGTTTCCGTCTCGACAAGGAAAAAAACTTGAGGCTTACCATTGATTGTCCGCGCTTTGAAAGTGGTGAGGACAAAGTCGTCAAAGTCAGGTACGCCTCCACTTGTTGGCTGGAGGAAAATTTTGAGACTGTCGTACAAGTTGGAAAGGCCCTAAAATCTGAGTAGTGAAAGTTTGTTCTGAGGAAAGGCAAGTTGGAAAAAAAAATCTCACCGCAGAAGCCGCGAGGGAGTTTTCCACAACTACAGCGAAACTGCGTTGGAATGACTCGAATGTGTCGGAAGACGTGGAGTTGCAAGAAACTGAAGCTCAAGTTCTGAAATCGATCTCCGAAAAACTCACGTATCTCACAGAAGCTTCCACTGAAGCCCATGTTGCAGAGACAGAAACCGTGGCCGTTTCCATTCGGAAATTTGTCGACAGTGCCTCCATTTTGGCAAATAGGAAGCTTAATTGAAGATTTGAGGGAGAAATCTTCCAGAGCCATTCACTTCGCAATTTTTCCCTTGGAAGTTGGCGCCACATTTGCAGACTCCGTCTGACGCAGTTCCTCCATTGCTACAAACCAAGGCTGCCGCGGTGTGAGTATCTAGAACAGCCTTTTTCCGGGAATATGAGACACTGGCACCTGGGCTGGCGCAATAACCGGGAAGGACGCGATTCAACACTCCAGTGGCGGTAGTAATCGCAACCGAATGACTGAAAAGAACATGGTTCAAAAATATTGAAATTGGTTGACAAGGTTAACAGCTTCGCTCCAAAAAACAATATATCTTTCTTCTTCCAGAAAAACAAAAGAAGAACTTTTTTAATTTTAATAAACGGAAAGTCAAGCAAAACAAAGTTTTAATTCTTTAATAACTCAACCAGGTTTCTATTTTTATTGATCGAACAAAGTCTTGATAAATTCCAAACGTGAAAAGCTTCGACACTTTCCAAAATGGAAATCAGGTCTTTATCTTGATTTTCCGAAAAGCACAGAAAATCGTTTTTAAAAGCAGTACTTCCAAGTAAAATGATTTTTTTTTTCGATATTATCCAAAAACATTGACTCACATGAAAGGTCCTGGTGTGCAGGTTTTGATCGCAGGAAGCTTGTAGGGGAAATTGCAGATTTGATTGTTCGGATCAGTTGCAGCGACGGCCTCCGCGACCACTGTGGCGCCGTCGTAAGTGCCGATTCGAGTCACTTTTAGCCCCGTGGTTCCAGAAATTGAGGAATACAGACTGGCTATTTGATCCATTCCTGAGAGAAACTCTTCAGCGAAGCTCGACATATAGGTTTTTTTTTGTGTGAAAATGATTGTAATAATCTGTTGCCGTAGAAATGAAAAAAGTTGAAAGTTTTCAGTGTCAGCGCAAAGGTCTTCTTTTTGAAAAATCTTTTTTTCTTCGTTTTTTCAGTCCCTTTCTTGTTTAAGCGGCTCTTTCATGTTATATGCTTCCTTCAAGTTTCTATAAAGTCTCCAATGAATAAAAGAGAAAGACAGACCGTTGAGACTTGTTCAAACCGTGAAAGATAAATGATCTCCTATCAGGTCGAGAATTCTAGCTCCAAGATTTTGACGCCTTAGAACCCCCAGATTACACTATTTGGCAAGAATTGGTTAAATTACAAATTCAATAATTTGCGATATATATATAACTGCAGTGAAAATAACAGGCTTCAAAGAAGAAGAAGAAACAAAAAAAGGGTTTGGAATTTTCAGAATTATTCAAGGCATGAAGCGGTAACCTGTGAACGAGTATGCCGTGCCGACGTCGACTTCTGGACGGTTGCTGTACGTGACGAGAACGTCGTCGAGAGAGGCGAACCAGACCCTCACATTGTGAGTATCGGTACCCGTGACGGATACTGTAGCAGAAACACTGTTCTGTGTAACGTAAAGCTGGAAAAGTACTAATGTAAACAGCGGCCAGAAATTTGTTCAAAAACCGCGTATCGAGGACCGCTAGTCAAACTTTTGATGGGAGAGCCGTCGGCGGCGTTGGTCAGAGTCGGCACTGATTCAAACTTGAATAATTCTGTGAGAATTGCTTGAACTCACGCTGGCGGCCGTTCTCACACGTGAGAAGGACATAGCTGTTTGCCGTTTTAGAGTCTGACGAAATGGGAATAGTTTTCGTTGAGTTGTTGTAGTACTGCACAAACACGTTTTGCATTTCATAAAAGTAACTGAGCAGGTTTTTCGTCACCTAAAAATGGGAACGTTTTCTTTTCTGAAAGCAGTCCACCCACTGAATCGAGGTCTGTTTTGTCCACAATCAGCAAATCTCCATGAGTGGCGGCAACAACTCGGCGCAAAACGTCGAAAAAGTCGCCCAGAGGTTCAAGAGGAGCAGAAGGCATTTGAGAAATGATGATCACGATCTCAAAAAATTATAGAACAATGAGGCCAGAAAATCGAAAATGGATCATGCTTGAAATGATATTAAAAACTTGAAATTGAAAATTCTTGGCTACCATTTCGTTTGGTTTCTCTTGTCAAAACTTTCTATTATAAAAATTGAGCTTCTTCGGATCTTCATCGTGACTTGAGAAGTACATTCTCATCACTTTTCAAAACGTTCCCTTTCAATTTGTTGTCGAGTCCATTGTCTTCACAGAATCAACCGTAACGGAGACAAAAAGTACAAATTTCGCAATTCTACATGTTAAACTAAAAAAAAAACAAACATACCTTGTTTTTCCAGGCAAGAGTCTGTTGGACAACTTGACTCTCGTTGTTTTGACCTATCCTGGTTGAAGGCGTCGGCGGCGCCACGACTTCTGAATCAGCGAACAGCAGGACCGTCGATTGAGGTCGCATAAGAATCGAGCTGAGAGCTTAGGGATGATCTTGAGAGAAAAAGAAGCAGGAACTGACGATGACTGGGCCGCGTAAAGAGCATCCAGATGCGGCTGATCTGTGAGTCCCGGAGCGACCACCAGTTGTTGCATGTAATTCAAAAGGTCATCAGAGGTCAAGAAGACCGACGTCTCTATGAAATATGCACTGTCTGAATAGGAAATACATTTTTTTTTTTCAAAATAATGGGGGAGCATACTCGACTGTCTGTAACTGGTGACAATGTAGTTTTGAATGACGCCTTCTTTCAAGTTGTTATAGTCTTTGAGAAGTTCGGGCAGGTTTGTGATTAACACATTCAAATCCAAAGCCATAGAGTTGACGAGGTTGACGACAAGGATCAGAGATTGTTTCGAAAGATCAAGTGTGTTCTGAACTGGTGTGGCACACGTTCCTGAAACAATTGACGAAATTTTGAAAAAAGATTTGGGAAGATAACTGGGCTCGCAGTGCAGAGTGTACACACCCGGAGGACATGAGCATCTCCACTCTTCTTGGATTCCGCCGTTGCGACACCTGCAAGTGGATTTCTTATCGATGAGTTTCCAGTCTTTTTTTTTTCGCTGACGTGACAGTTTGGCACTGAGTTCCAGAAGTATATGGAAAACAGGCACACGTTCCATTGGGCAGGAAGATTCCTCCGTTGACGCAAGAAGTGACGTCATCTCGGAACGGGGCAGTCCATCGCTCCAAATTTTCATCATCTGTCGTTGGCACTCGTTACACTTTGTCATAAATTAAAAGCGACTCGTCTCAAGTCTTGTCGAAGAAATTTACGACCTCTCAAAGTCATTGATAACACGCATGGAGCAATGAAAGTTGAGCTATTAGGAAACTTTTTTTTTTGCGAATGACACTAAAACGGCCATGAATTTGGTAATAATTGATCACATCGCTCAAGTTTTCTATCATTTCCGTGATAGGAAACTGGTAAATGATAAGATTCCTGTGTGCTACCTTTGGCGTGGCGAACAAAGTAGACTTCGATGTCGTCGCAGGAAGCGAAGACCTCGATGACGCTCTTGCGAGTTGCTCCAGAGCTCGTGGTCAGATATCCGACAAACACAGAAGTGGCCTCTCCTACGTTTTCTCCGTGAATCCTGAACAAAAACGCTTTGATGACAGATAATAGAAAAAAAACTTGCTTCAGTTCGGTTATCACAAAGTCGCGAAAGTTGGTACCAAACAAGATGGAGAACTGAAAGTGAAAGTTTCAAGGAATAGTGCAAGGAGATGAGAACTCGTTGATGGGCCTCGTTGGAAACTTGGTCAAACTTTTGAGAACTGAGGTCTCTGACGTCTTGCGCTGAAATGGCGTTCCAGTGGCCACGCAGCTCGAACCGTTCATCGCAGCTTGCTTAAAAACATTTTTTTTTTTGAACTTTTTTATTTTCCGTTAGTAATGTTTTTTCGTTCTTGTCAAAATTCGAAAAATCTAAAAATTTTACAGCTGTTTTATGCCGGCTTCAGTTTGTGTTTTTCCCGCCTTTACTAACAGAAATGTTCTCCAACCATACATACAGTATAGTTTATACTTGCATTTCCCGCTAACGTGTCACGAGCAAGTATTTTCAAAAAAATACAAAGAATAAAAAGTTTAAGCACCCTGAATTATCTTTTTTTAACAGAAAAAAATAATAGTTTTATCCTCATTTTTTTCAAAAATTCTTTTTATCAATTTTTCGGTTCGAGAATTCGAATAGAAGCTATTTTTAATGAAAAACCATGATTTCAGGCCTTATGCACTGGTTGACTTGTTGGTCGGAAAAGGTAATGTATTTTCTCGCTTCACCTTTCTGTTTATTTTGGAAAATCCATGTGCCTTTAAACATCGCATTGATTTTTTTTTTTTCTGAGTGGGCCAATTATTTCTGATTGAATAGAACGAGTTGGAAACAACAATTCTGCGTGCAGAGGTAGACATGATTTTTCAAATAATGTAAATAATAAAATTCTGAATTAGAATCTCGTTTTATCTTTAGTTTTGTAGGGTGGGAAAATTTTTACACAAAGGTTTGGGCAGACAAATGTTATTTCGAAAAGCCAGCCAATTCACCAAAGACGACTGTGAGGAGCAAAAGCAGCAGAGACCAAGGTCGAAACAGGAGCATGAGGAATGGCCGGAAAGCCTTATCGCAGCTCTCGAGCCACGTTTATCGCCTTGTATCGCTCCAGCACGTTTCCCTTTATCAGCCCAGTTTTTAATTGCCAGCAAATCAAACATGGGCTTTGGGCCAATTCGGAATTGAATAGCTCTGTGTCTTGAGGACCTAAAAATTTTGAAATAAAGTTTCGCTCAACAACATGATTAAAAGTCTCACTCTGAAACTTGAATAGTTTGCCACCGCAAGACCATGATCTTTAACAGCGGTTGTTTCGAGCTGCTTCTCAGCCTCAAAAATGCTTTGTTCTTCGACTTCTGAGCGTATAGTCTGTTCAGATTTTGAATGTCAAGTCGCCGCTCAAGCTCCTCCCCTAATAGCGCGATAAACCAATCAGAGAGCGAGCCATCCACAGAGCGTATTCAAATGACGTCATTCTACTTGACATTAAAGATCTGAACGGACTATAAACGATGAAACATGATTTCGCATTTTAGCAAATGAAAAAAAAAAAAGAGGTTTCAAAGTTTTCAGAGAGTCAAAACGTGTATTTTTTTCGGGTTGAAAGCAAAGATATATATATATATATATATATATACTGAAACCGTTGGGATCTTTTGAAACAAAACAAAAAAAAAGAATTGCGTTCATTATCTTCTCGAAACGAAAATACATTTTCTTGTAAGAAATACGAACCGACTGGGAAATGCTGATAAAAGTAAAAGATGCGCTGAAGAAGCGTGATGGGTACAGTGTCGTCGGAAAGAGCAACGACAGTAATCTTGGTCAACGCGACTTTGGGCAACTGAACTTTGATATGATGATAGCTTTCATCTCCTCCTCCACAACCTCAACAGGTGAAGAGACATATTGGTAGGCACAGGTGCTTAGATCGCGGGTCACGAGTGTCAAATTTCTGAGATCATTAGGTTGGGGAAAGGATGTGACGTCAATGGTGGCGATGTCGATGCGAGAAGGCGGTATCGCGACGACGGATTCATTTTGGCTCACTCTTATCGTAAGGTAGTTGCTGACAGTGAAGGTGCCAGCTGAATATCCCGAAATCCCGCAATATGGCGAAACTACAAGTTTATGACTATGACTACACGTGATAGTCTGATGAAAATACATCTCAAAATGAATCAACCACGTAAAAAAAATATAATCAATAAAATCCAAGGTTGAAAGACGATTACTTTGCTTTTTTTCTGTTTGTTCAGAGAGCAATAAAATTAAGATTTTGACTATTTCTATTCTGAAAACTATTTCGTCTATTCCAAGTTTTGATAATTCTCTGACGTCGTGGAAAAGGATACTTTCGCGCTGTGAAAAGATTTGAGTGGTGGCAAAGTCGTCGTTGGGATTGCTGACGAAACCGAGAACGACTGCGTAGGACGATACGTGGCGCACCTGGACGGCACAACCGCCGCTTGACGTCTTGACAGACATGCCCCAGTAACCATTTTGCGGTTTCACTGAACACTTTTTATGCGATATAATAAAAGATTCCAATCTTTGAAAAACCCAGAGTGATTATAACGACGAAGAAATTTTTTTCGACTTTTTTCCATTATATTTTCCGGTTTATAAGACATCTATTTATTTTTTCTCCTATGTCTTCGTGTTTTAATCATGAACCAACTACCAACTTTATATAGGAAGATTTAAAACAAAGATTTTATCGAGAAAAAAAGTCGGAAAAAGTTTCGACGGAAAGGTTGCCGTCGGAAATTTCCCTAGCGATATGAAAAAATACGAAAAGTCGCTGTTTGAATTTTCGCTGGTGTTTTTTTTCGTACCACCATATTTCCAGCGGCCACCACCGTTCCGATGAATTTTTTTTGTCTCGTCAATTTCCTCGATAAACTCGTCATTTTAAATATTCCCATGTAAAGTAGACGAAACATTTCATGATCAAAACAAACGAAAAAACTATAGACGATTCACGGCTAGCTTGGGACGCAAAAAGGCGTGGCCTGTCTGCACTCTACACCAACCAGGGCACTGTCTCGTCTCTTTTCGTGGCAGGACCCTTTTCTCGATGGCTCAAGCCAGCCGTGAATCAGCTATAAAAGAAAACGGTTTTTTTTTTCATTTCTGACCTTTCCGCCGAATTACTTTTCCGACTTTTTTCCTGATATTTTTCGTTTTATAAAACATTTATTAACATTTCCTTTTTTCTTTTCCCATTTCGTTGTCTTTTAATCATTCATGAACAACTTGACGACTTTATATGGGAAGATTAAAAACGAAGAGTTTATCAAGGAAAAAAAAAGTCGGTAAATTTTTCGGCGGAAAATTGGCCGTCGGATACTCCTCAAGCGATGGGAAAAAATCGGAAAAGTCGCCTTTCAAAAATTTTGCTGGTGTTTTAATAGTCTATTCCGCGCCAGCTTGTCATGTTTTTCTTCCCGCCAAAAAGACCGTATACCAAATTAGATCAAATTTCTGCTTTTATAACGACAAGAAACAAAGGTCTTGAAGCGAAAGTTGGTTAAATTTGACCTGGCCTTTTGACCACGGCGTTCCTAATGGGGGTGAGGGAAGGTGAGCGAGGCGTCAAAGTTTCTGAATTTACAGAAAAAATTTAGTGCGCGCTACGGATAAAATTACGTCACGTGACGTCACAATTACACTGAATATTCAACGTTAATAACTTGTTTGTTCGATCGCCTTCGGCTGAAGTACTGTAGATTTCAAATTTCGAGCCAAAATTTTTTTGACGTTTTGCCACCCCGTTTGGGAACGCCGTGTGACGGAAAGAAAAATGTGACAAGCTTGCGCGGAATGGCCTATAGAAAAAAAAACCCACGACAGGTTAAATTGGAAAAGAGGCTGTTTGAAAAGCGTTTGCATTTTTGTTTTCCAACTTTTTCGTCGGTGAACTTTGAATGGGAGGGCACCCAAATTTTGCAGGTCAACTTTTCCGAGTTTTTTCCCTGATATTTTTCGTTTTAGAAAACATTTAAAAAATTTGGCTCGTCTTTTTTTCTCCCCATACCACCGGAAAAAGGTTGAAAAAAAAAAATCACACGCACACATTTTCGTCGCAAAATTCCCTAGCGATGTGGAATGAAACGGTTTTTTTTTTGTTTTTGTCTTATAAGACGGTAAATTGGTTAAAGTTGTCGTTCCGAAAAAATTTGGCTGCCGCTTTTTGTTCTGCATCGTGGACATCAGCCGACAATGCGTGCGTACTTTGACATTTCCGAATTTGACTTGCTCATACAACTGTTTTCAGGAGGCCCGAGCCTATCACATGACGTTGACCAACAGAATGGTGGTGCGCCTTCCGGCGGGTGTGGTCGCCGCGTCGGAGCGCATCAGACGCGAAGTACGATTTTTCTAAGGAACCTAACCTTTTTTTAAATTTTTTTTTTTAATATCTTTTTTCTCTTTTTTCAAACCAAAAACAAAAGAAAAAAGCCACGGTTGCAGCTAGCCGAGATGGACTCCATTGCGAACGCTTTCGTCACCACGCTCCTATTCGTCGACGTCGACGCGCGTCTGCGTGGAACGCCGCCGACAAACGTTGCGTGGGCCTCGAGTCGAGCCCCAGTCCCGCCGCCAAAGACGACGTCGCCGCCGACGACGCCGACGCCGACGCTGCCGCAGCCAACCGTCGTCGTCATCGACAAGTTGAAGGCCGAGGCAAGTCTATCTCGTTTTGAAAATGCTAAGCGTGTTCGTAACGTGCTCACTCGTCTAGGAAGCGAGCTGTGTGTGCGGCAAGAGATCGGTGCCCGACTGGCGACCGACAAAGGGTTTCGGCGACGACGCGCCCTTCAGCCCGGCCGTCGACGGCGTCCGCTTCACCTGGAAGACGCTGGCCGAACTGGGCCAAGGCGTCGACACGTTGAGGTTGGTTTGTTGGTTTCCTCTGCTCAACTTTGATGTCGCATGCAGCAGCAGCAACCTCGCTAACCGTTATGGGGCCTTTGCGAAATTGCCGGTCCGTATGGAACGTGGAGAGTGTGTGGCGCGCGTGTAGATGATGGAAAAGTTTAGTGCGCTTTTTTGAAACGGAAGCTGAGTAATCTACACACGATTCGCCAATGTGCCTGAACGTAAAAATCGGTCACAGAATTTTGCAATCCAATGTTGTCATTCTTGTGTCGATGATCAGCATTGACGTTTGGTTGAAGGGCCAGCGAAATGCTAGCGAAAACGTGAGTTTTATACTGCACCGCGAGCCATCACCTAGGGACTGTTGTTACAGACAAACGCGCTGAAAGAAAGGATTTTTGGCGTGTACGACTTTGAGACGGAGACGGACTCGCCCAAGTACCGCAATGGGCAGGACTACGCCCGCTGGATACGAGAGCACGGAACGGGTACAATAAAAAAAAATTTTGATTTTGATGAAACTTCATCCAGTGTGATAGCCAATCATCGGAAATGCGGACCCAGCTTTTTGAGCAAAGTTTTCAGAGAGTCAAAACGTGTATTTATTCGGTTTGAAAGCAAAGACATATATATATATATATATATATATATATATCAAAAGTCTGAGTTCAGTTTGAGAAAATACGGAATGTAATGAAGAAATAAATAAAATAAATGAAGATGGGCGTCAATTGAGAAGAAGCTCGCGTTGTGGTGGGCAGTTGAGATCTTGTAGTGGGCACTGCCGTCGTTGGAATTGACGTCGTCGAGTTTGAAGAGTTTAGCAGTTCTGAAAAAGTTTCGGTTGATCGTCTGCTCAAAAAAGCTCATATCGGTAGATTTTAAGAAAACTACGAAAAATGACATTTTCTGTGAACCAAAGTGAAATTGCGTAACAGGTATGGAAAACTGATAAATCAAGGGTAAATACTGCACTCTATATAAACTGTAGATATCTGAAAATCGGTCATTTGAAAGATGCGAAGCCAAACCGATCTCGCAAAAATCTCCAAGAAAGCCGGGACGACAGCTGCAGATGCCCAGAGAAAGAGTCGCTCCCTGGGCACAAATCCGATCGTAGCAGTACTCGCCGGTGTAGCGGGTCGGACAATCGCACTCACCGCTGTCCTTTACGGCGCCGCCATTGCAGACGCTTTTGTCTGAAACCGTTGGGATCTTTTGAAACAAAAAAAAAAAAAGAATTGCGTTCATTATCTTCTCGAAACGAAAATACATTTTCTTGTAAGAAATACGAACCGACTGGGAAATGCTGATAAAAGTAAAAGATGCGCTGAAGAAGCGTGATGGGTACAGTGTCGTCGGAAAGAGCAACGACAGTAATCTTGGTCAACGCGACTTTGGGCAACTGAACTTTGATATGATGATAGCTTTCATCTCCTCCTCCACAACCTCAACAGGTGAAGAGACATATTGGTAGGCACAGGTGCTTAGATCGCGGGTCACGAGTGTCAAATTTCTGAGATCATTAGGTTGGGGAAAGGATGTGACGTCAATGGTGGCGATGTCGATGCGAGAAGGCGGTATCGCGACGACGGATTCATTTTGGCTCACTCTTATCGTAAGGTAGTTGCTGACAGTGAAGGTGCCAGCTGAAAATCCCGAAATCCCGCAATATGGCGAAACTACAAGTTTATGACTATGACTACACGTGATAGTCTGATGAAAATACATCTCAAAATGAATCAACCACGTAAAAAAAATATAATCAATAAAATCCAAGGTTGAAAGACGATTACTTTGCTTTTTCTGTTTGTTCAGAGAGCAATAAAATTAAGATTTTTGACTATTTCTATTCTGAAAAACTATTTCGTCTATTCCAAGTTTTGATAATTCTCTGACGTCGTGGAAAAGGATACTTTCGCGCTGTGAAAAGATTTGAGTGGTGGCAAAGTCGTCGTTGGGATTGCTGACGAAACCGAGAACGACTGCGTAGGACGATACGTGGCGCACCTGGACGGCACAACCGCCGCTTGACGTCTTGACAGACATGCCCCAGTGACCATTTTGCGGTTTCACTAAACACTTTTTTTGCGATTTAATAAAAGTTTTCCAATTTTTTGAAAAACCCAGAGTGATTATAACGACGTCGTCGTCGGAGAATGTGATCGAGTCGCTGATCTGCACTTTTTTCTCTGAAAAAGTTTCTTTTTTTTTCCAACTAATCAAGTGAAAAAAAAACTGACGTGTATCGTCGTAGATGGCTATGGAATCAGGCGCCTTCACTTGTTTGCCATACACCTCGATCACTACTTTGTCCGCATTTTTCTCCACAACAAAGTCGGTGCCAGCGGCAGAAGCGACACAATCCTAAAAACCACCATTCATCAAAAGTATTTGGGAAACGACAAAAAACCTGCTTTGTAAAGTCCAAGCTCAAGGCAGTAGCGTAGATGGAAGGCGAGAGAAGGGAGCTCAGCTGAAAAACTTGTGGAGATGGCAAATGATGACGTCGATGGGAATGAACAAACATCCAGAGAGGCGCCGTTGACGAGATGCAAGAGTCTTCCGTTGCTTTGCCGCTGAAGAAGCCGCAGTTGAGGGTTGACAGCGAAAATGTCAGGGGAGGAATCTTTCCCAATGGAAACCAGGTTGACCTCAAATAATTTTTCTCATTCGCAATCTTGAGTACGTTTAGATACTTGTGTATCCTTGTCAACGGTATCCCAATGACGTCCCGAGTAGTTTTGGACGTTCTGAGAGTCTTCGCTTGTGAAAAGAAACACGGCAGTCGGAGGGAACAAGGCGATCTTCTGTGCTTTGTAAACAGCTTCAATCGCACGAGAGCTGACGACATTTGCCGAGTAGGTTATAGACTGAACTGCGGACCCGAAATCCTCATTGAAACGATCCACCTCATGAGTGCTCAGCAGAACGTCGACACCTGCAAGAGCCTTGAACATGTGGGAAGGGCGATCAAAGAACCTTGGTCGTCGAAAGTGATCAAAGAAAAGTAACGGTTGTAGACGGGCAAAGTGTCCAAAGCGGCGCTGGTTATGTTCCGGATGCTTGCGGCGAGTCTGTCAAAGGTCGGCTTGTTGGAAGATCTACATTCCAAAATGAACACAATCTGTCAAAAAAAAGTTCTCGATGAAATGCGGAAGCGATTATAAGCAGGAGACCTGCTTGAATTCGGTTTGGCGAGGATCTCCGATTGCATTGACGTTTGTACTATCACAAAAGTAGGTCGCGTCGTTACGTGCAGGGGATTTGTGTTTCACAGAGAGCGGCCTTTGCTCGTTTTCTCCCCCCATTGGCTGGTCATGAGCAACTAGAAAAAAAGTTGAGCGTTCTTTTTTTTTCAACAAATTTAGGTTCTCACTGGTCGCACAGTAACCAGGAAGAACGCGAATTTTCTTTTGATTGCCGAGGTAGACAGTGTGTACCTGCCTGAAGTGAAAAAAAAAACATTCGAGTGTGAAAATGAAAGGCTACGTGATAGGTCCTGGAGGACATGCAAGCGTGGGATCAGAAGTGACCCATTTGTCGAAAAGATATGGATATGTGCAGTCGAGCTGCGGACGGAGCTGAGCGAAAAGTTCGCCGCGGACTGGGGCCATCGAAGGAGTGTAGATGGAGTAACTCGTGTTTGTAACGCCTCCGAAACCAACAAAAAGAGCTGTCGCTGTCATATTGACACCTGCAATCCTCAATTCTTTTCTATTTACAACTACCCAACGAAAACATTTGTTTGCGATGAACACCTCTGACACTTTTTTCAATGAGATCCTTTTCCAGCGTTGCAGTTAGCTATGAACCCGAAATTCTATAAAAATAAACTCTTTTTCTAAACAAATTATCAAATAGTTGAACATTGAAAAGTGTAAGAAAAAATTGAAGCAAACTATTGGAAAATTGAGGTTTGCGAAATACTTTAAAGTTTTAAAATTCATCTAGGGCAAACCTGGAGAAAATGAAAAAGTTTGAAACTTTTTTGTCCACAAAATAAAAAACATATTCACTTCCAGACAAATGTGATTTTGCTCTTACTAGGTTGTTCAAATGTTGGAATCAACTAAGAAAAGCGCACTCTATCACCAAAATAGTTTCTACAGGGGTGGGCATAATTTTTGGACGGATTTTCCGAGCGCTGTTACTTTTTGTTCTTGAATCAAATGCTGTTCCAAATGTATGTTTTTGAGCAATAGATTGTCTACTGATAATGTTCTAAAAATGACTGTGGAATGTTTAGTTCTGGGGGAATGACGGCCTCCAAAGCATACCGTTCTTCGATATTCGCAGTTAAGTGTTGCTGAAAAAGCGTCAGGGCTACGCGCTAATCTTTTTCATAGACCTTAGAATTTAGCAGCCGACTGATACTTTTTTTTTAAGAAGCTTTTTAGGACTTCCAACTACCATCTAGTGAAAAGACCTGTGACTTTTGCTCGCTTTAACTTTTTGGAGAACGCCTGGAAGAGAAACAGTCGATTTCGAAGCTAAGCATGTATTTTACGGCTTTCCGACGCGGGGCCTTGAGGGAAACTGTGAAATCAATGGTCAAAAATAAGGTGGGGCCTAGAACATTTTGTATCAAAAAAAAAAACGGCCGCTCTCTATCGCTCCAGCATATATCAATAAAAAATCTGGAGCAAAGTCATATTCACTCGGACGCGCAACTTCTAAATTAGAACTGGATGTTCTTCGAGGAGTAGCGCTTCAACGTCTGAGAGGTATCCATTCTCAGGAATTTCTGTGTATTTAAACAAGACCACCAAGTAGCAAAAAATGAGCCGGGTCATTTCACATGGCTTCTCATTCAGAAGCAGCCGTGGTTTTGGCCGATGCATGATGTGAAAGCACGATTTTGCTAAGTCCTCTCGAATCTTCAGTCCAAGTTGATGCGTATCAGCATCTAGACGTCATTTTAGAAAAGTACATGCTTCTATTAGCCTATTTGCATTCTACAAAAAACCGTTCAATTTTCCGAAAAGATTCTGCGCTCTTTTATACCGCTTCGATTGAAAAAGGCCTGTTTTCGATTGATAACCGCGTCTTGTTCAAGTTCAAAGAAAAGTTTTCCTGCTCACCGGAGAAAAAGTTCTCGACTATTCTTTCTGACTCTACTCGACGACAGAGGCCTGCTTGAGACCTCTCTCAAATCTAGGAACTATAAAATTATCCTTTCTGAAGATCGAAGACTAAATCTATCACAGACACCTGCGTCCAGAGGCCAACACGACCAATGAGGGTCTTTTGGCCGTATCTGAAGCCAAAGAAGGCCTATACGAAAAATTTTTTGCATGTGTTATCTTCGATACCTTATTGAAAAAATTAAGTTATGAACTTTATCTGAAATACTTTTAACTTTGAGTTATAAAGGTTGTAAGTCCGTGCAATAATTATGCCCACCCGTGTATAATTTCGAAACCAACCATTATGAACAATTCCGTTTCCAACATCAATGAGAACGTCACTGTTGAAATCGAAAAAAAGTGTCTCCCGGGACTGTAGGAATACTCGGTAGTTGTAGGAGCCGCCGCCGCCAGAAGACTTTAGACTTAGACTCGATCCCGTCAGAGAGTAAAACTGTAAATCATGCCTTGTGAAAAAGTGGAAATGAAAAAAAAAACCGAGTAGGAAGGTCCAGTGGAGATGGGGGTCAGTCCTTGGACCGACGGCAGATTGTTGTTTGCTTGAATGACTTTTTATCATTCAATATCAGACAACTTTCAAACCGTTGGTCGTGTCGATTGTGAGTAGCACAAAGGCTAAATCCGCGGCCGAGTCTTTGTTCAACTGCAACTGCAAATCTCCGGTCGCGCCGTAGCCAGCGGCGATGTCTTCAGGCACATAGAACTTTGAGATGACTTTCAATAGAACCTAAAGGGGTTGATTAAAATCGAAGAGTCACTATTCGAACCTCGGAAACTGCGTTAGGATTGACCAGGAACAAGTCTCCATGCGAAGAGCGAGTCACTCGTCGGAAAACGTCGAATTTGTCGCCACTCGTGTCGCCTCCACTGGGCAACGTCAGCACGTACGAAACCTGTGAGCGAATTCAGAAAACTATCAAATCAATAATAAAAATAATCTCCCAAAGCCAAAACTTTGAATTTTCTGTGGAACTTGGCAGACTTGTTCAGAGCTAGGGTTTCGAACAATAGTCAGTCAAACAATCAGAACATGAAAAAAAGTAATTTTTGTAAAAAACGTGGAAAACCTAACGGAATTGACTTTTTTTCAGATATTGTTTTTTTCGTGAAAAAAATTTTTTTACTCCTGTCGGTCAGCCTCCGCTAGTTTTTCTAGTTAAGAGCGGTACTTTGGCAGAGTTGCCCACTCTCCTCATTTCCGACAGGCTTCTCTTCAGTACTAAAGAAAGGCAAACTAACAATCCATCATGTAATTTTTTTGAAAATTTAGGAGAGAGATTTCTGACAAAAAGTTTATAAAGTGTCTGAACCCTTCCCCCCATTTTTTTTTATTTTTTTTTATTTTTGAATTTTTTCTTGTATCAAATAATACAACTTGATTGAAAAGAAAATAATCTTTTTTCCAGCAAATGACTAGCGCTCAAGCTTCTCATTAGCTAGAAATGTCAGAAAAGGCAGACCTTGCTGCGCCACAGAAGAGATATCTGAAAGGCCTGCTGCTCGGGCGAAGGTACAGTCACACTGGAGGACTCTGGCGTCGCGTCTGAAGCCACGGCGTCGGAGAAAACGAGGACTATACTGAAGGCTCGCATCCGGGTATATCTGAGATAAATTGAGTTTTTCCTCCGAGTTGGTCAACTGACAGTTGTTGGGCGTCGCGAACAGCAGTCATTATGGGCTGCGGCTCGTTTGTGTCAATCAGTTGGACCGTGTTAAGGTTTGTCAGAAACTCAGCCCGAGAGTTTGCGATGAACTTGGTTAGTGTCGTTTTATTGTCTTAAAAGCACATCGTTTAACTCTTAACGAAAAGCCGTAGTAATCAAAATTTCTACGAGTTTCGTTACTTTCAAATATGGTAAACTGGGTCTCACTTTTAGTATTGAAACCGTAAAAAATAAAGTTGGCTATCCAATCGTCTTTCGATCCGCTTGCAGTCTGAACTTTCATGTTCCTCAAGTTCCAGAGAGAGAGAGAGAGAGAGAGAGAGAGCACCACCTTGACAATGTTATCAAAAACGGCAGCAAGATTTGCTTTCAGCGTGTCCAGAACTGGCTGCATACTTTTCTTCGTGTTGAAGACGATGATGAACGACCTTTGCGAAATGTCCACGTTCTTCTTAACCATCGGTCGACATCCACCTGAACGTTTTCTTTGAACATATCTAATCGGAGTAAATCAAAGCTGATAAATGTCTTTTAAAAATGTCTCTCATAGGAAAATCTTACGGATGCCGCAGTATCTGCCGTACCAGCCGGGTGCACAAACACATCTGTTTTTGTCCTTGATAGAAAATCGTTGGCATCTAGAAATTCCTCAACTTCTTAACAATTTCGTAATGGACAAACTTGATGTTTTCACAGTGATCCCCGTCGATGAATGCTGGGCAAGTGCAGGTGCCATTCCAAGAAATACCGTCGTTCTGGCATTTTTGGCTTGTCGCCACCACTTCAAAGTTTTTAATAGCTCGGATCGATAGGAAAATTGTAAAAAAAAAAATCACTTTTGAAATGCTTCAAAGTTCTAAAATGGAAGGTCATCTTTCTTCGCGGTTGGGGTTTTCCTGAAAATTGGCTAGAACACTTTTTGATGTACCAGAAGAAAATTCTGAAAGCCTCAACCTGCAAAACTTTCTACTTTTTGAGCAAAGACGTTGCAATTTCAAAGAATATGCTCAAAATCCATCAAAATGAGCTACTTTGGGGCTTCAGACCCCCATTTGTTGAGAACTAGAAAGTTGTGCAGGTTGAGACTTTCAGAATCTTCTTCTGGATATACATCAAGGAGTGTTCTGGCCAATTTTCGGGAAGTTC